TCCAGGCCCACGGTCCCTCGCTCTGCCATCCCATCACGGTCTTGTCGTCCGAGTTCCATCAGACTAAAGCGCGAACGGATACCCTATTTCAGGAACGCACACATTTAGAGCCTGGGTTCAAAAATCTTTCGACTCGTCGAATCTTGTTGAGGCTTTAAACCCTTCGCGACCAGAAAACGTGGCGAGTCGATATCGACGCTCCATTGTGGCAGCCAGCCCACTTGATCGCCATGATATCCGAGATCTGCGGCATGGGCTGTTCCCCGCTGACTTCCAAATGTACGGCTTCCACGCTCGCGCCTACGACATTGTGCCTTGGCTGTTCGGCGCGACATCAAAGTTTGGCCCGTCTTGCGCATCAGGCTAGGTCACTTGGCAGGGAAAAGTCTACCTGTCTTTCCTCTTGCATTGACCATCTGTCGTCTTTGACAAACACACAGGCACGACAACTTCATTTCCGATGAAAACACGCCTTTTCACCAAAGCGGGCTCCTGGGACGCGGAGAATCTGTCACTCGGATCTAGAAGCATAGCTCTCCCAAGGGGCGGCTGATTTCAGATGTGTGAGCTCACGGTTCTTGCCGGCAATGTCACACGATCCCTGAGATCTGGATAGCTCTATTCGCAGCATGCAGACGTGACCGCATTCCGAGTATCCGGGCTAGAAGCTTTTACCTAACGCATATCGACGTGCCTCTGCTTTGCGCCAACCATATCTGTGCACACGCGCACAAACTGCTTTAAATTTTCCCGGTAGTGTCGCTTCTGTTCTCGCTCCATCTTGTCGCGTTCTTTGACCTCGAGACCCTTAATGCCTCGGAGGAGAGAGCTGTAATCCAGTAGGTATGCTTGTGTTGCGAACAGTCAAGTGCGGCCAGGAATCATAGGTGCTTGACCCAGGGACTTGTCGTGAGCACCACGATGAACTCCGCAAAAGGGGGCTAATGATTGTCGCGAAGGTGACTTTTATCAGGGCATGATCGCCCTTCGCTTGTTGATCATGTTCTCCCAAGTGCTCCTTGGACTCTGTGTGTCTGTCAACTTCGCCCGCGATAATTTGGTGGCAAAAGTAAACGACGCCCATCTGCGACTCTGTTGAGTCTTCGGGGAATTCCTTTTTTTCCCCGTTGAGGGCCCTAGTTCTAGCACGATGGAACAGGTCACGGCCTGCGTCAGCCAAGGCTTTCTCAGCCGCAGATCTCTTGTTCTTGAGCTCACTCGAGCATTCGAGCGCTCACTGACAGCACGTAGCTCAAGGGTCGAGGGCGAAGCATGGACATTCCATCCCTCTCGCTTCCGTGAATCGATGAACGCTTCCTGTATACTCCCGAGACGCCGGCGGCAGACATTCTTGAATCGTGAAGCATCGAAACATGGATTAGGCTATGACGTCGGCTGTAATCCGGGATGTTGCAGAGATCGACGTGTGAGCATACATCCTCCGTTAACGCACCGAAGGGCCGAGACGGGGGGGGAGACGTGCAACGTGATGTTGGAGATTCTGACCATCTCAGATGGCAAAGTTTTTGCCGCAGATGAATAGGTGCCAAGATCTGTTGTCGATCACGTTGCACTTTTATCTGTGACGCTGCCGAGCTCCCTCAACTTGAGTCGGTCTTGACGGGTTTTCCCGTTAATATCCCATTGAATACCTTGCTTTTGCACTCGTCGGAGTTCTACAATGACGCGGCTGTCGCATCTTAGCGGGGGTGTGTGGTGTTCCTGCGCGGCCACGTCGATCGTGGGCGAAACGTGAAGTCCCATGTTGTGTAGTGGCGGATCCAAGCATTGAGGCGCTCCGTTCAGTGAGCAAAGCTCATTCACTCAATGCAGGAATGGCTTTCCTCTGTTGTGATGACCCTCATCCAGAGAGACACTCCCAGGAACAGAAGAACAAGAGGCAATCACGTTACTTACGCGTTCCCATCTGATTACGCTTCTATACCTTCACGCATATAGAGGTTTCCCCATAGCTCTCGGAGTATAATGGGAACTGACGATGTGTGTCTTGGATTCTTCCTGGGCTCGCGGAGGTCCTTCTCGACAACTGTTGAGCCTTTCCGCGTATCCCTCCCCGGCCACAGCTGGAGATGCTTTGGGCGACTGGCGAACGGCATTACGTATTCACTGAGCGAACAAAGACAGCTATAGTACATACAACGTCCGTTGCTCTCCCAACCGATTCATTTCAGTAATCATCCTGCTGGACTGCTCCGCTACTGAAGAGGCCTTCTGTGACGGAAACATCTGATCAGGTTTATTTCCACGTACTCGTCCGTGTATTTGATGTGGTATGTTGCAGTCCCCATTCCTTACATAGTCTCCCGGTGATGGAGATTCGTCGATATCCTGAATCATCTTCATTGGCTGAGTAGGCTTTATTTACTCCTGGCGATTTCTCCAAAAATTGAATCAATGTCGTCTCAAATACACATGACGCCTCAAATGAGTTGACGGTACCGCGTAACGGTGGATTTAAGTTGAATACCCGCCGCGGCTTGTCGTGATTTAGTGACAGTTCGCCGAATATCCTGACTTACACCTTGTTATTCCGATGAGTATCGTGAAATATTCCCATCTCGGAGCTAACATCCACCATTAGGGAATAGAATCATCATTCTGCAGATGCCAAGGTCAACAGATGGATGATAAAGGTGACACTTCTTGGTATCATGGTCTTCTTCTCTCCTGTTTAGTTGCCTTTGCAGGATAATACCTCCGCTGCCGGAGTACCCAGCAGGCTCGAACTTTCGAGACGGTGTGGTACTGGGTCTAACTGATTCATAGCCACTATTCATATATGATGGCCATTTTTGAGCCTGCATGTTGAACTTTGTTGCCCCCGCTCTCAGTACCCCCTCGTGTGTGCTTGCGAGAAGTCCAGGGAAGCGCGTGAAAGCTGCAACGTTTTGCTTTATCCATATAAACCACACATATATGACTCGCTCCTCAATGCGCCACTGCATGTGGAATTCCTTAGGTTAGAACTGAGGCTGCCGACTGCCAGTGCCATCATCTTGACGAAACTTGAAGAAAGACAAATTTAAGCCATGCTGCTCACACCTTGAATTCAGCATCCAACCCGGGCTCAGGTGCAGTCGAGATAGATGAAAAACGTGCAAAGCCTAAGACCGTTATGGACCACCTTGTTGGACTCTTTGTCAAGCCTTCTCAGTTGCGTGGGACAATTGAATCTCGGGGAGATAAGAATTTGACAAAGCATAGTAGCTATCTCTCCTCTAAGAGGACATATATATTCAATAAATAGCTAAGAATGGAGCCTTTCCTCGCACTACTGGTGTCACTAATGAATGTGGTGCTGATAGCCGACGGTCGCGGTTGGAGACAAGCACCGTCCTACTCCGGATTCCCCACTTCCGGCCCTCCAGGCCAAGTCGGCGCCGGCCGACGCTCAACAGATCAGGCTCCGGTCTCAGTCCCCTTGAACGGCGCTCGTAACGGGGATATCTACTCAGGCAGCAAAGGGACGGCCGAAAGCCTGAAAATCTGGCCAAAGACTGATTACCCTATGATTTGGCCACAGAAGCGCCCACCAATTCCGGTTGCTGGAGTCGTCACCATAAAAGTGTGTCGGTTTCACGCATGATGTGTATCTTGTAACGACTTCCAGTCAGTATGCAGCAGGCGTCTCTTCATATTGCCAGGTTCTTTTTAGCTACAATAAGCCCCTCTCAACTGGAGCTGATGGCAAGCGAGACAGCTCCTCAGAACACCAAACAAGGCCTCTGTCGCGTATTGGGCTTTCTTAAACCTGCAGGTGCACAGAACTAAGTGAATGAATCAGACATCCAACCATCCATTCCATACCAAACCTCACATACCGACCTGACGCAAACTCTCATGACCGTCGTCCGTACGTGACCCTCAGGAGTAAAACCACCGCGCAAGACCAGGCAATCACCATTCTCACGGAATGCGAACGATTCGACTGACGTAGGTTTGAGCCCTACGTTCCCGAGACTCGAACACCGAGACAAATCTTTGCCGCGGCTTCACTCCGTGCAGCCTCCGCGTCAACGGAATATCCCTTGTTGCCTACTAACCCCATCTTCCATGTCTCTAGTGCCATGGATGACAGATGGCCATCCGTGCGTGTCTTGTGAGACCAATAGGTTTACATACCTGAACAGAGCCTACTCGTGAGACTGCTGCATCAGGCCACTGGAAAGATCTCATGCAAGGGAGTCACGCCCCCCGCCGAGATGGATTCCCCAGATAGTTCATCCGGGTCATCAACTCTGACCATGTCTCATTAGTCTCAGTAACTTGACAGTAGCAAGACAATGCGCCAGCGCCATTTCCCGCGTACCAGGGAACAAACAGCATTGATTGTATCAGATTCAACGCGCACTACGCCTTCTGCCAATGTCAACTCTTGATAATCCACGAGATCAGAGGCTCAATCCAACACATCCCTCTGGAAGCCGGCGTCACAAAAAGAACCCAAGAACCACGACAACACCGAGTGATACAAGAAAGTGGGTATTTCCAGCGAGTGCTCCATGAAAACCATAATCCCGCACACTCTTGCGCCTATGATGCCTCCCGAGGAACCAGGTGGCCTAAAAGCCTCCGAACTTTTTTGATCACAAACAGAGCCTGCCCCGGAATAAGAACACCATCAATCCATCCATCCCCCGTCTAACCAAAGAGGAACATATGGGCCAACCGTCCCCTCAATCGCCTGGCCTAAAAGCCTCTGATATGCTGCCTGTCGTGAAGTCGCTTTTGCTAATCCCTTGGGTGTAAAGGTCCTCTGTGTCCTGTCATAACAAAGCATAAAAGTCGTAAGACGCCTCCCCCCCACTTTCCCCCTTGTTCCGAGTCCTGGTCGAACTCTTCTCGACCAGCCAGCCCAACGCCATATGGAAGCAAAACGTAGAGATGATAAAAAGTTACAGCAAGTGAGGCGTCATGCCTCCAAGAGAAGTGAAGGGTATGGGGCTGCGAGTGAAGACAGCGGCTGAACATTGAAACGTTCATCGCCATAAAAAGTCCGTGGCTCTCACAGCGCGACCGGTGGCGCAAGACACGACTCTCGTGTTCTCGCAGGCATCGTCGAAGTTGTCGTCGAGGTTATATTCTCGGTAATACCACTGGCTGGTTCTCGGATCGAAAAAGTCGCGACGGTGTATCTCGGGGGTGTGGAGTCCGAGATACGACATCCACTGCGTGTGCTCTCGCAGCACGGCGGGACTGCTGATGTCCTCCGGACCCAGAACCGTATTGATGGGTTGTGAGATGGACTTTTGCCCGCGGGCGTCTCTGTCGTTGAACATGAGCATCAAGCGTGACGAGATCTCCTTGTCTATGGCACTGAGCATTTGTCCATTCTCGATGCGACTGGCCAGCCCGGTGAGGTATGCTTTGTGACCGTTCTTCCTGGGAGAATGAAGATGAGCCTTGCATTATGTTAGCTGAAGATTACCATAGTGTCGATGGATTTCATGGGCGAAAGCAAACCTTCATCTCCCGCCGCGTGTCCGTCAGAAAGGAACAGTTATCCATGATGCAGCGGTAAATCTCCTTGAGATATCCCGGCTCAGCAACCGCCGGCGGACAGCACTGGGTCATTGGCTGGGAGTCCGGCAGGAAAGAGACTGGGCGACAATGGTAGCAGAGACCCCGAACGCACGGCTCGCTGCCCGAACATTCATGATCAAGGTAGTAATGGAACTGGGGGATGAGCAGCCGTCAACTCTAAATCCACGTCGTCTGAGTGTGTCCCACGGTGGATGACGTACCTCGGAGCACCCAGGCCGAGAGAAGCTCGGGTCTTTCTTAGCATCGGGCGGGTTGGGCTGGCCCATGTAAGTTATGGCGTCTGGCGAGACGTCGCGCCAAGGATACTTACAATTCTCAAGTCAATCCTATCCTTTTGACTAATATCGCCGCGGATGACCTTGGACGGAAGAGGCACCGCGTTCCACCGAAGTGAGCACATGGAGCATTCGAACTTTCTGGGCCAGCTACAGGTTTGATGGGGATCCGGAACAGCCTCAGATTCTTGCAACCGCCAACCGACACCATGACCGTACTCTCGAGGCATACGAGAGTAGCCAGAGTAGTCGACGCTCCAACCCGTCTGGACCGAGTCCCCGCTGGTCACTGAGAGCGATCCATTCCCTTCAGACGAAAGATTGCACCCCTGTGTGGCTGGCTGACCTGTGACATTGCCGAGGTAAGAGCCAGCATCTCCGTCAACGCGGATGAGAACATGACGAGGTTCCGAGGAAGCTGTGGAAGACAGCTCGAAGGGATTGATCAAACCGGCTGTCGAGACCGGAGTCGCTGTTGCAAACCTGCTGGCGTTGCTTGCGCCCTGATTGTTGCTGCCAATCACAGTGGTCGACTCTCTTGAGCTCAACGCAGCGGTGGAGCTGGGCGAGGGTATCGGAAGAGGCTCTGAAGATTTGTCGTGAAGAGAAACCCCAGTATTCTGGCGAAAGCTGTTCGAGTTGACCAAGGAAGCAGCTTGGTCTCGGTCCTGGATCTGAACCTGGACGAGGGGACGAGTTGGCCATTGTTGCCGATGCATGGGATACCCATGGTGTGGCGAGGGAAACGGAGCAAAAGCGCTTGCCCCTATAGAACCGTGATGCCCAGAGAATCGATTCGAGATGGTCAGGCTCATATCGCGGGCGTCTTGCTTCTCAAGTACCGGCGGACAGGCAGGGTGTAGTCGACCGCCCAACGTCGTCTGCTTGGTTTTGCTGAGCAAACGCGTGTCTGATGCGTAGCCTCGAGCTTCCTAGGCCTGTGGTCTATTCTGCTCGGCACGGGTGACTGCAGATGAGAAGGGAACACAAAACCGCACGAGGAGCAGTAGGTGTGGGCGGAGGCAAGTTGTCATGTAAGATGAGCGGAGAGATAGATCTCAGACAGCAGCGCGGCGGAAGTGAATGGGCAAAGGGTGTGGGTGATAGGATTCTACGAACCGCCCCCTTGTCGGTCACGATCTGGGCTGCGCGGCGCCGTCAGGGTTCTTTCTGTCCATTTGAAGTCCCCTTCCTTCTCGCCTGAATCAGGAAAAAATAAAAAGGGCAAGACGAGTAATCCAGGGTGGCTGGCCCTAGTCTCAGAGTATCGCGGAAAAAAAGCAATGCGGGAACTCTGTCCCCTCTGGCGTCGTTGTCGACTCGTCGTAGGCTCTCTGACTATCCGTACTAGACCGCAACATGCTGGGCGAGCAATGACTCCAGAACAAGACAGAAGCAAAGTCCCATTCTGCAGACGCGAGTGCATGCACAGAGTCGGGTACGTATCCGTACGTACGACAGTTTGATGGTCTGCAGTAGGTAATCTTGGGACTGGAGCCCAAAAACACCGGGGGTCGGCGCCGGGACAAGGGAGGCCATGACATGACAGGGTTGTAATGTCGGGGTCGGAGTCGCAGCGGGATCAGGGCCAGACATTGAATTGGACGGACGGCCATTGCAACATGTGCATCCGTACCTAAACGTAGGAACGGGAGGCTAGATCTAGAGACTACCTAGATGCCATAGGCCGCCGTACTGGAAGACCGACAGACAAGGTCAGACAAACCCAAGCCAGAACGGGCGCGGCCTCGTGGCCCCCAAGTTGGGTTTCTTGCTCTGGGAAACCAAGACACCCAACCGCATGCCCCTGTAGTGCATGGTGTCGTGCCGCTGCCACTCTGCGCGCTGATGTGCTGTCATGCTCGTCACTCGTAGGAAGAAAGCCTCCCCTGTGTTTTACGGGCGTACGCAGAACAGAGAGACGCAGATGAGTTGCAGATTCCTGCAAGTCGTGTCTTGCCCGACCCCGTCAACCAACAATCCATGCTCACGTCGCTCCATCTAGTGTAGTGTGGCTCGTCTTGCATCGGTTCGAAGAGGGGCCTTCTTCTGGGGGGGATGGCTAATGGACATTATACTATCTCTCGTTACTTATCTTGACAGGAACCCCATTCACATTCGTTAGATGCTCGCAAGCCAATCCACAACTCCCCGATCGATAGACGAACAAGTTGCCGAGGGTCAACGGGCCCAGAAATGTGGACAAGATCTGGGGGAAGGCGAACCAATGGGCCATGTCCTGGACAGCGTACCTAGACTGCTGCACTTACATCTCGTTGAGGTTTAGGGCGCATGTGGATAATTGCTTTTTCTGCTCCTCTCCTCAACCCTCTGGAGTTATTTCCACTGGGAAATGGATACACGACGATGCAAACGTCGGATACCGCGTCAAGAGACGACGGAATGACCAGTGGGTATGGTCTGATGTGGTAGTCTTGGCCATGCTTTGTGGCTCACACACATGTCAACTGGATCGTGTTGCAATAAGGTATCCATACCTGTCCGTCCGTTGCCGTACGATTACACCGCGCGGCTCCGTACCCAACGATGGTCGTTGACTTGCGGCTAAGTTCCGGTCTTGCTGCCGTGACATATTGTTTGTATTGCCGTCTTGCGGGGACTTCCTGCGAGGATGCCCAGACTAGCTGTTGATGCAAACGGTATTCAAAGTACTCGTGATCACCGTTGCTACCTGGCGTTGGGCTGAAGCTGAAGGTTGGGTGCCCCGGGTCTGGACTGGTCTGGGCTGAGCTCAGATCAAACGTACTCGAGCCGGCAATCGTCCAAACATGATGCTGATGTCCCCTTGCAATTCGACAGCCAAAATGTGATGGGTGACGACCCGATCGACTGGGCCTGAATGATGCGCTTAAGCCAAGGTACCGATATGCAGGTTGATCAAGCTGACAGCAGCTGGAGCCCAACTTGCCGGCTGTCGACGCAATGTTCCGTCTGGTTTCCGGTTTCCGGAGGGAATCTGTAATGTGAGATGATGCTATAACTTCCATCCCTGGCTTGCCTGAGCGCAACGAATCCAGCCCAGCCCGGCCCAGCCCAGTCCAGTGCGATTCGAAATCACATCTCCGGGCGCTGTCAGGACTCAGATTCCGATCCGTGTGAAGAATTTGCGTACGCCTCCAATATCAGGCGCGGGTTACAAGTTTTGGCGATGACCACTCAGTTGAAGCCTAGCCCCAACGACGTGGAACTAGAAAAAGCAACATATTGCAGCCGGCATCGCGGAATTCCCAGCCGGCATACGATCGACAGCCTTGTGCCGCACCTCCAGCTCGAATGAGCGTGGCATTCAACCCCTGCTTCTTCTCTACCCTCCTGGTTAACTAGCGGTGTGTTGTGCTTGGTTCTTTTACAAAACGTGGACAGTCCGACGGGGAGCGAGTAACGAAGTGCACCATGGCCAGCGGGGAGTAAGGTGCAAAAGCCTTGCTTGACGACCAAGGGGATTGCGATCAGGGATAAAACATGTACATGTGAATCTGGAAAGGGGCGGGATGAGACCCAAGGCTGTCTAGAGCTTCATCTGTGCTGGTCATCTCAGCTGCGGTTGTACATGTCCGTGAGTAGCGGCACATATTTGTCGTGTGTGTCAGTTGACCTTGATGCCATGCCAAACCACCCAACCCATTAGCCAGGCGACAGGAACAGCGACCCCGCTCAACACGAAGCTGGCACGAAGTGACCAAACCGAACTACAGGACATTGCTGTGAGAACCCATAATCTGTTGCCCGTACTCCCCTCCTTGCCCGCTCGAGAGCGTCATGGCCGCATCCCTTCTTCGGCGTGGTTAAACTAATTGTCTCGGATAATGTAGAAGGCCAGGCATGGCCGGCGATCTCAATGGCCCCCGCCATCCCAATAATCTCAGCTTCAGCCACGAAATCCCTGGCAGCAAACCAAAACACCGGGAGCCATAGGGAGGCCGTGACCATTCGGATGATAAGAGCGATTCCGAGTCTCCCTAGATGCCATGCACCGTTGCAGGAGTACAGAGCGTGGATGACGGATGGGCTTGGCAACTGGTCATCAAGCATGAGCCGCATTATACCCCCAACAATGTTCATCCTCTAGCGCAGGTCGTAGTATCGCAGGACGACTAAGCGTCGACCCTTCCCGAGATTGACGCACGTCTGTTGACTAACATGTCTCAGCCTGCACAAACTACAAGGTTGGAGACATGATAAATGAGATAGAAGGAAGTCTGCGCCTCTGCTTGTGCTCCGTAGGCTACTGTAGGGTATATCATGCTGGCGTATGGCGGTCAAGTGCGCCCCTTGGTAACATGGTCCAAAATCAAATCCCGAACAAGTTCTGTTGGATAATTGCTCGCATATGAGAGAGGTGCTACCCTTCAACAATGAAATTCGACACTTGCAAAGATCGAATGCCAAACGCAGGCCGTGCTCAAGCGCTGGTGCTGAAGTAGTAGTTCTCCCACAGGTACTCATAGTCTTCCAGGATACCGCCGATGATTCCAGGTACCCTTGACCTCACGCCGCCAACAACGCCCTTCATGACGTTCTCGTAGAAGGCTCCACGCATAGTCCACCACCCCATAGCCCAGCCTCTCTTGCTCCATTCGTCGCGCTCGAGAGGCGTAGTTCTGAAGCTTCGATCTCTGAGCTGGCGAGCGGCATACTCGACACTCAGACCAACGAGCCAAGGCGTCCATGATTTCTTGTTCTTGCTTCTCGACAGAGCAACTGCATACACCAGAGGTGCCAGGATATGAAGTACTTCCGCCGCCTGTGCGCCTCCCTGGAGTTGGTTCAGCAGCTTAGCCGCAGGCTTAACGTCATCAGCCGTCAGGACCTTGCCCAGGAGATACCCGCTGATATCACCCGCATTTGGCAGGGATGGGAGGTTCATGCCGGTTCTGGGCATCGTCCAGTCCTTCTCGTGTGGCTTGGGCGCATCTTCGCCAGCCTCTGTGGCGTGACCATTCGTTGTTTCGCCCATCAACTCTTTCAAGCCGGCGTCATCCTCTGACTCTGGCTCTTCGGGAATAGGCTCACGCTCGGGAAGTACGGGGGTGACGAGTGGTCGCGCACGGGTCACGCGGAGCAGCAACAGGCGGCAGAAGGCTTTGATTGCCTCCAACAGAACAATAACGCGCCACCGGCCTCTTTCGCCTCCTCGCCTCTTGGCCGCCATCTCGCATAGCAGCTGAGTATACGTGACCATTTGCAATAGCATGGCAATTCGACGGTACATGGGACTGCGTTGTGTCCAGTACTTGGTGTATCGGCTGTGAGGCGACGGTAGTCGGGCTAAGGGGATGCGCGAGAGGGCGCGCATGAGCAGGGTATCATGATAAAGCGAGAGAAGTTGCACGCTCGAATGCAAGGTCTCGGATGCGATCTCGGCGTCGCGGAAACGGCCTGGGACGAATTCATTAGATGAGGGATGCTGACGACGGGCTATGGAGGGGCGTTACCAGGGATGATGTAGGTGAGCGACCGTAGGGCCGACTCTATTTGGGAAACCTGGCTCGCATTCTTGGTGATGAATTCATCATACATCTGAAGCCATTGCGGCGGAAGCGACAAAACGGCGCGAATTGGTGATGCCGGGTGCGAAAGTCGCGTTTTGTTGGGGATATCGGCTGAAGTAGACATTGCGAGACGTCTACACCATCGGCGGAGGCTGGTTGCGAATGCGGGAGACGAGAAGCGAAACTGTGAAGGAGAGGAGCACAATACAATATGTAGTAAGTAGTCTGGGAAAGGCGGAAAAGAAGATGAAGAAGCAAATGGTTTCGTAGATGAAGAAGTGGTGAAGATTAGGTATTAAGCTCCTGTTCGAAGACAGCTGGAGGAAGGTTCACGTAGTGGTCGTAGGGCGGTTTGGTAAGGTAGGAAGGAAAGAAGGAAGGATGGATGGATGGCATGGAACTAAAGTGCCTCTGCGCGCCTCATCGCGACGTGGACGGGATGCGCTGGGTTACTGCCGCCGTCTTAATTGCCTACCTACTGGAGGTAGGTGCCCTGAGTCCCCGACCTTGGGCCGAGGCTTGCTGTCATAAGCCGAGCACATGAGCTGACGGGAGTACCTTACCTACCTTACTTAGGTACCTACGTAGTAAGGCCCTTTGAAATTACAGCATGAGGCAGGAAAGTGGCATTATACCCCGTTTGTCCAATGCATTGGGCCAATGAAATTGCTTTAGATGCCTCAGTATGGGCGATCCCTGACTGCGAGTCTTCGCGTTATGTGCATATCCTTCCGTGTATTGCTAGCAGACTGTACTGCTTAATGGCCACTTGTGCACGCTGACGACCTCGATGATTGGCTTCACCGAACCGTCCTAACCGTCCTACCACGTCCAAGCAGGCCGCAGGTAACCCGGCTCACCAAAAAGGCCTGGGGGCTAGGTGTTCAAAAGAACTACAGCTTTTCCTTTTTACAGCCTCTCATGTCCCCTTGTTGTCGGGGCCGACCGTTTACGGGACATAACTGTCACATACCTAAATACACTGATCCCGGATGGGAGGTCGTCGGTCCCGATTGACAAGAGGCAGTCTTTGTCTCCACGGTGAAGGGGTAGGGTATCAAAAAACAGACATGCCTCACCCAAGGCCAAACTCCGTTGCAGGCGAAACATGCCCACGCCAGTTCTCCCCCCGAACCCCATGAGTACAGATACCAGGATGCTCAAGGAGTTGATGTGTATCGTTGACCGAGGTCACATAGTTTAAATGCCTGCTCGGAGTCGTAAGCAAATCAGCTGCTAGAGTCTCTCAAATCCGGCTTCCTCGAGCTCGCGTCCGGTTGGGAGCATTGGTCGTCCCTGCATCGGGAATGGCCAGAACAGCGGGTTCTCCATCACTTGCGCTGCCCGCGAGACCGACGGGCTTCCCTCACGCCCACTCCCCATTGCTGCTTTCGCCTCCCCGCTCTCGTCCGCACCGCCTCCCCACAGGCAGATGAAGTCGTCTTCGATGACGTTCGGTGCGAAGAAATTGAGGCTGCTCGTATACGGTCTAACCAGGTGCGCATACTCTGCGTCCGACCTGGGTGTTTGTCCCATATCCACATTCATGCCCCATTTCTTCGCCAGGTATCGGAGGATGTTGAGTGCCTGTTCCGCAAAGTGATGACAGGGGGCCATCTCTTCCAAGTCCCTGATGCCCTGCTTGATTGCTTCGACGACGCGAGGCGGGTGAGGCGTTTCGGCGGCCGCCTCAGCGGTTGGTTGACGAGATGCCCCGATAGCTAGATGCATGATGGCAGACGTGAGAACAAAGTATGGTACAAACGACGGTGTCCGCCGCAGTGTGTACAGTTGTGAATAAGAGCGGAGAAGGCCCTGGATCGCATCTGCTGCCTGGCTACACACGTCCCTGGGCAGAAGTTTGGAGCCAATGATTCGAAGCTTGATGAGTGGCCGGAAGAGAAGGAGAATCGCGAAGTGATAGTACATACTGCAATGGTGTAATTAGCATCCATTTCGACTGTTGATAAGATTTGGACACTTACTGCGCAAAGAGCACGGCGGGGGTGAAGTTATGGCCCAGCCTAAGCACTTCGGGTATTCTGTCATACCAGTTCAGGTATTGAGTGTAAATGCCCAGGAGGTCGCGGCTGGTCAATGGTCTGCCAGGAGAGTGGAGTATGTAGAGACTTTGATGCACAAGCTCGCTCAATTCACAGAAGCATTTGTAAACGGATCTAACGTTGGACGGCTGTTCGGCTGATCGCTGCAACGGCGCACCTGTGCGATAGTCGGTAAGCTATACATACCATACATACGTGCATGACGAGCAACGGGGTGCTAGACTCACCATCGTCCGTGTAGGGAATCCACAGCGATGCTTCGATGTCATCAATTATGGCGGGTTTTGGTGGTAGAAGAGGGAAGCATGAACATTGAGGAAGGGAACCTGTTGCCAAAGACCAAGCGCTTGAAAACCATTAGCCGGTGCTGAGACATCATGAGGATACCGAGGTCTTACTGGTCGAGGGCAAAGGCGCCCCAAAACGTGGCCGCCTGAACCGCAAATTCATCGTCGTCTCCTTCATCCTGCAACTGATGCAGACCCATTTCGATGGCCAGACGAATGCTCTGACCTGCATAGTACCAACTTTCAGAGTCCCGCCCGCAGCTGGCTTCGCGTATAGACATGATCCCCAAGGCTTGTATGGTCGTTAATCGGTGGTGGTCCTCCTCGAGGTAGAACAGTCGTTGCGCTTCCTTGAAGAAGTGGTCGCCCGAGGTGTAGGGATCGTTGGGATTAGCTCGCGTGCTAGACTTGCTTGAGAATCGACAACCCAAGGCCAGAAGACCATTCACCAAAATCGGTGAGCAGTATCGGTGGACACCGTTTTGGAAGTCTCTTAGGAAGTGTTCTTTGCTCAACGATGCGAAGGTTGGGTACTCCCAGCAAAAGTACAGGGCAAGCAGATGTTGAACGAGAGAGCCATCCTCGGTAATGTTCGTCCAGTTCTCTGGCGGAAGCTTCATGTCGGGCAATTCCAGCGGCGCGAGCACCTGATCAAGACCCTGATATCTTCCACCTTCAGATGCCTCCGTATTGCTAGCAGTCTCAGGCCACGTGTCAATGGGCCCTTGAGGCGGCCTGTTGGTGTCTGCACTCCAGTTCATCAAGTCGGGGTGAGAGTTGCTCCTAGTACTCTGGCTATGAGATGAAAGATGCCATGGGCTATTGGGGTCCAAATCTTGACGCAACCCAGACTGTCCTGTGATGGGACTCATGGTTACCGACCCCGGGCCTCCTAAGTTTCTCGTCCTGATGGGCGCTGGCCCAGGGAACCCGTGGCGAGCGCCTGAACTGGCGCCCGCGTCGCCGGATGACTCTCCTTGGCGCCCAAAGGATGGCCTCGCACCACCGCCGGATGGAACTGTGCCACCTAACCACTCTGAAACTGATTCGAGAGATTGGCCATTGCGCAGTCGTTGGAGCACATCTTCCCACATGTCAGACCGCACCAGGGCGGCGATGACCTGGTCGCTGGACCGCTGGCGTTGACGCAGCTGTTCGATCTCGGTTCGTAAATGTTCCTTCGATTGGCGGACAGGAATTTCGTAAACACATTCCACGTCCTTCTGGGCCTTACAGCGACCGCATGGCTTGTGGCCATCGCACTAGCGGAAGACATGTTAGATACTACGAATCAAGAATTTCGGGGAAGCATCTCTATGCAGAGGAGAAGTGTAGCAGCATGGTATACCTTGGCGCGCTTCTTTCGACATTCGGTACAAGCATTAGGGGTGACAACACCCAGACCTCTCCTCCTCTTGGACAACTGGCCAGGGCCAGAAGTGCCTGCCGGCGTCGGAGCGGAGGGTGTCGGAGCGGGGGCGGGGGCGGGCGTGGGAGCGGGAGCAGAAGATGCCCCCGCGGAGGAGGCAGCATCGGCGCCGGGCTGAGCCTGCGACTGGCCACCGGATGCCTCCTCCATATCGGCAGTACTTGCGCGCTTCAGGTTGACTGAGGGTAGCCTCGAGTCGAGTCCACAGAGCAAACGCGACCTTGAAGACTTTGTATGCGAATTGTCATACTGAGGCCGGTCAGAGACGGGCGGCGGACAGCATGTATTGGTCGAGGGTGGCGGAGCAGTTGTGACGTTTTTTGGCGCGGGCGGCGCGCTACTGCGTCGAGGGTCTAGATAGCTCGAGGGAGCTTTAGAACCAGCGAGCAGACACGCGAGGTATCAAGGCGCAGGGCGGTCGAAGTCGTCGAAGTCGGGTACGACTGGGTCATAGATGGCGGGTCGCAGAAGAGAAGTACACTTCACGCAGCTTCCGCGGGGTTTGCTCGTTGTTTTCTCCCTTCCTCGTCCTGGTTTTGTTCGCTAGTACGGGCGTCGTTTCGGTGTTGGCGGGAGGGAAGCAAGTGGGAGATGCTGAGAAAGAGGTGAGGAAAGCGGTTGGCACCTCGGCGAGTACTGGCTGCCCCTCCGCGCTGGTACCTGTAGCTCAGAGCATGCGTCTGTTGTAGAACCGATGCGAAGTGGGGGCGGAGATGGCGAGCAGGTATACAGGTACGCCGGCAGAAAAATGCCTAGCGGGCAGGGTAGGTCAGTGTATGAAGAGGATTGAAGCGGAAAAAAGTGCAGCTCGTGATGGAGAGGAAAGTGGTGGAAAAGGCGGGAAGGGATAACGGTGCAAACGGGCTGGTCGGGTCCAGTCCAGTCCAGTCCACGGCACGGCACCTCACCTCAGCATGCACTTGAACGGCTCGAGGCACAGACGCTCTTTGTGCTTTTTGGAGACGAGACGAGATGGGATGGATGCTGTAAGGAGTTAGATACTGAGCACCTGGAGCCGCTGCGTACCTCAGGGCACCTTTACCTTACCTTTACTTCAGTACACGGGTATCGGTACAGGGCAATTCCTTCCCCAGATTCGAGAGCTTCCGGCCGAACAAGGTCCAGGTGCTCTAGATCCAGCTTCCACGATTGAGGTGGAGGAGAAGCTTTTTGGTTTTTATTTTTATTTTTGGGGGGTTTTTTTTTAAAAAAAAATTGTAGGTCAGGTCCAGGTACCTTAGGCTACCTACCTTATGTCCAGATTGCTAAGGCAGGTAAGGCAAGAGCCACGACACAGCTTCTTGAGGCGGCGAACGTGTAGTGAGGTGCAGATAGAGTAAAACGCGGGCTAATGTCAATGCAAAGTGAGGTATCTTAAGCTACAGTAATCATGCGGCTACCTCACCCCACGCCAGACGACCGACTTAATGTCTAGGTAAGTAGGGCAGTTTAATCTGTTAAAGACTCTCTTTGATATCCCGTAACTTGACGAATGCGTAACACGAAGCTGTGTATTGGGAACTCCCTCGAGCAAAAGCAAGAAGTGCAGCCTGGAAGACTTACCTGTAAGCCTGAGGTGTGTTTTTCCCTTTCCCGCATCTGACATTTACCCAAGCGCTAGGCTGAGCAAGGTACCGTTTTCGAGATACCTACCGTAAGGTAAGGTGTGATGCATCTAACCCGTTATCCACAATGCCAAGTCAAGGTTGATGTTACTTCAACACATCTCTAGATTCTTTTCGGGTGCGCATCGCGACGTAAGCCAGCCATCCACCCGGGCTCATCTTTTACACCTCTGGTCCCCTTCCTAAGTACTAGCCGTACCGATACCGCGCCGGCACTCGAGACCTCTCTCGACCAAGCCGACGCTCACCCAACCCAGCCCGTACGTACCTTTTCTTTTGATCCTATCGGCAATCACCCGGTACCTGGGACTTGGAGGGAAGAGACAGCATCGTCATGACCACGCCCATGGCCCATGAATATGACCATGTACGGATAGCTGTGCAAGGACAGAATACAGGCCCCCATGTCTTGCCCAGCCACCCCGTCCCGCCAACCGCACCGTTACCCGTTGTGCCTGCGAATACTCTGTATCTCGTGTCGCCGTATTTTCCCGCCTGGATACTTTCCTCCGGCTGTCTCCTCTTTTGCAATTTCGGCGCCGCTTCACCTAGGTGTGATCTCTGAGCATCAGCACAAGGCGCATTATGAAACCCTGCCCCGCGCAGGGGTCTCCTTGCTGAGAACAACCACACGAGGGTGACGGATGCGCGGGTCTCCCGAAGCTGGTGATGGCGTCTTGCAATTTGACTGGTGTTTTCCCCGAGGAATTAGGTTTCGCTGCCCCGCGCCAATGGGCTTTTTCAAACCTCCCTCTCTGTCTTCTACCTACTGCGGTAGTGTAGAGTAGTAGTACCTCGGGTCACCATCATCATCGCAGGCTGCGCATCCGTACCTTAGGCCGCGACTTCTGAAGCAATACCGCTTCGCCTTTGCTGCTTTGCTCCGGCAACCTTGCGCGGCTAACCCCGACTTCGACCTGATGCTCCATGGGTCGAGCTCAGCTCAGCCCGACACTTGGAGGCCACAATGGCGGGTTGCCATGTTTCGCAGCTTTAGAGAGCCACGCCCAAAGCTTAGTCCTCCCACCAAAAGTCGAAATCCCTACCGAGTCAAATGTCCCAGAAATGTCTTACCCTGCGTTGGTGGTTGTCAGTTATGGTGTAGCAGCTCTTTTCGCGTTACACACCCGATGACTTCAGAGCACAGCAGCGTCTCAGTGGCGGAATCTACTCCGTCCCATACTTTGATCAGCGATCAAGAGTTATCATTCTCTCACAACCAATTCCCAGCCTGCGGCTGCGGGAAACGCGGTGGATCCTTTCTCCCTGAGCTGCGAGCTGGCATCACCTCGGCCGAGGACACAACCTCATAGAGACGAACGAAACCTTCAGCTCTGTTCACAGAGCGGGGAGGCATAAAAGGACACGCCCAAATTCTCCGTGCGCGCATGAGAGAAGACTGACGTCATGAAGTGGGACAGGGGCTACCTTGGGTGCGCCGCAGGAGAAAAAAGTCCAACTCGTCCACTCTTCAACTGCTTGATCGATGACTAAGCTCAGAGTCCAGTCCAGACCGCGTCGCTACTGCGGAGAAACAGCGGTTCCGCTGTCAGTCGTGACGGGACCTAGCGTAGGCCCGGACAAACGGGGACTGGGATGCCACCAGCGGAAGTCACCCAGAGCTGACTCGAGCATCTAAATCAGAGATTCAGAGGCTCCAAGGCAAGAACCATTGACAAATGAAATTTTGTATTCGCGGCCATGGGCAAGTAGCGGATGTGTTAATCCCGTCCTGCTCGGCCATGTACCCTAACTCTCGGAATCCATCGCCCGATCTCCTACGGACGGGCACAAGCCCAGGCCCAAGCTAGCCAGTTCGCTTTCCAGATGACGCCGCATCAACCCCAAGAACCCCGGACCCTGACTTGTACTTACACAAATAAACCTCACAACTCCAATCCTATGCAATGATGTGTCAATCAGACCGCCTCGGTCTTTTCTGTCGAGATCTGCTTCAAAATCCCTTGACGGGACTGAGACCGTATTTGACCGGGCTTCGCAGCCGATCACGGTCACCTTTGCTGGGGCTTCGGCGTCCCGAAGGCGTCCGGGGTGGCATGATCGATTTCATCTTTGGCGGCGATGCATCCGTGTCCGTAGCGTCGCTGTCGTACTTGAGGTGTCGGCGGTGTGACGGCGTCTGGATCGGCACCCACATGTATGCCTGTGAAGGCTCCGGGATCACAGACGGCTCCGGCGCCCCTGATGCCGCGCGGTGGGCCGGCGCCGGTCGGTTTGCGGCGGCCGTGTTCGCCAGACGGCCCAATGTGAGGTTGTTGGCAACGATGCAGAGAAGAAGAATGCCAAAGAAGAATACCTGCGACATAGTCAGGATACACGAAGTAGATCAAAAGAGGGCGATGAATCACTTACCCAAGCCTTGACTTGCATTGCGCCGGCAAACTCGTTGAGAATCTCTGCGATTTGCTTGACCGTAACTCTTACACGCATAATTGCGGACGGATCCTGAATCATGCACTCGTACCACTCGTCACACATGGCTTTCAGAGCCGGCCTGTCCTTCTTGGCGCACTCATTGAGTTGGTATTCCGACCGGCACTCTGCCATCTTGCTCTCGATCTCCTGACGGGCCACGTCGTTTGCGTTGCGAATGTCGGACCGGACTGTGTCCAGAATGGACCAGCAGAAGAACACAAACGCGGAGACAATGATGCAGTTGACTAGGAGTTGTATCCACCGGTAGAGATTCTCGGGAGCGTTGGGGTGTTCCTCGAGAGTGTAGAATAGGTTGCCGATCCAGCTGCGACCATTCCTCTTCTTCTTGTTCTTGCTGCGGCTCGACCCCTGACGATGTTCGTCATCCTCCGAGTCTTCTTCGGAATCCCAGTCCTGCGATCCGTGATACCGAGCGCTCCCACCGACGTCGCGATCCAGATTATGCCTCTTCCGCTTTCTTATGGCGGGGTAGTCTCGTGCGCCTCTAGGAATCTCCCCCTTGCCCGGCGCGTGGCGCTTCGACGACAGCAGGCCGGCCTTGCCGTAACGGTGGCTCTTGTCCACCTTTGAGGGTGTCACGGTGCCCATGTTTGCGTCTGCGAATCGGTCGACGTCGGGGGTGTCGTCTGGAAACTCTGAATTTTCCGTCAACGCGGGGCTACTTTCTGCGCCAGAGGCTTCCGAAAATGCCGACTCATCGAAGGGCTTGCGCGGTGTCGTGAAGGCAGGGTTACGGAACGGCGGTGCCGTGTGGCTGCTCTGGATTCTCGGGGAAAAGAGAGACGTCTGCGGTGGGAGAGAGGGAAGCGGCTTCGACGGGCTGTTCGCAAAAGGGTTCGGCTTCGACGGGCTGTTCGCAAAAGAGTTCGGCTTGGAGGGGCTGCTCGCGAAGAGGTTCGGCCGGGAACTGGCAAATTTGTTGGGGGAGTTGAAGACTATGGTAGAATAATGATTGTTAGCAGGCTAGGAGCTGAAAAGTGTACGATAGGCAGATCAGCAGCAACAAAAAAGCGATGTTTCTGCAAATTGCATGGACGAACTTACTATTCTGGTTACTGCTTTTTGCAACTTGAGAAAATGGGCTGGTTGCATCCAAAGGGCCACGATCCTGGTATTCCCATTCCATGGGACTTTCATATGTCCGACGATCCATGTTGGAACTCTCCTCGCATGCACAGGTTTTTGGTGAAAATAACAAAGGAAGACGAAGAGAAGATATAGCGAGGGTGGTGGTGGTGGTGGTGTGTGAGAATAATGCGACAGCTCAACAACACCTTGTCACGGATGGTCAATCAGGTGGCGGCCAACGGAAAGGAAATGTTCTGACTGAGGTGCTGTCAATGAGCAAACCACAGGGCACATTTCAAAGTAAACAAACCGTGCCTGAGGCAACGGAACAAACCGAAAATCGGTACGTATCCTGTGCTGTGGCTGGTGAATCACACTTGGGTGGCTAGGTTGCACCTTCCACTGGACCCGACTGGACGGGACTTCTTACATTACCTTAGGTACTGGGCTGTCGCGCTTCTCCTAGGCTAGCTTGGGCCACCTGAAAATCGAAGGGCTGAACGACATCTTCCATCTTCAATCTTCATCAACAACAGCTACTTCGTGTCGCCCCTAAATCTTACGACTATCGCGGCTGAAAATCCTTCTTTTACGTCGCAGCTGCTTTGAACTCGACAACCTAACGACAGGGCGTCTCGTTGCCCTCCAGAGCAATAGCAAGTTTGCCGTCGCCGAAATGTCCGACCTCGAATCTCTCCCCGAATCGCCGGCGGCCATCGATCGCGATGACCACGCTGAGGACGAAGAGCCTCGTGAGGGTGCCGGTGGCGCGACTGCCGAAGACCTGTCCGATCAGGAATCAGATCAGCTCTCGGAAATCGACGAAGACCAATTCGAGGACTACGATCCAGCTACGGCCAATATTGAGGATCGCCCCATAACGGTGGATGAAGACGTCGCCAAGACGCTCAAAGCCGGAAAGCGCAAGGTGGCTGAGGGAGAAAAGCCGAGAAAACCGAAGGAGGGACGCAGAGATAAGAAGAGGGCGCGCGACGATGATGCGGCGGGCGATGCGGACGGCGATGCTAGGGGACCGGCTCGCAAGTCGAGACGCGCCGGTGCTGGTGACGGCGAGCGAAAGCCGCGATCCAAGGCTGCTTCGCCCGAGATCGATGACGAGTCCCATCTGTCTCCCGAGGAGCGTAGGCGCCGTGCGATCGACCGGGCGTTGGATGCCGCGATGAAGGGACCTGCCAAGCGCAAGAAGAAGAAGGACGAAATTGTGGGTTTCGCGCTTCACCGGGCGCTCTGCGGACCTTTGCTAATGGTACGATGCAGGACTTGGAGGATGAGATGGACGATCAGATCGCCGATCTCAAATTGGCCATGGAGAAGGCATGTGAGGCAGACAACTCTGCGCGCGAGCAAGGCCAGCCCGCTGTCCACAAGCTTAAGCTCCTGCCCCAGGTCAAGGATTTCCTGAACCGTAACAATGTGCAGCACGCCATCCTTGATCCTGATACCAACTTCCTTCAACACGTCAAGTTCTTCTTGGAGCCCCTGAACGACGGCAGTCTCCCTGCGTACAACATTCAAAGGGAAATCTTCCAGGCGCTTATCCGCCTACCTATCGAGAAGGAAGTGCTTTTGAGCAGCGGCATCGGAAAGGTCGTCTACTTCTATACCCGTTCCAAGAAGCCAGAGGCTGGCATCAAGCGTATGGCTGAGCGTCTTTTGGGCGACTGGAGTCGACCTATCCTCAAGCGCACGGATGACTACAAGAAGCGCCACATCGAGACTCGCGAGTTTGACTATGAGTATGTTCATTTTGATCCTTGTATTTGCGACGTGTGCATTTTCTGACACATTCATCAGGGCTCTCAAAATGTCACAGCGCCAAGCTGGCAGTTCACAATTCAACCTTCCCCAGAGGCCCTCACAGTCTGCCAGAGAGGCTGAGCGTGAGGCTATGCTCGCTCCTGTCGTTACCTCCAACCGAGCTCGTCCTGGTGGCCTGCCTTCCAGCTACACAATCGCACCCAAGAGTACGTACGACGTCTCTCGCGCGCCTGATCACCGTCCTATTGGCGCGGGTGGCCTGGAGGCCTTCCGCAAGATGACCGCGAAGGGCAAGAAGCGGTAAAGGCCTGCTGCGCGGCATTAGATGACAGTAGTGACGGTGGTGATGGTGGTGGATTCGACGGCTCCGATTCCAACACAAACTTGGCCGAGACCTGTGATTGGCGGATGATGAGAGCAGGCAGAAGAAGGGTTCTCAGTACTCTGCGTGAGCTCCACGGGGACATAGTCTGGCAACTTGTATGATTTGAGCATCGACGGCGTTCCGGATCGTTGTGAATGGGGCGGGAGGGTTCGATGGGAATCCCCAGGGAGAATTCGATATTTCAAAAAGCGTCGACAAGAGGCTGCCGGTAGACTGGAAAAAGAAAATGGCAGATAGAGCCCAAGAGACCCCTTCGAAAACTACTCCAACTGCACAGTCCTCCGTTGTGCTCGACCAGCCATACATCATCAACTGGATTTGCTTCTGTGGTGACCTTATCTCGGATTTGAAATACATTGATTGCGCCCCCTATGCTACCCTCGCAACGTAGAGGGCGGCAACGGAAGCTCCAGCATCAAAATACACCGTTTATCCCTCTTGCCTTCCTCTTCTTGAGGTGCTGAACGTTCCCCCCCAGAAGTGACGGTAGACCCTGGGGTTGGCTGGGAAAGTTAGCGAGACTTCGATGGGAGAACGGACATCGAACATCTCACTCACGTAACACCACACTGGCATGTTCAACACAAGACGTCATGAGTTATCCGTGGCGTGTCACTCACTCACTGCGACATAGGCATCATCGGCCACGCTTTGATCAATCATGATGCATCTCGTTTTCCCCCTAGGTCCAGCACGGCATCAACTATACTTAAGTACTACTAACCGAAGGACCACACTTGTCCATTCCAAAGGCCCAGGCCGAGGAGGTCCACGTCGCGTTGGCCGCAGCAAAAAAAATCTTTCTCTCGTCTGTAATTCCTCAAACCCGCTTCTCGCTCTTCCATGCAAAGTGTTGGTCGTACTGAACCACCTCCATGAAAACAAGACTTCTATCTAATCCGTCATTTCAGGGGTCTGACAACGTTGACCAAATATCTTCTTCAAAAGCGGGGTCAATCACCCCTTTTCTTCTACCCTCTTCCCCCCTCAAGTCGTTTGCAGTTGTTTTGGTGATGATGACAATGTTGTGTGGTGGTGGTGTTTGAGGCGTGCTGGGAAAAGTGTGTCTGTCTTTGGCACTAGCACAAAGAGCAAAATTCCATGCATGCATGTGCTGCTGTTCTTGCTGCAATGTGCGTGCAGAAATAGGTCAAAGCCAATTCAAGGTCCAATATGGGGGACAAACGGTGCAGAAGGACTGTGCAAGGGGGATTGGGGGCCTCGACCGTTCATTTGAATTAGGGATGATATCTTGGTGGCCCCCCGTGCTTTGAAAGCGGTCTTCATTATGATCCCCCCTACCGTTTCCGCACTTCTGTCGCCCATCCATCAATGCCATCACCCCGGCTGCCCACCTCAAGCCCATTGATTTTCACACCCTTCATACCAGGTGTATCATCAAGCCACAAGTGTCCCGCCATGCCACCAGCATTGGCGCGCTTTTCAGGGACAAGCTCCAGCATGGGGGTGAGGAAATCAGCAATGCGCTTCGCCTCTTCCTCCTTGAAATGGTATTTCTCGCGGAGGACGTCTGGCAGAGCCCAGTGTCGCAGGCGATGAATGTTACGCAATTCGCCTTTGCGGTTGAAAATCTCTTGTGACCACTTCCCAGATAGACACAGCGACTTTGGGAAGGGTCCAAGGAGTTCAATGATCTGGGCAATGTGGTCGTCGTCCTTGCCATACTTAGTTCCGGACTGTGGATCGAACAGATAGTCGCCAGTAATCAGCTCGAAGACCTGAACGATGAAGAGTCAACATTTACGTATACCTCAATAAGACACAACTGCCAAATGCAGCCGAGTGGCTCGAGAAAAAACGTACCATCGCAGCCATACTCCACACATCTGTGCTTGCGCCCCATTTCGCACCAAGAATGACTTCGGGTGATCTGTACTGCCTTGTCTGGATATCGTTGGTAAAGTGGTGGTTGACCCAGCAGGCGTTGCCCAAGTCCGCAATCTTGACGCTGATGATATCGAAAGCGTGGGCGTCTTCGGCCTTGCGCTTCTCTCCGGATGACGGCGAGCTGCTCGTCTTATCGAGGGAAATACCTGAAACTTCTTTCGTGAGGAGGTCGCTGCACAAGGAAAAGGCGGTCAGTATCAAATAGAATCATCCACTTTTCGCAAGGCGGGGTGTTCTCACGCTGTCTTTTCGCGCGTTTTCTGGTCAGCATCACGCTTCGGAGAGGGTTCCTTGGATCCTTTGCCTGCGAAAAAAGACAACGTTAGCTCGTCGTCGTATTGAAATGTCCCGACCACTGTCTCTGCATGCACCAGTGACAGGTGGCTTGACCGGGGTGCTTCTGGAGTGGCGCGATTCGCGGGGTGCCAGGTGGCGGTGTTGGAAATGGCACATACCTTCGTGCAGCATTTGGCTGAGGCTCGTGTGGGAGTTTGTGGAGGGGAAGAGATTGTTGTGATTGAAGCTGGCGTTGAGGGGGGACGGCAGCGGCTGGCTGCCGGTGATGAGAGTCCGTCTCCTCCTGCGGCCGTTTCTGTTGTTCTCCTTGTCGCTGGGGTCGCTCTTGACCACCTTTTTGACGATTTGTTCGACGTCGCCGATCTCGATGAGGACGTTTTCGGGCTTCAAATCAGTGTGGATGATGCCGCATTCGCGGTGGAGGTAGTCGAGGCCTAGCAGCACCTGTTTGGCAATCTGCTTTACAAGGGGCATGGGAATGCCTCGGTGGTTCCATTTCTTAATCAGGCCCAACAGGTTCTCGCCCAAGACTTCGAAAACCATGCAGACGTGGGTTCCGTTGGGACCCTTGTGCTCGAACGAGTCGAGGAGGCTGACGACATGCTTGCGGCCGGGGTGATCGGGCTTTGCCTGGACGATCTTGTTGAGCAGTTTGATCTCGTCAATGGCGGTCTCGGTGTAGTGTGCGGCGGAACGGACGACCTTCAAGGCGACGTGCTTGCCCGAGACGTTGTCTCTAGAAAGCCAGACGGTGGAGAAGTGACCCCATCCCAGCTTGCGCACAACAGTGTATTTGCCGTCCTTGAACTTTTCGCCAATCTGGACAGGGTGGTAGCCGCCCTTGCAGTAGTCCTCAGAATCTTCCTCATCGGCCGTGTTCTCGGCGGGATCGTCGCCGGAGGAGGTCGAGGTCGGCGAATTCTGCATGGCAGCAGACAATTGGTGGGTTCTGCGACGAGGAACAAGAAGGTTAGCTTGTGTTTCGAGCGCATCGAAGCATGTAGACGAGACAAGGCGGCGCAAAAAAAGGCGTCATCAAGAGTGTGATTGAAATGGCGGGGGTGGAGAAGAGAGTAAGATAGAGCAGCAGGTTCAGGTGGGCGAAGATTTCGCGGCGCTTCTGAAGAAGCTCGACCACAAAATGCGACAATTCAGAAGGGGGCGGACGGAGAGTAGAAACCTTGTCTTGAGGAAGCTCATGTTCGCAACATTGCGCATCCAGCGCGAACAGTCCTATAAGCAGAAAATGAAAATGAAAAGGACAGCAGAGCGGAGGACCGAGCGACGAAGTTCGAGAACCAAAGCAAGAATGAAGGGGGAAATATCAAAAAGAGGGCGGATCCAGTGCGAAACTGGCGCCGCTCACAACATGGGAAAGTAGTGACAGCGGCAAGTCCAGTCAAGCCAAGTCGTGACTGACTGGGGTGGGTAAAGGTGTGAATGGGAGGGGGGAGAGGAGGGGGTGATCAGGAAGGGACGGTGGAAAAGAGTTAAGGTCGGTAGGTAAGGTAGCAAGGTAAAAAAAAAATAAAAAAATAAAAAGAGGCGGGCGAGGCGAGTCGAAGCGAAGCGAAGCGCGGGAACAATCAGCCAAGCGTACAGGCTAAGAGAGGTAGGAGGTAGAGGTAAAGGTGGGAAGGATGGCAGCCCAGGTTAGATATGGCGAGCAGCTCAAGTAAACAGTGGGCAGGAAAGAAAGAAGGGGAGGGGGGGAAAATAACGTAGGTAGGTAGCAAAGCAGGGCAGGTAGCGCGGGAGGGGTTAGTGATGAGCGCGCGCGACGACAACGACAAGGACAACCTAACAGGCAGGAGATCGGACAGACAGACGGACGGAGAGAAAAAGAGAGAGAGAGAGGATGACGGGTGAGCGTGAGAGTGGTCTGGCGACGCACAAGTCTGGGCCACCTTGGCCAGGGTCGTCGGGTCGCATCAGGAACAGTGGAGGAGGGTGACGGTGTGAGCACTCGCGTCAGCAAGCCCAAACCCAGCAGCTCCATCTCCAGCTCCCTCCAGTTCTCCAGACCGTCTCTCTTTGCCATATGTCCGTCATGTCCTTGATCTGCCCGTATCTCTTCAGAGTGAAAGAGAAAACAGAAGGAAATTCAAGTTTGCAGCAAGTCATCATGCGAACCCACGCATTTGCCAGCCCAGATGTGACGGTTGTTGGTTTCCAGAACACCCCAGCCCAGTCCAGTGCAGCAAGTCGTCCAATCCAGTCCAGGTCCCGAGTTAGTATATATTCCGGAGAAGACGCAACACGCGATATGCTTCAGTCAGCGCACTCGACGAGCCGAAACCTCACCTCTCCGCTCCTCTTTCACCACAGCCATCCCCTTTCCACTGCCCGTCATCAATCTTGGGTATCCGTCGTACAGGCGGAGCGCAGCGTAGCGCGACGCAGACCACTTCAACAAGATGCACCTCACCGGTGCTGCGCATCATCGGCCCCGGCAGGTAACTTGCAGTGGCGGCGACAGCTGGCGACCCGTAATACCTGTGGATGAGCGGTTGCCTTCCACCCTGTACGGTCCCTCTCTGCCATTCTGGCCGATCTCTTGCGCGCCAAACGTCCGTTCCATCTCCTCCAATACCCAGCCCTGTGTGCAACAACAGCCGACGCGCCCAATCCAGTGACAGATCCCGTCGGGTATCTGTCCCGTTGGCGTCCGACGGTCTGTTCCTTCCTTTTCTGATCTCTTTCTTCTAATTCTTCGCTGCCGTAGCGTCTTCGAATGCGATCCTGTTCTTTGCATGCTTCCCAGGTGCTCGGGAGTGAGACGTTCTGCGGTGTGGTCCTCGGCGCCGACTGGCTTCTGCTTCTGGCTGCTGCTGCTGGACTGGACCGAATCGGACTGGAATAGGCTGGACTGGTTGTTGACTGGACAGGCCTGCTGGACTCGACAACCCAAACTGGACTGGTCTGGCTGGATCCCCCCATCATTATCCCCGTACTCCGCCCCGCCAGGATGCGCAGGGAAGAACGTGCGGCATCGGGCACGGCGGTTTAAACAGGATAGAGGGGTAATAGCGGGTGGAGGGTGTTAAGGTGAGGTAATGTCCTGTGTAAATGAAGCTTGGGACGCTCAACAGCATCCAGATGGAGGCGATGGAAAACAACAATTTCGATGGTCCCCGCTCGTCAAAGAAAAGAAATAAAACGATACGGGTGCATGAAGGTACAAATAACAGAAGGAAACGCTCATCAGACTTACGGAGGAGTCTCGGTGGTGATGATAGGCTTCAAGCCCTCCTTCTTGCGCTTCTTGGCGGCCATGGAGTTGCCATTTGCATTGGCGTTGGCGCTGGCATTGGCGTTCGCGTTGGCCGTCGCGGGCTGCAGAGGCTGTTGCGCAACCGGCTCTTGAGGCTCCTGGGTGCCGTTCATGATGGGCAGTGGAATGTGTGATGCGGAATGTGAGGTCTCGTCCGAGACGTTGAGTGTGGGGGACAAATTGGGGGGCAAGACCGGCCAGTCCAGGTTCAGGTCCAGGTCTAGGTCCGGGTCCGGGTCCAGACGGACAGGTCGAGGTCAGCAGAACGCACCGCCGGCGTTCTTCGATTGGCGATGTTTCGTCTGTGATGACCAGTCCAAGCTCGGGTACCCGATTGCAGCGCAGCGACTAGGGGGCGGCTGTGCGTGCGCCTGTCAATTATCGGTATCGTCGTCCAAGATATTCGGCTGTGCGACCCGGACAATGGTGTTGAGCTTCCTGCTCGTCGGGTCAGGTCAGGTCAGGTCGGTATCGCGGGATTTTCCCTGGTCGGGCGGGTCGTCGCGCGGTCGGTCACCTCGAGGAGGGGCGCAATTGAGGTAGCGAGAGCTGGTAAAGTCAAGTCGGAGCAGAGGTCGACAAGCCAAAGGACTATCTGAGTCGGCGATAAAGCGAAAGAGACGCGGGAAGAGCTTCGCCAGGAAGGCGAATGGATGATGACCAAGACGATTGCGACTGCGACGGCAATAGACGATGGCGAGAAGGGCGTTAAAACAGCGTGGTAAGCGGATCCACGGAGTTGCGAGAGACGGGAGCGGAGGTCGAATATTGCTGGATCAAGGCGCGTCCAGTCAGCAGCACGCTAATCGGGTACCGGGAATCATCAGATGTGCGGTGATGCGATGCGATGCGACGCGATGCGATGCGATGCGGCGAGGAACAGGACGAGCTTGGACGATGGAGCGGACGCCTCGGTGTCTTCTGGGCGCTTGTTGGGGTTGTTGGAGGTGTTTATTCGCGAACGACGTGGCCAAGCCGGATGGTGATGGCGAGAGATGAGAGTAAGGTAGTAGAGCAGAAGAGAGAACAAAAGGCGTGCGACTGACTGGTTGCTGGGAAAATGTGTGAGGTAAAGTTCGGATGTTTTGGGTTGGATAGGTAGAACAGGTCAGGTAGGTAGGTATTGATAGACAGACTACCTCGGAGCAAAGAGCAGCGTGGAGGTAGAGTACCTTGAGGTCGGTTAGGCAGGTAGGTAAGGTAGGTTTGGGTACCTTACGAGGAAGAGGTCGGGTGCGATGTAGATGTGAACTTGGAAATGCGGAAGCGTGTTGCGATGGCGGGGCCGACTCCGTCGACGTCCAGCTCTTTCTGTACCTTAAGGGGTATTCGTAAGGTGCCCTGAGTGATGGCTGGCGGTCGGGTCCAGTTGCTTCTCTTTCCTCTCTCCCCGTCATTCGTTCTGGTCTTAGTTACAGTACCTGGGCCAAAAGGACGTCATTGATGGGAGCTGGTAAGTTGAGTCGTGGTGTGCAGGTGCAGGTGGTGTCAGTGGATGGTGGGGGTCTTCATCTCAGGAAGGGAAAGCGCGGGAAAACATGGGGTCTGACTTGTGGTTTCTGGCTTTTTTTTTTTTTTTTTTGGCAAGGTAGCAAGCAGGTTGGTAAGGTAAGGTAGGTTACGCACCTCCAGCAAGGTACCTTGAATTGAAATTGATTGCGAGTGTGAAAGTGGGAGATGCAAAAAGCAACCTGGAAACCAGGAAAGAGGCCTGGCACCTTCTACATTGGCAAGAAAGGCGGACACAACGGCGCCATTACTTAGGTAGGCACTTACAGTTGCATTCAACATCTAATGCTTCACACGCATGCGTCAACAGAAGATGCCGCGAGAGCATACCAGTGTTCCGGATTCCCTCCGGACGAATATGAATACCACAGGGATGGCTGTTGCATTGAGTGTAAGATGAACGAGAGCAGCCCACGACTGCTGAGCATTGAAATCCTAAGGTACTGCTTCAAGCAGTCGCATGCATTTGCACCAAATGCTCTCTACACACAAGATATTCAATACGATACCGAGGGCACATCAAGGGCATGACCGAACCAGTGTTCAACCCTGGGAGACAGATAGCAAGGGAATGTTTCAACACCGGGCTCGCTCGTGTTTTCCATACACTGTAATAAGGCGCTTTTGGGAGCTCCCAGCCACAATCCAGTGCCTGTGAAGCGCCTTAAAGTTGAGATGAGAGGGATCCAATTGATAAAGCACTCACTTATATAGTACGGATAAATGCAATACGCTGCGCAATATAATATAGCTACCCTTATAATCTAGCTATTAATATTATCTTATTATACCTAATAAGTATATATTTAATATTTAATATTCTAAAAGAATAAAACTCTATTTTAATAAGCTTTATAGTATATATAGTAATATATAAATAGCTTTACTTAAAGTTAAAGGGGATAAAACCTTAATAAGAGATATTAATCTATAAGAGATTATTCCTTTTATTATTAAAACTATATTATAACTTTATTTTTTTATCTATTTAAAATATTATTTTATATTCTTTATTTTATATTAACTTTTATTATTACTATCTTTAATATAATTTTAAGTTTTAACTCTCTTTAAATTTTTAATACTTTTAAAAATAATATTTCTTTTTATTTAAATTAAATTAATAATATTCTTTTTATATATTATATTAATAAGAATATTATAATAAATACTATCTTTTTAAAGAAATAGATAATTTAGTAATAATATATAAGTTATATAATGCTATAGTAGAATTTAAACTTATTTATAGCTTAAGTAGTAGCTAAAATAGAGTATAATTTACTATTAATCCTTAGTATATTATAATATAGTAAGCTATATAACGATATAGGGCTTAACCTACTTAATATCCTAGTAATAGTGGGATAGTATATAGAGGTGCTGCTTATATAGTATGGATATATAGGTACCTTAGGTGATGAGCTGCTCTGGGCAAGCTTTATTGAGCTTATCTGAGCCGTCGGTCGGGCCTCATCACTGTGAGAAGAACCAAAACACCATGTGAGAATCGCCATGAAGACAGACGTTGGCGCTCGGGGCAACGAGAAGAAAATGAGAAAGACGGGGGTTTAGGTACGGATACCCAACATAGGATATCCTATCATGGCGCTTGCTTCACCAACGCACGCCATCATATCGTCACTAGCGACCGGGTATTCAGTGGAGAAGAACAGGGTATTTTCCTTGTAACCAAAGGCGCTGACTGGTTGTTGAGATGAGGACGAACTGGATCCATCAATCATTCACATTGGACCAGGACCCTGACCATCTCAGTGACCTCACTGCTCACTGCCCAATGCCCCCCCGTCTCTTTGGATTTCATTCTGGTCTCTGGAATGTTTATTATCTCAGGACTCGTGGATAATGTGAGGTTGTGAACATCACGTGGGTTTCAAACTCGTGTTCCAGCAATACGTATGAGATCACTGTTGAGTCGGGAGAAACCATTTTCGACAACACCTATTCGTACCTACTTTTGGGCCTCGACGTCCCTCTGACGCGGGACAGTCCAATCGCGGAATTCAACTCGGCCCCGTGTTGTGTGACGTCCACCTTGGTCGCAACAACCAGACCTGTGCAGTTACTGCCACACTTTGCGGATGCGAACTAGGAAGGTATTGAATCACACAGGACTTCATTACACACATAACAGCATCCCAAAGATTCCTTATCCTTACCAGCCGCAACCAGCGTCGTCTTGAGTTCGGCCGGGATTCTGGGCTTTGCCTCTCAGATTAGTGTATTAGCTTCTACAGCTCCCATATTATTCCATCTCTCCTCTGTTCCCCTGAGTTCTTTGTCCAACAACGGATGCTTGCGGAAATTTCAGCCAAGGTACGAAAGACACCTGGATCCCAGCTCTGGCATGATTTCATTGGACGGAGCTGGACACTGCCAACAGGCTTTGTCCATGTCGGTTTGTTCATCCATCGCGACTCGACAACATCTTCAACAGACATTTTCCCTGGATTTGCGCTCCAACTTACCCACGTCCTTGGGTCCGAAAATTTCATCAAACTTTTTCTGTCCCTACTCGATGCCCGGCCTAGCACAGGAACGGCACAGGCACGCCAGTGCGGCTGCTTTTACACACACCGCCTCCGATAATCAATCAACATGAGACCCAATACCGCAGAACTTCTGTAGCACAAAGTCTTGACCTCTCATTAGACAAGCGAGCTCCCATTGGACCAACAAACCTGGAATCATAGGACTCGACGAAGTAATAGTCGACCACAGCTGGCTGCGCGGGATGGAATCCTCGACGTCGTCCAGAAACCAGGCTAGTCTGATCCCTGCGTTCCTTCTAGTGTGGATGATATATTTTTCCGCCATGTTCGCGCCCGTCATCGACGGAGCCTCATATCCATCCAACGTCGACTCGGCAGTCGAGCCAGATGCTCGGACTCTTCCATGTCAATTCCTCCGGCCTTTTCGCGCTGAAGGACACGTGACAGGAAACATCTATTCTTGAGAACTCATCGGTATCGCGACAAGGCCGCGTACTTCTTACCGAGGAGACCTGCAGGGCTGTCGCATGCCACGTTTGAGAACGACGGCTGTGTCATTGTTACCCCGGCCTGGGCATTCTGGTCAGTGAACCGAACTCCCTTTCCGTGATCCGAAGCACGGGAATCCGATACGCGCCTTCTGCTTTCCGCTGGCAGCTCCGCATTCCGCGAGTCGGGATCAGCCTGTTTCGGCACAAGCTCCGGAGCATCGCGCCGCAAATGCCGTATCTCACCAAGATGTGTCTTTGATATCGACATCGCCATAGTTATCGACGACACAGATCACGGTGTGTGGTTAGCTTCAACTATTGTTAAATCCCTCCGCAGAACAAAGGCACTCTTCGCAGAGCTATTGTATTATATGAATAATGTCAGACACTCGGATTTAATTACAATGAAATATTCTTTTGATTTGGCGTATTTTAGGTACGTAACACCAAATATCGACTCACTTTGGTATTCAAAGGTCTCTTTTGTTTATGGGCCAACACTTTGTCTTCGACTTCAACAACATAGTCTGGACAATGTCCTTCTGTCCCCTGCTGGTGGTGATTTCCATGGAGAGCACTGTACATTACTGCTGCGTAGGATACGGGCCTTGATATCTTCTCAATACAAATAGAGATGTTTCCATTCGATAGAGTCAGTCATGTTCGGCGGACCATCTTCCCATTCCGAATTCAAAGCATTAGCACGAATCATCAACGTCGCGTCATTCATCTCTTGCTGTCTTCAGCCAGGCAGTCATCGCAGTCGATAAGCCCAATCATATTTCCCAATATACCGCGACCCTGCCGTCTTTCACCAATATGGGAACACATTTCGCGGCCTCCGAATTGGCAATTGATTATTCCAATCACAGCACACATGAGTTCGTAACCAGACTTATGAACTCCACTCTTCAGGAACGACATGTAGATCCGAACTGGCACTACGATGGACATCGCATCACTGACAAGACAGTCCTCGAGGTTAAATTCATTTCCAGTCCCAAACGCCGAACCACATGGCCCAGGGACTACTGGTTCAGGCCTCGTTATACGCAACAATATCCTATCCAGATACGTACGACGGTCCATGCTGACTTAGCTGGTCTGGCCAGGAGGTACGGCGCTAGTATCAATGACATCCACAGCTTCATGCGCTTCCCTCCTGTCAGGGCAGTTGTGCGAACCCTCCTGATCGAGCTAGAGAGGCCAGAAGCCCAGAGCGGCCAGCAGCCAAATGATACCATGATCGTTGATCGTGTCAACGAGGCTATTCTTAGCACGTCACGATCTGAACGACACATTCTACTCACGCAGATGACGCAAACCGGGCTGTCAGATTTCGCTGACAGAGCTCTCACAATGTGTCTCATCAAGCTGTACGTTCACTACGAGACTTGGAACCGCTGGGAGTTCGGGCATGGCGACCAGCGCCCCGTAGTCACGATACTGACTTCGATCGTCGGTCTCTTCTGCAACGCCTGGGTCAACGCCCCTGAAATCAGCCTCACCTGGGGCCATCTTACAAGAACTCTTCTCCCCACATTTCCCTACAGCGATGTCGTCGCCCGCGACGGGAACCTAACCAGAACATGCCTCACCCCCGAAATCTGGCTGGAGTGGTCCCTGATGTACGACCCCTGGATCAGAAGAACTGACTCCATACAGCTCCTCTCACCTCAGGACGTCGAGGCCGCAACTCCCTGCCCGAAACCTCCAGTTTACATCGCGGCGGTCTCCGAGCCGGAAGCAGACAGGGAAGGACGTGTCGTGGTGAAGTATCAAAGCAAGCCCGACGAAGAGCGTTGGTCGTTCAAGGCCATCCTCGATTCCAAGTGGGCAGGTAAATCACCCAGGACAGGACTACAGTATCTCGTCGGCTGGGAATATGCTGAGCCCACGTGGCAGCCTGCCAGAGACCTGCAGGGCTGTGAGCCGTGGGTTCTGGAGTTTCATCGATCCAACCCTCACAAGGCCGGCCCGATGCCCAAGTTGAAGCGCCTCCTTTGAGACCATTAACTTTTTGTTTGTCTTGTACCTTTGTCTTTCTTCCGTTTCGGCCGTCGAGCTTCGTCGAGCTTCGTTGAGCTTCGAGCGCCCGCCTTCCTTGCCCTGTGTAAAGACTATGGCTTCAAGCGGCAAGCAAACGGAAGTAGATTCAGGAGTGGCTACCTGGGGAGACGACTGAAATGGATACAGAGCTCCAACGAATAGCACAAATCCCAAAGCCGTGGATGCCGTGTGCGCGACTTTCATTGGCAGCCTCTGTGATTCCAAAGTCAATGTGTCCTCTTGGAGCTGATATACCACCATAGTATATATAATCCAGTGATGAGACTCGAGAACAAATGATTAGTAGGTGAGTAGATATCAGGGAGTACTGGCGTGTGCTGGCATGCTTCTTCTAAGGAACATCACAAATCTTAAATATTTATCCATTTAATACGTATCTGACAGCAATCAAGCTAGATACATCGCAACTTGACAACACATTGGAAGGATCACAATAGAGCTAAGCAAAAAGCACAAAAAATACATACAACACCAGGTATTCGCTGGTCGTCACCGACCCAACTACTAATCCGGCCCTCATTGGCTTATCTATGGGAGAGCGGACGGGATCCCGAGTTTTCCAATGGGTATGGTCGTATGTGGCAATTGCAGTCATGCAAGAGTCCCATAAAGGGTCTCACGCAGGTTTTGCACCATGTCTCTTCTAAGGTTACAATCACGACGTGAGGAGACGCTTATATAACAAGCTATCTCACTTACACAATAGTCTCTCTATAAGTCGATAGCGTTGGATGTTTTGTCCTGCGCCATGCCATCTAATTATTACGATATTCGCAAAGCTGCACGGTCAACTTGATACTCCCGGATACTGTCGGGTCCGTATCAATACCACGCCGAAATGTATGGGGCTCGTCCGGGCCATGGCCGATGCCCAGACCGGGGCTAAGTTTGAGACGACGAACGACATTTCCAGGCGGCATGCGCGGAACATTCTTTAACGGATCTTAGAGTTCTAGGAATAGAGCTACGATCTGTTCGGCTTGTCCCGCGGCGACTAACAGCTGGGCCCGTTCCTCTAAGGGCACCAATAAAGCGAATGGCAACTCGCGCATTTGTCAATGCATTCCTGTCAGCCCTGCCACAACTTGAAGGTGGTCATTCAGGAGCTAAACCAACATGCTAACCGACATTAATAAAGCTAAGGGAGATGGCACGGCTCGTCAAATGACGTGGCAAGGCCCCGTGACCCGGGCTCAAGAACCGATCACGAGATGGCGGTTGAACGGTTTCCTGCCAGCGGGTGGCTTATGTGTTGAGTTCAACATGTGATGGCGTAGGAGCGTACAAAGTCAGTGTAACCACGATGATGTCATTTCTGATCCCTCGTGTTCCAACGAAGCATGCCACTCTGCTTTATGTAGAATGCCACTTTTGTAACGTTGTAATCACTGGGGGGAAAAGACACCAAGTTTGTAGTCCGCGCTACCCGCCTTACCTGGAGGTGGTTTGCCCAGTTTACATACCTAGTAAGCAGCACGATGTGCAAACTTCGGGTGCACCGAAGGAGCCGAATAGACACTCAGGTCGGCTTGGGCCGGAGCTGCCAAGCTGGATCACGATCACCACCTACCTCCAGCCACCAGCAGTACCTAGGCGGAGGGTTTGAGGCACCTCCGAGATGGAAAGACTTGGAAAATCCAATGTGACTTGCTGGGCTAATGGGAAGCCACTCTACAATCTCCGCAATCTGGTCCACACTTTTGACGCGATATCCGAATGTTTGCGGAGAGAAGGAACCTATTTGCCTGTCTTACCTAGCTTCTAGAGGGGTTGAGGGGTACCTATCGCTATGTTTGCTACAAGGAACCGCTCTGCCGCTATGTGCCCAGTCGCAGTGGAGAGCACCCTGAAAGCCTCGGCCAAACGGCACATACCACCTCCAATACCAAGGTCTAAGGCTTCCCGTCGCAAGTAGGCACTTGCCGAGATAGGAAGGAGTACATCTGACCTCTCCAATAGCTAGCTGTGGTGTAAGTACCTTACCCGAGTACCTAGGTATCTAAGGTAAGGTAGGTAGGTTGGTACCCGGAGAGATCTCCTACCTCTCTTATCGATAAAAACCCTCCGGAGATACGACGCGGGCACCTCTCACAAATGGAAGAAAAGGGACGAAGCAAGGGTTCCAATTCCAATCGGTTCGACTCAAAATCGTCGAGTGTTCCCACTATCTTTTTTATTATTCCATCCTGATCCTGGAACCCCTCGATGACCTCCCCTCAACTCCGAAGCGAACTGACCGGCGCAAGGCGAACCCTGTTGCGACACCAACCCGATCAACCGCCGCGCACCGTCCCCATCCGTCCTCCGGCTCGCAACGCTCTCTCGCGAGCCACACCATCTTGCTCTTGGACCCCCAATTCATGAGTTGCACCGTCCCAAACCACCTCCGTTTGCCCTCCGCGCGCCGGACCACGAGCCCATAAAGACCGAGCATGTGCCCCGCGCCCGATCATGGAGCCTCAGCAATAGAGGATTCCCGACCCGACGACCAGCACGACGACGATACCACCGAGCCAGTCATCAAGGCTGGCGCCGACATTCGCACACGAGCCCGTACCATGACGAGCACCCAAGAGATCGATAATACCATCATCCGCCCGGGTTCTGTCCGCATCAACGTCAAGGGCGCATTCATCGTCGACCCAGACTCGAGTTCTCCGAGCAACAATGGCCGAGGATCCCCGACCCACCACGAGACGAGCGATATTCGCTTGCCGAACCACCACGCTGTCGTGAGCCATATTGCCGTTGATGTATGCTGTGCCTGCTCCTCCTCGCGCCTGCGCCCTTCCCCCCAGTGCTAACGTCGTTGTCGCACAGATTGGCGGTTCCCTGATCAAGCTCGTCTACTTCACCCGCGAGGCCGGCTCCAAGGAGCCTGGCGGCCGTCTCAACTTCCTCAATTTCGAGACGGACCGCATCGACGACTGTATTGAGTTTATGCGCCACCTGAAGGACAAGCAACAGACCCTCAATGGCTCTCGGCCTAGCGAATTGAGCGTCATGGCAACCGGCGGCGGTGCCTTCAAATTCTATGACAAAATGCGAGACGTTTTGGGCGTCGATGTGCTGCGGGAGGAAGAGATGGAGTGCCTCATTATCGGTAAGTGCACCATTTGTATTTCTGATGTTCCCGAGAGCTAATCACCGGCGCGCGCCATACAGGCCTCGATTTCTTCATCACCGAGATCCCTCGAGAGGTCTTTACCTATAGCGAAACCGACCCAATGCACTTCGTTTCTCCATCCGACAACATCTACCCCTACTTGCTAGTCAATATCGGCTCGGGAGTATCGATCCTCAAGGTTTCGGGTCCACGCGATTATCAGCGTGTTGGTGGTACTTCACTCGGCGGCGGCACGCTTTGGGGTCTTTTGTCCCTCCTAACGGGCGCCCGCACCTTTGACGAGATGTTGGACGCATCAGAACAAGGGGATAACGCGAAGGTGGACATGCTGGTTGGCGACATCTACGGCGGCGACTACGGGAAGATTGGCCTTAAGAGCACTACAATTGCGTCCTCGTTTGGCAAGGTCTTCCGCATGAAGCGGACGGCTGAAAACGAAGCAGAGGACCACGGCGGCCTCCACAACGGCGACAATAAAAACCGCCTGCCAACGAATCCCGAGGATGCTGCTGATGAGAGCCAGCAAGCTGGGGAGCACGCCTCAGACCAACCGTTTTCCAGCGCGGACGTATCAAGGTCGCTGCTGTACGCTATTTCCAACAACATTGGTCAAATCGCCTTTCTCCAGTCGCAGATTCATAATCTCGACCACATTTACTTCGGCGGTTCTTTCATTCGTGGTCACCGCCAAACGATCAATACCCTCAGTTATGCGATCAAGTTTTGGTCTCAGGGCAAGAAGCAGGCGTACTTCCTGCGACACGAAGGCTATCTTGGTTCTGTCGGTGCATTCCTGAAGCGTCAACCTCGCAATTGGGGCCGACGCGGCTCATTTGAGGAAGCACAGCACCTTGAGCGCCGGCTCAAGGGTCGTCTGGCGCCACATGATCCCGAGATGCAAAGTTTGGTGGACGACTATGCCTCGGAGTCGGGAAGGGAGTGAGTATACAACTTATCCACAATCAAAGACAAGCCGACAGAGACGGGTGAGTGGCTGCATATGGCGTTGTGCGGGCTGGGCACGGCATGTTCTGGCATTTACAGCTCAGGAGGGGCGGGCCATTTGCAAAATATGAGCGATGTTGGACACGATGACCAATGTGTCCTATGATTCAACCCATACCACTATTTACATATATTCAACAGTTTAATGTTATCATTCTCTGGCTAATCGGCTCAACGGCCAGAGTCACCGAGAACAGTTTATACACCAATGCCAGTACAGACCGTGGGTAGAACCACGGCGAGCGATGGCGTACGCGTTTAGTGGATGACGAACTCCGTCGTGTGACGATAACCAGCGTCTTTTGGAGGCGGTCTGGTAAACTCGACAGAGTAGGTATTCTTCATTGGGCAATTGATTCATGCCAGCTGCCGGGTCACGGCACCGGGCGTTGCATTTGCACGCCCCCCATGGTGGCTCCCGAAATTCCAGACAGTCGACGACCGTTTAAAGAGTTCCGAGATAATTTTACTCTTGTCACAGCCTGCTGTCAACCCGGCGGACGTGCAGACCTCTCCATCGTCTTTACGCGAGACCGTCTTCTTCCTTCGCCCGCTGGATTTGGCCGCTTAACCACGCCGAAACTCATGAAATCAAGTGTAGGAAGCTGGGCAGTGAGCTAGGTCTAGATAGCTCCAGAACACACCCTCATTGACGTTGGAGCATTGTATCTGCTGTGAAGATTGTTCACTACTCAACGGCATCAGCCACGCAATAACCTTGTCACTGCCGAGACCGACAATAGATCTAAGCTGTCGATGTTCCGAGCGACTAAGAGGAGCTGAAGATGCTTCGTCGTACATCACTGCAGATTGTCCGTTTGTGGTCCCTTCAAATTTGCAATGCTTTTACGAATGGGGCATTCATTCTTCAGTCAACTGAACTTTTATGCCACGGTTCTCACGTTTCGATTACCACACCTGCCCTGATGCAGTTGCCCCCCACGCGTTCATTGAATCAACAAATGACCATTTTGATTAATACCATCCACATGTGTGATAACACCGAGAAAAGCAAAGGCCAGCAGGGCCACATGGTGAGATCAAATCCTTCCTCGAGGAAATTTACATTAGGTCGTTCGCAAAGGTCTCGAGCTGCCTCTTCATGTCAGCGAAAGGACTTCAAAGCGATATTGAGCCCCGAAGATTTCTTCCACTTGGTCATGCCGAGGAATGACTTTAACACGACCACGATCTCGGTATCCGAATCCTATCGGCCATCGCTCGTGTCTTTGTTGCTGCCGGCCGTACTGTCGAGGCGCCAATCACATATTATAGTCTTGAGTAAAGTGCATTTCTCATTCGACGGTCAACATTGCTGAGATACTTTCAGATATAACTCGATCTTCAAAACATCACAACATAACGACAACTCACGACTCGTCCCAAGACTATGCCGTCGGAGGCATCTTATTGATGAGCACAGCATCAACGCCTTGAAGACTCTCAATGGGCCTGGGACTGATTGAGGTCAGTACAGCTCAGCTTCGGCGCTGCAAGTCCTCGGAGAGAAAGCTCGAACAACATGAGATACATGGCGGAAGTCGCATCATCCAGTGATCGGCGGGGTTGTCCCTCTAACGTTCGAGAGTACCGGACCTAGCCCAGAGCCCGTGGCAGAAGTTGAAAATTTTGGTAATACTTCATGGCCTTGCTGTTTAACTGGTCTTGAATGTGGCTGAACAACGCTGATGGGCGACCAAGATAAACCGTCTTCAGGCCTGTGTGTGTGTGTGTACATTGGAAAAAACGAGCAACTTTAACGCCTCGATACGCGGGGTGGACTGAACGCTGTCTATCTTGCTTGAATCGCAATGGGCCTCCTTACAAAACATGGCTAAGAACTGTGGCAGGGCAACAGAAGTAGTCATTATACGAAGAATCTCCCTTGCTGAACTAGTAATTTTCTCCGCTTAGCTGTTTCTCCAGATGTGCTGGCCCTGACGGGCTTATGCGACTCTTCCATTCGCAAGTCTGCTTGGAAACCACAGCAGATGGGATAGCATCACATGCTGTACAGTATCGACGTTCGCAGCTCAACGCATGTATGGCTTACGCACTGAGTACGGGTAGCATTTGAATCTAGACTTTGCTCCAACTGTGGTCAATCAATGCTTTCAGAGATCAAAAGCCGAAGAGAGCGTGAGAACCCAGGGAGAAGTTTTCGTCCAAAAGCGTAGACCTCAAGAATCGATGGATTCAGAGGTTTCCTACCTTAACGGCCTGATATAGGAGCGAAAGGTTGTCCTGAAAGCCGGTCACTCGTTCAACATTACGCATGCGAATCTGCGCGTATGAGAAATGACGAGACATCGAGGTCTGAGCAGATCAGCCCAGAAGCACAGAGAAACAACAACAGCCAACTATCGAGCCCCAGGGTGGCCCGTCCTTCCGCTCACTCACGCAGCATGACATCCGGTATGAACGTCCCCATCAGGCCGATCACGTCAGGGTCCCGAAATCGGCCCAAGCTCGCTGCCGCGCGGCCTTGACCTGTTCCGTGGCGGGTTATATCGTGAGGTAGGTTGATAGTATTATAAGCCAAGGTACCATCAGCGGGAGGGGGGAAAGGCAGTGATAACGGGAGTTGTTATTATTGAAGACAGTTCAGCCGCATTTGGCCGGCAAGTGGGATGCATATCAAGGTCTCATTTCCGGGGTGTTGCAACTACAACATCACATGACTCGACTGACCATGGCAAACCGGCTTGTTGCACACTTCAAGAGTTCATCGACGCGGCAACCTCCAAGACATCACTTATCACAAACATGCAAGACCATAATTCAGTAGAGCGCGTTTATTACTATTAACACTTCAACCAGCCAGGGTATAACTCTGATTCCGACTCCCTTCGCTGCCTCCTTTTGATTCGCAGTCAAAAGACAATAAGGAAAAATGAAGTACAGGAAAGCCAGAGATAGGGAAGACTGCGACGCAGCTTCCCATCCGATGCGCTCTTTGCGCGGCCGAGTGTGATAAATATGGTTATGTCTGTACCAGACCACCACCTATGCAAGTGATTTCGTTCGTAAGGATCGTAAGAATGATATGTATGATTGCGGATTGTAAGATTACAGCATTGCGTGCAGCGACATTGAGACAACAAGGAAAAGATTTTGGGATTCGCCCTCCTCCGCTAAAGAGTTACCTTCGCTTGGAGAAGGATGCTGTTACACTGCTTAGAAAGCAGCGAGGACAGCGGCAGCAACAACGGCACCAAGACCGAAGCTGGCCTTGCCGGCACCGGCAACAACGACGCCGGTGGTGGTAGGGACGACAGCACCGGTGCCGACAGGAGTGGTCTTGCTGGCGCCGGCGGCCGGGGTGGTGGGGTAGGGAGCGTCAGCACCAGGGGCCTGGGTAGAGACGGTGGCAGCGGGGTTGCTGGCGGCAGGGGTAGAAGGAGCAGGGACCGGGACGACCTGGGAAGCAGAGTCGGTGGCGAAGGAGACGTTGGGGACCGAGAGGGTGGTCTTGATGGTAGCCGTGGTGGAAGAGCCAGGGACAGTGGTGCCGTCGGTGACGCAGGGAACAACAACGGTCTTGTCAACGGTGACGGTGGTGTACTCAGCGGGGTTGGTGGCAGCGGGCTTGGTGGCCGAGACGGTGATGACGGGGATGATGGTGGCAGGGACCGTGACGATGGCGGGGTTCTCGGGGATGTGAGGAGCGCAGATGCCCTGGAAGAACTCGGTGGCCTTGGAGATGATGTCGTCGTTGGCACCGTGGGAGTAGATGCAGTTGAAGACCTTCTCGACGAAAGCAGCGTCGGGGCAGTAGCAGGAGGCGTCGGAGTTGTCAGTGCAGCCGGAAGAGAAGATCCAGGTGCTCAAGCACTGAGGAACGACATCAGGGCAAGGAAGGGTCTCGACGGGGCCAGCGGGGATGGTGGCAGAGGGCTTGGTGACGGAGCCGGAGCCAACGGGCTTCTGGGAAGAGACACCCTGGGAAGGCTGCTCGACGGGCTTGGAGGCACCGGGAGTGTGGACGATGGTCTCGGTGACGGGGCAGACGGTCGTGGTAAGAGGAACGGTGGCGGTGACAATGATGGGAGTGCGAGACTCGGCGGGGCAGTTGGTGACCTCAGGAGCGCAAGAGGTGACGGTCTCGATGCGGGTGGTGTAGATGGTGGAGGTGGTGTCGAAGACAGTGGTCTTGGTCTCGGGGATGGCAGGGACGGTGACAGACTCGACGGGCTTGGACTCAGCGGGCTGAGTGGCGACGGGCTGAGTGCCGTTGGCAGGGATAGAGACGGAAGGCAGCTGAGCGGAGGTGGTCTGACCAACGGGCTTGGTAACAGACTCAACGGGCTTAGAGACGGACTCGACGGGCTTGCTGGCGGAAGGCAGGGCACCGGAGGTGGTCTCCTCGACGGGCTTGGTGACGGACTCAACAGGCTTGGTCTCAGACTCAACGGGCTTAGACGCAGGCTTGGTGACGGAGGGAACAACAGCAGTGGTCGACTCCTTGCCGGGAATAGAGACGGAGGGAAGCTCGGCGGAGGTGGTCTCCTTGGGGGTCTGGGCGGGCTTGGTGCTGGTCTTCTCAGCAACGGGGATGGAGGTGGTCTCAGCAGGCTTGGTGTGGGCGGTGCTCAGAGTGGTGGCGGAAGAGACGAGAGCACTGGTCTTGGTCTTGGGGGGAACGGTGGTCTTGGGAGGGCTGCAGTCGAAGCTGATGGTGTGGATGCCGACACCGCAGGTAGACTTGGGCTTGGAAGGCTGAGAGGGGTAGACGATGGTGACGTTCTTAGCACCACCGCACTGGGTGTTCTTGACGGTGGTACCGGCCTTGGAGCAGGCAGAGCGGTGCTTGCAAGTAGAGCCGTCGGGCATGTCGTAGTGGAACTCGAGGTCGCAGTCGAACTCGACGCTCACATCGAAGTGACCGATAGAGAACTTGTCAGGGGAGCTGGTCTGAGAGCCGCAGCCGAAAGAGGGAGAAGTCTCCTTCTTCTGACCGCAAGAGCCCTCGATGACCTTGCCACCGAAGGTACGGGGGGCCAGGAGGTCGCGCTTGGAGAAGTCGCTTCCGCAGGTCCAGCCCTTGAAGTCGAATCCGCCATAGCTGCTGAACGATCCGGGGGTGAGGTCTCCCCAGGAGAAGCCATCCTTCTGCTTGTCGTCACACTTGTTGTCGGTGTTGTCGGGGCAGTCGAAGGAAGGGAACTTGTTCCAGCCCTGTGAGGCTTGTTAGTAATGTGCAAGAGACACGGTGAGATGCAGATGAGGGGTGGTACATACGGTAGCAGTGACCTGGCTGACGCCGGCGAGGGCAAGAAGAGCAACGGTGTTCTTCATCTTGAAAATTGGACGATGATTCTTTCCTTGAGTGAGAGTGTACTTTGTTCAGAAAACGAATGAAACAAAAAACTAGGTTGATATTAAGTTGAGAGAAAGAAGCGAATGACTTTACTCTCAGAAAGCGAATGGACTGTTTGTTTGATAGAACGAAAGTAGGAAAGAATGTTCGATGAGGGATAAGAACCGAAACACCAAACAGCAGCGGGAAGAGAAGGGTTCTATATACCAAGTGAAGGACTCCTATCACGGGGGAACGGTTGGCTGTGAGGTTTCCCATCTCTCACCTGAGGAGGCGATGAGCCGGGGGTGTGAGAGGTGGCTCACGCTCATGCCTGTCCACGGAGACGTGGTGGTGGACGGGGGACGGGGGTGGAAGGGGACGGAGTGGGGCCAGCCAGGCCAACTTAGCGCAGGTCCAAGTGCAAGCCCGCCAGCACCAGTCCAGCACGGACTGGGGGCATAGCGGACCCGTGGCATGGCCATGGATGTGAACTGACTAGACATGGGGGCCTCGAGGGATGACCGAGGACTGAGGACTGAGTCTCTCTGGCGGCCGTCACTCATGCTCATCCAGCTCTGAGCAGGGCTGTCTCTGTTAAACCACCACCAAGTCCAGTCTGAAGACGGGGATTACAGGATGGGCCCCAGAAACAGCACTGCCTCTTCTTCCCATGTATCCATGATCCGGCACCTAGACGGTTCCTATTCGGGCGAGGTCTTGGTTGGATCGGAGCCAGGAAGAGAGTGTCCCCCTGGATGACCGATGTCCATTATCATCCATGTGGCCATGATGTTCGCGTCTGCCGGGACCATTCAACTCCCGTGGCTCCAGCAGGAATGTTTTTTTTGGCGAATTGGAAGTAGTGGAGGTCGAGATTGAGTGAAGCTCAGCCTTCCCGAGCAATGCAGCATGGCATACTACACAGTAGTTCCGAGAACAGCATGGACAATGACGATATGCAGGTCATGCTCAGATTGCAGTCTGTCGATGGTGTCGGGCATACGAATAGCAACAGACGCCATGTGGAGATGCTGTTGATGCCGGGCTGAGACTAAATGGCACCGCCTGCTATGCTCGAGATGAAGGCGCGGTCGATCAACGGTGGTGGGCGGATGAGACGGAAAGGCAGCAAGACAGCGGACAGCGGCGGCAGGCTTGGTTTGATGATGGTGAGAAGTCGCGGCAAGTCTGTGAGCTTGGGCTGCGGATGAGATGAGGCGAGGTCGGTGCGCTACGCAGTACCTTACGGATAGCGTGCATCCATCATGAAGGAAAGGAAAGGAGAGGCTGCAAAGCTGCACAGCTGCCATATGCCAGGTGCAGCTTACCGCCTGCCGCATGTACGTATCTTCGGATGACATGAGTGATGGAGGTCCGAGCAAACCATTTCCGCTCCACCTCCTGTTCCTTCGTCTAGTCTTCTTTCTTCGAATGGCTTCAATATGCTTAGACAGAAGGTTAGCGTACGGCATGAAGTAAGGAGGGCATGGCAGGGCGTCTCTGCCTTACAGCAGCCGCCGGGCGCCGGGCGCTGGGCGTTGTGAGATTCCAGGACAAATGACCAGTGACAGAGAGCCCCGTGGCTTGCCTTTCGCGCTGCACCATGTCCCGCCCTGGAAATGGCAAGTGTTGAGATGTCAAGTGCTGTAGTAGCTCACGGCGCTTGAAGCCAAACGACAGCTTCAACACACTCGACCTGGACTCAATGTAAGTGTGTCGTCGCTGCAACCCAAAGGGTGCACTTTTTTAGTCAGGGGTAAGGAAGGACATGGAAGTCTGGACGGGTACCTTAGGTAGTCTGGAGTCTGGACCCCACACATCCCAGGCTCAACCTATGGACGGTACGTACCCTGCTGTGACCCTGCCTCAATCGGAAAGAACCCCATCAGGCCCACGTCGGCCAATCGACGGATATCGAGAGCGGAGGTCGACCGCCGTCTAGACAGCCAATCATGACGTCTTAAGTGAGAGGCCCGCTCCCATTCGTCACCTCTGAGTGGATAGATGGGATATCCCAGGTTCGCGATGCGCTCGTCTCCCGCGCCTAAAGTCAGCCGGCCGGGCGCTTTGGGGGACCACGGCGGTACGGATGATGCATCATGCCATATAGTGAAATGAAGATGCACGTAATCAGATATTTTAGGACGAGCAGTCTTGCGGATGCGGTCATGTCAACGTTATTTTAGGTTGGAAATATTAGACTTGCATACACTGAACTCAACTGTAAGGTACTACATGTTAGTGTCTCTTCTGGATCTGAATCCTTACCGACGTCCCTGTCCAATGGCTTCCAATACATACTCGGTAGGATGCCGGGCGTCAATTCCTACCTGAATGCAATATGAGTCCAGTATCCGTGAAAATACGCGGACCATTCTGCGCTCATTCCTACGTGAGGGAGCATTTGGGACGAAAAAAGCTTGGGCGGCGGGGAAAAAGGGGGCCGGCCAATGACAGATGCCGGGTCGTCCGAAAGACGCACGTTCTCTCAAGTCACATAGGTAGCAAAAGAAACCAGAATCAGACGAAATATTTGATCAAATCCAACTGGCAGGTCCCTTGCCCACCTCACCCAAGTTGTGTTGTACCTTACCAAAGGAAGCTGCCTCCGAATAACGGCCTTTCGCTGGACTGTCACCTCCCCTTTACCCCCCGCCCGTGCAAGTTGAAACGCTCAGCCACAGCGCCATCCGGCAACCGCACTAATGCAGGAACAGCGTCCCAGAGCCAATCAACAGAGAACGGAACAGAAGCCAAACTCGACTTCTTCCACTGAGGTATCCGTATTTGTACTGAGGTGGGGAGGAAAGGAGACCGGGTGCCCCTGGTCTAAAGCTCCCGTCGACCCACAACTTACCACGACCTTTCTCCTTTTCCCCTGTTCAACATCATCCCCGCCTCTCCCATTCTGCAAGGTCAGCAAGGGAAAAACCACCACTCGCCGTTCGAAATGGCCATACACCCGCATCGAACCCTTCCGATCTGGTATTCTGTATCCTGCACACTTCGCATCCCCTGGTCCCGTGGGAAAAATCTGTCGACCAGGGCCAGCTCTTCACCGGGATCTCGAAAGCCGCCATACCTCTCATAGACTGAGGGAACCCAGGACCCAGATCCACGAGGGGCGCTTTTCCCCATTGTGATGCGAAGAATCGGTTTTGCTTTCCAAATTCGTCGGCATTGCTTCCCATCCTTGCTGACGATGCTCAGACCCTCTCCTCTGCCAGTGCCTACGTATGTACTATCTCCGTACGCAGTATCCGTACAGAGCTCCACGATTCGGATGCTCTGAGCGTTGGCTCTTTGCAGCCGTCACCCTCCGATTCTCCCTGCCGTCTTCTTCCTTTTCGCCGCGAACAGACTCTGCCCAAATCGTTCGATCTAGGGCCCAATTCTGTTGCCACACCTGTCAAGCGATATGATCTCGTGTTGGTTATATTCCTCACGCCATATTGCCCAGGCTCTCCGGATACTGCCAGCCGGTCCAGCGTTCCTCTATCGTAAACCGAGACCGAGAGGACCGACAAGCCGTACAGTAACATCTCCTCCGCGGGGACCGAATCCTAAAAGCAATCGACATCTACAGATACGCCGGTATGGAAGCTATTTGCCTCCACGCCAGCTTGCTAACAATCGCGGCTTGTCTCGACGCTCCGCTTGAGATCCAATTCATTTCTTCGTCTACTCTAGCTACTTCGTGACCGATATGTCAAGTCACGTCACGGTGCTTGGCCTTCAGCGGGCCGTGGAGAGCGCCAAAGGCCCAGCCAAAAGTAGAGGATCATTGAAATCGACTTGGCTCTGGTGCCATCTCGAAAGGTCCTCTTGGGGAAACGGGTTGTTTCACCAAAACCGCCACCCGAAGTCAGCATAACTGATTGTGGAAGTTAGACCCAACGGCCAAGCGAAGACGACGGCACGCTACCACCTTAGCGACGAGGTAACACTAGCGGTGAATCCGGTATCGCTCTCAGCCGCCGTCTCCAGGCCCTCGGCGTTTCTCCTCATGTTTGTGGATCGGCAAGGCGACAACCTTTTCTCAGTTTAGATTTTGTTTTAGATTTAAGCATCCTTTCCTTCGGTGGGTGGCCGAAGTTCTGCACGACGATTTGCGACATGCCGGGCGATAATCGAGGCCCGATCAGTGCATGTCCAATGGAGTTTGGACGCGCTATGTTTTGGCCGCGCGGCACCAGTGTGATGACGGCTACGCAGCAGGCGCCGGCGCGCCGCTTCCAGAGACCGCCGTCGCTGCCAAATCGTAAGTCTGCAATGGCTTCCGCAGACAGGCTCTATCTGAGACATGGCAACGCTGTTGCAGCAGTTTCTCTTCTCGAACCGCCGAAGCCAGGCGGCTGCGCTGCGCCTTCTCACATTCACATTCACCATTCACTCATCTGACAGCCATGTCGAAAGCCCAATTCTGCAGAGCATGTCCTAAAGCGGTCACAACATGCCACTCGATGTTACTTTGGCACTCTATACCACCATCTATTCCCGACAGAAAGACAAGAGGCACCACGGTTTCTTCCAACATGACGTTGGCTGACTGCCTTCTTGGTTGTTGACCAAGCCTAAATGAGCCGACGACACCGGGTGCCCCTTACCTAATCGGGAGTCTCACCTGAATCTGAGGAAGCGCACCATACCTAAATTGCCAGCGATACAACCGTCTCTTCGACTCGAGGCCCAGAAATGCCCTTCAATTTCCACCTGCATTTGGCTGAAACATTTTTCCTTTCCTCGTCTCTGGCGCGCTGTCAACTCAACGGTATCTACCTCTAACGGACGACGAACTAATTGACGGTTGATGTTCGTGCGGCGCGGCGCTGCGCAGATGGAACAGGCTCGGCGATATGGGGCAAACTGAATGACAATTCTGTCTCCGAAGGCCCAGAGAGACAATGGCGTTTTGGTGAACTGCGATCCTTCTACGGAATTCGGTTCCCGACAGCTGTCCCTAGGCAATTGATTCGTCTTATCAATGGATCAGCAACTTCGGGGCTTTCAGCTTGGTCGGCTTCGAGTCCTTGTTTTCAGGCCATCTTCCGGATCGATGGCCGATAAGAGGCTCACGAGCGAGGTTGTCGTTATGGAGATGAAATATTGGATAAACAATCAATACTCTCGATGAAAGCTCCGGAGCTTTCGTGGCCTTCCCCAGAGCAAACGCTACTGCCCCGTCTTCTCGTCGATCATTGACTCCCGCAGATTGGGTCAATCCCTGGCCGGCCGAAAAGGGAAACGGTCTCATCCAAAAATGGGGTTTTGGAGACAGAGTGCAATCACGGCTCGGGGCCGATCATGAGATCGCGTGGTTCCGCTGCCGTGGTCTGGATTTTCTGACTTCTGCTTCGCCCATACGGCTCTGGCTCTGCAAGGCCCATTCCTCTCTCATTTCGCCTCTTCGCCTGGACGACTATTCTCAGCAACATCGTGGCCATTGCCAGGGTTACATTTGTTTCTTCGGCACTTTGGGGATCCTCTCAACAACGACAGCTGGGATTGGGGGTCGGGCTAAAATCTCCTTTCAAGAGCTGGTTCACCGATGTACCTCCGTTGCCGGGAGTGTCTCTGAACGTGTGCCCACCGGAAACCCCTTTCACCGCGGGCTGTCAACCCCCAAAGTCGCCAGCTTCCGTGATAGCAACAATTTACAACATGTGTTGCCCTGCTGGCGGAGAAGAGAACCAGGTAAAAGCAACAAGGGCCACCCCGTTCGGTGTCCAACGCCCCAACGGGTGTCTTCCACGGTGCAACCCTGACGGTGGTGGCCAGGGTCGACTTGTTATCCCAAAGGTTTTCTTCTTGTATTGCCGACCCCTTCAACACAGGATGGATTGCTTGACGTCTCCTGCCAGCAGCTGACCGCGTTTCATGGATAGTTGTCTTCTCATCGTCGATTTCTCACAGCAACTTGGGCGTCTCATGGTAGCTGCCAATGGCGGGAGGATATGTTCGAATATTTGCAGGAAATTTCCCTTTCCGCCCGTGGCTTGAGGACGTTGCGTCGGTAATTGCGGAAAGACGCGGGCAGACGCGACGCCATATGCCGCAAGGATTGCCGTTCATTGGCGAGTCAAGTGTTGTGTTCATCCAATGCCAACGCATCCCAACCTTTAGTTGACGCTGGCAGCTTTGGCTTATCCCATCCATCCCATCACCTCTTTTCATCCGAACTCAGGAAAATTCTCCTTGAGGCTCCGATCCCTTAATTGTTTCGATGTCATACCCCGCCAAACATGCATAATGTTCAATCCGAACTATTCATGCAACACCGCCCTACCGTGACGTCGGCCGGTGGCTGTGAAGCTTGTTGGTTCGAAACTCGACCAAAAGAAATCCCCGCTAGTTCCGCCCACCGGACCGTCGACGGCAATGACGGCCCACGGGATCTTTTGCCCTCATTCTCATGCTTGCTTTCTTTTTCTTCCGTCGGGATCTTTCGACTGTGGGGAGGCACGGCCAGAGTTGGTTTAGCAGACAGGAGCGACAACTGAGTCGTCCGGTGGGGGTGGGGTTGGTTTGGTTTCATGACACGAGCTGGGCTCATTGGTGTTGGTGGTTTACGGTAAAATCCCTCTCCTCTTTCGTTAGTATTCAACTCACCGCGGGGTTATCCTCGGGAGGGGGGGCTAAACAGGAAGGGTTTGCAATCTGTTTTTTCCCGTTCGTTCCTGGGGCTCCAGGAGGTGGCTGTGAGACGGCTGTCTTTGGGGCCTTGGCCAAGGTGATCGCCTCGGTGAGCGAGGTCGATCTGCCGCGATATAAGCGGATCCGTGTTTTGGGGGAGGGCATCAATTCCGGTGAATATGCTGATGGCATCATCCTTCAGCAGGAGTTGTCGGCCTCGGGCGCATTGTCGGCTGAGCCGTCGGTGCGGATGGACGGCATTGAGACGGGCGGGCTCTGGACACGGAGGCCGCGGAGCATGCTGGCGCCGGCTTTCGCGGTCGAGTTCCGAATTCTACCAATACTTGCTTCTCCTGACTTGTCGTCCTAGTTTCCTGTCTTCGGATCTGTTGCATGAGGTATCCTTCTTAGATCGAGGCTTTGCTTTTAGGGAACGGGGTTGTGATGGACGGTTCACCGGCAAGATCGGAAAGATGATTGATGTCTCAGGAGAAGAAGAAATGTAAGTCTACCAGCTTTCGCCTAATCTGCATGAACGTTGGTAGTATTCGACGCCAGCTGCAGGTTCCTATTGACAGATACGAGACCATGTTACATTTGAGTCCGCACAGACTCGGTGATTGTTGTCTCGTGCAAATTTAGGACTTGTCCACGAAACGAATGTCTCGCGATTTCGCTTCCCTTGCTGGATGGCGTTGCCAGTTTAACACATCCTTCACCAAGACGTGTCACTCGACACCACATTACGAATCGCACCACCTGGCAAACAGTCTCATGATCTTGATGTATTAGATGGCTTTCATTTGAGGCTGCTCTGCCGCGACTATATCTGTAGACGTTGCAGGTGGTGTAACAGGAGCTTCCAAGCCACATCGAATGCAGCTTGAAATCATCCACCCGCCTGCATGCGCTTGAGTCTCTCCTCGGCAGCCCTGGCCCTTCTCTCCCGATCAAGCTTCATCCGCATCTCTGGGGTCAATCCCCTAGCTTCTTCCTCCCTCTTCTCCTGTGCCGACTTCAGGGGCGCGGTTGAAGCCAGACCGGCCTTCTTCCTCTTATCGTCAACCTGTGGCCCTTCAGACCGTAGTCTCTCCTCCTCGGCACGCCTGCGCTCGGCTTCCTTGCCCTCCTTCTCCTTCTTCTCGCGTTCGTCTCGCTTGTCGGCGTCCGCTTTGCTGAGCGGTGCTGGCACTCGGGCAGCTTCCCAATCCCATTTGTCCTCTCCCAACTCGGAACGCGCGACGCGGAATGCGTCTCTCGTAGCCCTGTCGCCCGCGAGATCAAAAGCCGTCTTGCCGTCCTTGTTCGTCACGACAGGAGATGCGCCGCCGCGAGTGAGGAGGCCGAGGACCAGAGGCGCAGCACTTTGGTGTGCAGCCAGGTGGAGAGGTGTCGGGGAGTGGTGGTTCTGTTCTGGAGGCTGGAACTGAAAGTCCGGCGTCAGATCGTTCTGTTTCAGGTACGACAGCAAGGCAGGGAGTTTTGTGCGGCGTATCAGGGCTTGTATCTGCGACGTGTGTAGTAATGCCGTCTCCTCCTCTTCCGTCAACTTTGGTTTCGCGGGTTTGGATGTTGGTGTTTTCGTCGGTGTTGATGTTTCTGTCTGCGGCTTCGGTTCCTCCGGGTTGATCTCTCTGACTTTCAGCCTTGTGAGCTCGATGAAGGACCTCATCAACTCGTTCTGTGTTGCCCTTCGCGTGTTGAAAGGAAATCCACGTATCCTTGTGTCGTTGTGCTTCAACACTTGGCCGTCGTACGGTCCAAACAGCGTGCGCCGATTTGTCGCACCCGTCGCCCGGATGAAGAGCAGCTCCGAGGTATCCAGTAGACCCTTCCACTCCCGAAGCAGCTCGCGCACGTCTTCGACTAGAGCCTGCTCGTTGTACCTACGCAGACTCGAACCAGCAGAGTGGGCCGCACCCTTCGCATTGTCGTTCGCTGACTGTGAGCCACCCTGTTTGCGACGGGTGGTATACCGGTGGAAGGTCTTGTGAGCAAGAACGGTAGCCTCTCTGTTGAGCGCGCCCGATGACTTGTTTTGCCTTGGTGCAAGGGAAACAACCATGGCGGCGAAGTGACCGCCGCCAATCATACAGAGGAAAAAGTGCGGTCCCTTGTAAGCAACGGCGGGCAGCGGTACGGAACCATCCTTCGGTACCCTTGGAATTGCAATGGGCTCCAATTGCTTCTTCTTGACAACATCCAGAAGTTTTGTCTCGTCACGGAGCTCCTCGCCGGTGAGGATGGCCCGGTAGAGACCGAAGTAGGTGTTAGATGGAAGTAATGGAGAGGAGAACCATATCAGTGGCGGTTTTCCCTTCCCTTTCCGGCCTGATGTCTCTTCTTCTTCGTCATTCTCGGTCATTGCTGGTGGATTCCTCTTGTCGGCAAGACTGGCTTGCTTCTTAAGCAACGCTGTGAGTGTAGATTCTTTCCGACTCGCATCGTCTTCATCATCGTCTGATTCGGACGAATCTGAGCCTGAGAGACTTTCGTCGAGATCGCCAACGAGCTTTTCAAAATCAACTTCCGTCACAGGCTTTTCGCCGCGAAGCTTTTGCTTGAGGTTGTAGTGATGCCAATCGGACTTTAGATGGCTGCGCTGGTCGAGAACTGTAGTGAACGTTAAGCCGCAGAGAGAGCAAGCTTGGGAGCCGACGAGATCGGAGCTGGCTCTATCTTTCGGCGGAGGCGACGGCGGGGCCTGGTCGGGGATCGAAGCGTCGGGTTTGAGAGAGAGAGTCGTCAGGACTTCCGCCGGGATGTCGTAGACTGCAGCCGAGTCAGCTAATGATGGCGGGGTAGAGGTTGGGAGGGATGCGCACCATAAAGGGGTCGGCGGAGGAGTTCCGGGGTATTCTTGTCACCCATATTGACCGATCCTTTGTTTGGCGAGCGGTTCGTTGTCCTGGGTAAGAGTTCCGACAGTCGTTTGAAGGTTACGGCGCCGCGATGATATAATGAACTCTTAGAAAGCTCGGACTGGTGGGGCATAAATCGGCGTGACTGAACCGCCATGCTCATCGGAGATGACTCAGCCGGTGAAGTCACTTCCAGTCGGGTCCGGCGGGGTGCCTCAGCAACTCAGGTCTTCAGCCACAGGAACCCCGCGAAGTGTGGCATTGAGCCGTGGCGGTGCAATGAGCTTGGTTTTGGCCTTAAGTGGGGTTTCAACATTATCGTCCAATAAATATCAATAAACCGCAAACTTGGCGGAGACAAACAGGGGCTTCCAACGAAGCAAGCTGAACTTGCTGGAGATTGGTGGGCATCACGTCACTAAGCGTGTGTTAGCTTCATGTATGCTCACTTCTTAGCTTAATTGCTTGTTTGATTTCTTGGCACTGGAGGGCCAACCTGGACCGTCTTTCCAGATGCTCTCTCCTCCCTCCCGCCCTCCCGCCCTCCCAAAATGCTAGTTTGAGCTGTTCTTCCCAGCTTCTTGTACTCATGGAGGCCGCCATGCCGCTTACTGATTGGAGCTTGGCCTGCGTCAGTGGCCCCTGACCAGCTGATGATGTAACTCCACCGCTGAGCGGGCGGGCGGACAGGAGCGTGGTGCATCGCGACTCGAGCTTTCCTCACCAAATGCCAAGACTTGTGGACAGGTTGCGAGGGGAGCTGCTACTGGTTTGTTAGTCTAAGCCACCATGGTATCTCGATGACCCCCGCCTATGATGCCGGTCTGTCTTTCTCTCGTGTGACATCCATCTACTACAAGTAGCCAAGCCATTCCTCTTTTCGTCGCGTCAAGCTTTCTTCTGCCCTCATTCAATCTCCAACTCACACCGAATCTCAATCACTTCCTGTTCCTCCAAATCAACCCACATATCAGTCATCATGGACTTCGTCAACAAGCTCACCGGAAACAAGAACGAAGCCTCTGGCTCCGACGCCCAACAGCAGCCCGAGAAGAAGGAGTCTGGCGGCTTCATGGACAAGCTCAATGGCATGGCCGGTGGTGGCCCCGAGAGCGAGAAGCAGGAGGACCACCTTGACAAGGGTATGTGCTCTTAACACTTACTGTTGTACTCCCTCTCTCTCGCATCAGAGATGCTAATTTGGCCTGTAGCTGTCGACATGTTCCAAGAAAAGGTCCTCGGCCAAGGTCCCCAGGATAACGAAAGCGCTGCCGAGCAGGCCAAGGATGAGCAGATCTCAGACTTTATCAGAGGCCAATACAAGAACACCACCGGCAAGGAGTTCCCAGTCGAAGACAAGGACAAGAAGTACGGCCTGTAGAAGCCCCCATCACTTCATAGTGCTGCGAATGCGGTTTCTGGCGAGCCACTGTGGTCTGGAAACGGCGGCTTTGGCTTAGACGACGTCGAATGGCAATCGGGAAGCCCACAGCTGCACACCTGAACGGAGACCCTGGAATGGGACTTTGATCATTGTACCTAGTAGTCTCTACAGTAATCATGACTCTGATGACCTAATTACCTAATTACCTGTCCTTTTTCATAAGTGCCACGATGGCTTTCGAGAAGCGTACCTACCTGCAGAACTACTATCTCGATCTCAGACACGACAAAACTCGTAATGCCTCCTGGGATAAACCACAATGTATCTCAATAAACTTGTGTCTGATTCCGCTCTGCTCGGAAGCAATAACTATGTTCTCGCCCTTGGCTGCTGAACACATGGGTGATCTCCGTTCGGGCACAATTGGATCGTTTCTCTAGCCATTCTCCAGACAATGGCACACCAGTTTCTCCAACCCAGCCTCGTTTCTAAGACTGGCATTATTGTGAGTATCTTACCGAGTCGTCGGCGAGCAGCATATTCTTGACTTGCTCTCGATAGCTGTAGCAGACTTCGTCCAAAAAGAAGATGCAACAATTTGATGGCTTTTGTGAGGGGAAAACAAAGAATTTTGGTCACATCAAAAGCAAGCCCACGTGCAAGCATCGACAAAGCCATCAATCATACATGCATGGACAATCTTATTATGACTCCTTTCTTCGTGAATAGGTTGCTAGAACCTGCCTCCAGAACAATTAGGTCAAAGACAGCGACATTAAGTCTTTGACCTCAATCGTTCCTCCCTCAAAACTCGAGTATAATAGAAAGTCTATGAATCTATGAGAAGCTTCAGTATCAACCGCATTTCTTACCAACTTTTCCTCTTCGGCATTACATCTATTCATCATCAACCACAACTTTCAGGCAAGTCTATCCCGTTCATTCCCTACATAAATCAAGTCAATACCCATCCTCAACATGTGCTGGTCGGTCAAGACTCTCTATACGGTTTGCGCCCACGGCAGCTGGGACATGGTCAGGTGCGATAAGTCCGCCAACAGCCAAAAGTCAGACCGATACCGCAGGCAAGAGTGCCTCGCAGAGCGATGCAAACATTCGACATCCCTCCACACCATCTACGGTTTCTGCGACGACTGTGTGGCCGTCTTCTCGGAGTATCCCGAGAGAGGCTATCCCGATGTCAGCTCACTTGAGATTGTCGAAAATTATTGGGCCTACAAAGAGCTTCAAGAATGGACTCACCCCGCCGACCCTTACGACGTGCCGCCATACGGTCTCCTTCTGCGCCCGCCAAACTTGCTCGCACCGCTCACGCCCAAAAAGAAGAGCTTCTTCTCATCTCTACGTGCACGGAACGCCTCATCCAGCAACGCGACCTACAACACGGTGTTCCAAGAGAAGGCGCTGCTCAGGACTTTGAATGCCTTCGAATCCGTCTCATCATCGTGTCAGCTGTGCAAAGAAGGCGACAGTCGCAAAACGGACTTCGCTATATTGGTCAAGAATATGTGTGACTCTACGCTTGGGTGGGCGCGGCACCTTGGTGATTCGGATGTTATCATTCACAGGTACAGTATCGACATTGTCAACGACCTCAGCTTCTCGTGCCACCTGTCCCGCGAAGCTCCCAGTCCGAAGCGCCCCGATCTGCAAAGACCCCTCCCTGATCTCCCGGGCATTCGGAGATTCAAAAGCACGGGAGGTTTACCCTCTTTCTCTGACCGTGTGCTTGAGCAGGCGCCTGGGTACAGACCCAAATGTTACTGGGCAGGTCCTCCCGGCATTCCCACAAGATGTTCCAGCCTGAGGTTCAATCACAAAAACTTCAAGCCGAGCCTATCGACCAGGGATGCACCTGATTCAAGCATCAACAAGCACCCTTCAAGCAGCTTGTCTCGCACTCCCAGCTCTGAGCATTTTTCGGCCCGAACTTTCGAATCCGAGGAGCTCTATGAATATCCCCGCCAATCTCACCCTGAGACGTATGCGAATTTGTCGGGCTGGACAGGCTCTCCTGCTCCAACAAGTCAGAGAAAACAAAGAGTGGGACGGCCGTGGCATGAAGAGCCCGAATTGGTTCAAGATGGTGCCAAGGTTCATCTTGACGATGGCAACGGAAACATCATCTCGGACGTCCAGCAGTGGTCTGAAGACCCAGACTTGGTTGAGGAACGTGTCAAATTCCATCTGGACGACGGCACCGGAAACACAAACGCCCGGCATGTGACCTTCGTCTCGCCCGCCAACTCGGTAACTTCGGAAGAAGCTTCGATTTTGGAGGCTTCCTATGAATCGTCAGATAGTCTGCGGGCTAGCTCGGGCGATTCACCACATGCTGGACTCACAGCACCCCCGAAGGGAATTCTCAAGAAGAGACGGGATACGCCCTATGCGTTCCTCGAGCAACAGCCCGAAAGTGACACAGCTTGTGATTTGTTGCCAGAAATCCAGCCCACTACTCCTCTTCGATTCTCTTCTCGCTTCGATTTCGAGGCTGACCAGGCTAATAGCTCTTCCAGTACTGACCCAAAGACTCAGGATTCGAAGCCTAGCCCTTCCACAAGACGCACGCAGCATACCATGGGTATGGGAGACGAGACTTTCGGATCCCCATCTTCTTCCCCTCCGGACTCGGCTGTCCCAGAACCTCTCAAAGGGGCATCGAAAGCCCCGACGGGTGGCCGACCAACTTTTCGAATCAGAAACTGCCCTGATCACGGTTTGTCCTACCGCAGTGGTTGCGAAGGGTGTCTCACAGGCCCAATTCATGAAGAGATCGTCATCCCTCGATTGGAGGATGTGGTCAACTTCCCCAGGTGTGACTCGACCAGCAAAGGTTTTCCCTGGCACTTTTGAAGACGAGGACGTGGTAGGTTAGATGATGTTGCCCTAGGAACGTCCCCACACAGATGGCAGTTACGAACAGAAAAATAAAAGTCGACGTCGGCTCTCAGCATGCTAGGGAATATGGGTTTGAACATTAAGATTATCTATACAATCATGGATTCATTACATTTTATGTCCACAATTTCTGGATCAGATACTCGATCTGCTCAGTGCGGTAGGTATCGGGCTCAAGGTAAGCAATGTCCGTGACATTGACATCGAAAGCCATGTTGTAAGGGTTCTCAACATCGTACTTGGGCCAAGTAGTGTTGGTAACGCCGTTGTAGTTCGGGTCTCCCTTGGTGATGAAGGACACCCACATCCTCGACATCATATCAGCCAAAGTCTTGAACGTCTCGGGCTTGCCCTCAAACGGGTCCACGGCCACGGCCGTCTTGTAGCCCACAGCATCGGTGTTATCGAACACAAAGACAACCTCCTGGAAGTGCTTTGCGCCGTCGGCAGGCGTCATGCCATTAACAAGCACGTTGAAGTGGTACGAGTATACCGTCTGGTTCGCCTCGGCCCACTTACGAGCCCAGTATCTCCGGGGGCCGTGCTGGGCGCGATCACCGCCAAAGGCGACGGCACGCTTGTACATGTAGCCCAAAGAAGCCTGGTCGCCAGTCGGGCGGCCATCGAGAGTCGCTGGGAGACCGACACGGGGAATGTCGGGATACAAGGCAGAGAGTACTTCGATGGTGACGTTGTTGGCGCCCTGGGCACGGAGGTAGGATTCCCATTGCTCAGTAGTGTTGATGCCCTTCTGGCCGAACTGAGTACCCTCATCAAAGTTTGCGCCGATGAGTATGGGGACGTGGACGAACTTGCCAGCGTTGATGAGCTCTGAACGCGGGGCAGGAAGGAAATCGCCATCTGCCATGCCGTTGAAGGAGGGGCTGGAAGTACCGTTGATGATGTCGCTCAAATCCCATGCCGGCAGACCGCGGAGGCAGTCGAGGGTATCCGCGGCAGAGGTGCAGTTCGTCTTGTTGACGAGGGTGTCGTAGTAATCCTGCCAGGTGTTGGTAGTTGGCTCGACCTCTCCAAAGTCGGTCTCAAGACCAGTGCCGCTCTGCAGGATTGCGGCCTTGTAGAGTCCGTCGTCACGGCCTCCGTAAGCCAGCATCTGCGTGCCAACACTACGGGATCCGGCGCTCTCACTCCACAAAGTAACCTGCTCCGGATCGCCACCAAAGGCTGCGATGTTTTCGTTAACCCATTGCAGAGCGAGACGTTGGTCACGGAAGCCGAGGTTTCCTACGCCAGCAGCTTTGATCTCGTCACTCCACAGGAAACCCCATGCGTGCAGGCGATAGTTGATGCTGGTGGCAATGAAGGGGGTGTTCATGCGGACAGACTGCTCGACGATGAAGGAGAGGTTGTAGCGCGGATCGGAGCTCCCTCCGTTCGTCAGGCCGCCACCGTGAATCCATACAGCGACAGGGAGCTTGGCATCGGCGCTCACGCCGGAAGGGCGGACAACGTTGATGGTCAGGCAGTCTTCCGAGACGTAGTTACCCAGGACCCAGGTATCACTGCCGTAGCCGAAACACTGCGCAGAGTACTCGGTCGCATTGCGAGTGTTGTTCCAGGCTGAGTTCAACGACTGGGGAACGCGGAAGCGCAAGCTGTCCACCGGGGGCTGAGCGTAGGGGATACCGAGGAAGAAGTCCTGATAATAAGCCTGACTGTGGATGCCGTAGTACGAGCCGTTCTTGACCTGGACGGTAGGGACGGCGGCGCCAGTTTCGTTGCTCGGGACGGTCTGTCGCGGGACAAGACCGGAGGCCGTGGCACAAGCCGTGGAGAGAGCGGCCAGTAGAGTGAGCCGGGTCATGATGACTGGGGTATGCTAAGTGACGACCGACTGATTTGAGGAGACGCTGCAGCAATCTAGTCCATCTTCAACGGCGATCGGAGGCGAGCCGACATTTTGTACTTTTCGCAAAGGATGCGGGCCCGGGAGAAGGTCGGACATTGGCCCCCATGTGGTACTCCATCATGGAGATGAAGCCACGGCGAGCATGAATGGTAGATCCCGGCATCATGCCACGAGACCAAGCCGCCGGGGTCGTATAGGTTCGAGAAGTGGACTACGTCACCCGAAGCGAAGCCATTCAGAGGCCCGGAGAAGACAAAATTCTGTCTGGGAAGATCCAATGGTTTGGATTCCGTGCAGTGCTGTCCCCCGCATGACGCCTGCAGAATCGGCCCTTTCCCCCTAAGGTTGTGGAGGCTGGGGTTCGGTTGGGTTGCGTGGGGAGATGTCGGCAAAGAAATTTGGTTCTCGACCACGGTCAACTCCCGAGAGAACGGATGAACGCTTCTGCGGTGCGGTGTGCGGTGTCGGGAGCCGATGCCTGTTTCCGACTTCCGAGTCATGACATGTTGTTGATGGGCGGATCAGGCTACTCAAGATGGCGAACGCGCGAAAGCAAGACCGGAGCCGAGGAGGAATTGAAGTTGCGAAGCCATCAAGTCGCATTGAAACAGACTTGATGAATGCTAGAATGAGTTGAGGTCCCGAGAGGTAGAAAGCTGTCGCAAAGCAGTGTCGGCGAATATTACAGTGCAAAGGCATTCCTGGGGATTCTCCACCGCTCGCGTGGCTCAATTTTTGCATACAGTGCAGCCGACGACTGTCGCACTCAGTGTCCCGGCAGACGCCGAAAACAAAAGTGGAGAGACTATAGAAAAAGCCATGACGACATCCGTCCGCTCCGGGAAGTGCGGCCCCGAAAACTCGGCACCAATTCTTGCGACCAGGGTCCGAGGCTTCTTTGCAACCCATCCAGCTATTCAGTGACAATTGAGACGGCATCCAACTACCGCAGTCACTCGTGCAATCGGAATTGATAGAGCTTCGGAGCGCCCTTCGTCTTCTGTTCGGTCTCCATCTCATTGCCACAAAATATCTCATTCCGTATCGCATAAAACTCGACGAATCACAGGTCATACACACGCTCTCGAAACAATCATCGAATTGTCCTCAAAGATGACTTCGAAGAGTGGTGGGTTCGTCCACTGTGTCGGGTCACCCGAGTTCGATCCGAAGGCCTATGTCGAGGACAAGGAACGCCAGGAGAAAGCCAGCCAACTCCTGAGCCAAAACAACCTCTTCTCTGCGATCAACGTCTCCTTCAACATTGATGGCAAACGCGATACCTATGTGTATCATGCCATGACCTCTGTACGCCTTGTTCAAGTCCAGGGCATCGTCAACATGGGCGGCGAGAACGGGTTACACGCGTGGTATCGCGACGATGAGGGGAAGCCCGTAGGTCTCACACTCATCCCTCACTGATCCTCTCATATCCAAACTCGTGAGACTGAAACTTGGTTGTCAAGCTCGATCCTCCTCCTCAACAAGATGTCGAAGCCTACGTCCAAGTCTTCCTCCCAACGACTCTCACCATCTCCGCTCTGAAATCCTTCCTGTCAAACGCCAAAAAGACGTCTCTTCGCTTCCAAATCGCTTCTTACCTCACAGCAAAACGTTACATTCACCCATCCCTCACCACAGCCCTCACAATCCCGAAATGCAAAAAACCAACATCCTGCCCTCCAAACCCTTACCTTGACTTCTGGGCATGGTCCTGCCGTAACTTGGAGTGGGCTGGCCCGCACCCATCCTCAGCAAAACGCATGCAATCGCATCACGTCCTGCCCATCTTCATGCACCACTTCGGCTGCGCAACACCTTCTCACGAAGCTCTTTCTATCTTGAAGACCCTCGCGGCGGGAAGAAGTATCGCGGATATGGGATCTGGAAACGGGTACTGGTCATTCATGCTCCGTCTTTACGGGTTGAACGTGTTCGCCGTGGACAACATGCAATCTGAGTGGCGCGTGAACTGGATTCCCGATACCGAGATAGCCGACGGTGTCAAATGGCTCAAGAAACGCGACTCTGGCAAGGACCTTGTCATGCTGCTGGTATATCCTGTCGTTGGCGGCGGCGTGGCAGGCGGTTCCGAGGGAGGCTTCACGAGGGGCCTGGTAGAGGCGTATGAGGGCGACACGATTGCGGTGGTGGGTACGCAGAACGCTAATGGCTACACGGGCTTCAAGGACATGACGATGGACCAGTATATGGAAAGGGAGCAGAAAGAGTGGACGAAGGTCGTACAAGTTGCGCTGCCGAGTTTTGCTGGAAAGGACGAAGCGTTGTTTGTTTTCCAAAGAGGGGACAGAGCGCCGAAGAATGTGCCTACTGAGGGCGATGCGAAGAAGGAATTGCAGGCATGATGGGATAAACAAAAGAATATCCCGAGAAACTTCTCACCACGAAGTCTTGATGAGACTTGTTCTGCACCCCCATAAAATGAGGGACTCGTGCGACGTGGCCCAGACGGCCGGGAATTAGCAGCAGTACCGGCGTCGACCCAGCATCCAACGCCATCGTGAACATGTTCTTTTGAACTACATTCTCTATCACTTGCGGCATCTATGCATATAAGAGGGAATAACGGGACAGTCAACGAGGCAGCTGAAAGTCTCTTGCAGCTCCGTGTAGTGTCGTCCCCAATAAGTTCGTCCCTTGGAAAATCTCAACTTAAGCATCTGCAGTAGTCGAAAGGGAACCCACTGCCACGCAACACAGACGAGGTAATGAATGACAAGACTTGGCTTATATAGACCTGCCGGGGTGAGACTCGCGTTGTTACACCGATCAAGCCACTGTCTCGCCCTTGACTATTAGGTATGACCTCTTTCTCATCGATGCTAAGCACTCGACGGCGACGGCGTAGAACAACCGTGCTCCGTTTAAGATGCGTCGGAAAACCAGTGCAGAACTGTTTGAATTATTGATCCAATTGACTTGGATGATGAACGGTCTCATCAGGTGCGTTCCTTTGCTATTTACATGTTCAGTCGACTCCGCCCGTTGACAAAACCAGAACTCAAATTCGAGTTCGGATGGCCGATCAACCCCGCAGCTTATCCTTTCTTCTTCCATTCCAACTTTATGGTTTTCTCGCAGGAACTGCGTCATGAATAATAACCATGAGATGAAGTGTATCTTGGTGTTTCTGATCCGCCCACTCACAGCACTTGGTTCATCCGCAGGGCATCTGCAGCCCGCCTATATTGGCCAGATTAGGAAGTGTCTCGTCGAATGTATCCTGATTTCAGAACAGTCTTTCATTTAAGCATAATTGGCAGTATCTCGAAAAGTTTCTTTTGGCTGAACGGTAGAATGCAGCATCGTCCCATTCAGGTAATCGCACGAACCTCGTACCTCGGCCTTATCGCCCATTAATACGCACGACGTCTGCCCCAAGTTCGTTGCACTATTCTCATTCGACCCAGACGATCTTCTTCGAAGTTAGTGAGGTCACAGGAAGATGCAATGGCTCTTCTACGCGAGAACCACCACGTCAAAATAGCCGTGACACTCCTGACAGCATGGGCGTCCCTGATCCAAGCGGCGCAGAAAACCACTGTCGAATTCAAATCATACCAACCCTCATTTCAGAAGTTAATCGGCCAGAAAGTTAGCGGTCGTCTGGCCACCGAGCTCCCTTGGGAAGCTTTCCACGAAGGAGGCATTTACAACAAAGATGACAACTCTCTCTACATCGCCTCCAACTTCGACACCGTCGACAACCCAATCAACATCACAATCCTGTCCCTCGACGACCTTTCTATCCGGAGCCAACGGTACACAAATCTGTCCATGCCTAACGGCGGAACGACTTTCCGCCCTGTCGATGCCTCCTCCAAGTCATCTCAGACGTTGCAGGTATGGTGCGACCAGGGCGATTTCACCAACTATTCCAAGTTGGTCACCATAGATACATCCACGAACGAAACGAAAACCCTTCTCTCCAGTTTCATCAACCGAAACTTCACATCTATCAATGACGTCCGCCAACACCCCAAGACAGGTGACCTCTGGTTTACCGACGCATACTACGCCCACTTCAATGGTTTCCGCCCAGAACCTCAACTACCCACCCAAGTCTACCGCTACAATATCGCCACCGGGAGTGTTCAAGTCGTAGCCGATGGTCTCCAGCAGCCGAACGGGATTGAATTCTCGCCCGATTTCAAGACAGTCTACATCTCCGATACAGGCGCCGCAACGACAAGTTTCGACCCCAAGGGGCCGGCGACCATTTATGCGTATGATGTGGTCGACGACAAGAGGAGGCTCAGTAATAAGCGTGTCTTCGCATACACCGACAATGGAATCCCTGACGGGCTGCACACGGATGTAGAAGGGAATTTATGGGCATCCTGCGGCGACGGAGTCCATGTCTGGAATTCCCGAGGAGACTTGCTCGGAAAGGTTTTTACAGGAGACTACACCAGCAACTTCGCTTTTGCTCCAGGTCGGATGTTCATCTTTTCGAACAGTCGCCTCTGGGTCGTTGAGAACGTAGAGGTACTTGGTAGGGAGGTATGTGACGACTTTGGATCAAAAGTAGATCGTAGATGCTATAAATGAGATGTTTTTGAGGGGATACCTACCATGTCGAGACTGATGTGAAATCGTAGAAGCCGTGATGAGGTTAGCAAAACATAAAGGGTGGCGAAGGATAGCGCAACGAGGAATGAGACATCAATAGACATCCTGCCTGTATAGGTAGCAACTGATGGTACCCCGCCTGAAACAAGTCAGATGGGTCTTGAGAAGGCCTAGGTAGTGAAACCCAAGTTTCCACAGACATCAAAAAGATGACCAAAAAACATACAACACCAGGTATTCGCTGGTCGTCACCGACCCAACTACTAATCCGGCCCTCACTGGCTTATCTATGGGAGAGCGGACGGGATCCCGAGTTCTCCAGTGGGTATGGTCGTATGTGGAAGACTGTGAAGCCAAAATTGTAGATAGAGCCCTCAGTTATTGCAATTTAGCTGGTGTTGATCGCGCCGATGCAACGGGCAGCTACCCGACAGTAACATGCCAACCAACAATGCAGTGCAGAGCGCATGGCCAAGAACCCAGAGAATTGATCTTTTCAAATTTAGCACATTTTGCTTGTATGATCACCGGCGGGTTCGAGCAAGTTCGATCTGTTCTGTGTTCTCCTGGTAGTCGACCCCAATCTAGGGCTCCTCCTATGCTTCTTCGGAAATGTTATCTGATATCAGTTTTCACGGAGATGTGGTGTCATTTATTGCTGGCATCATCTTATAAATAAGAAACTTCAACGTTGCCCCAGACATCCATTGAGTTAGACTCAACGGACTTGGGTGTCACAACAATCCTCGAATACGACTTTCTCAAGCTTCCATCTTGCGCACTCTGACACCAGTGGGCCGATGATAGAAGTAAGGAAAGCTGGGAAGAGCCTTATCAACGTTGAGCGGGGAATCCAGAGTTTGGAGTCGAAGAACATGACTACCAGGGCTTGATTGAGGCCGCGACTGAGGGACACTTTGGGGAACAGACACAGGTCTTTCGGGTTCGTGACTGCATCAAGAACTTGAAGAACAAGCAGAGTGTGTACATCGAAGACTTCTCCAAGACACTCATCTCATGGGGAAGTTCTAATACATGAATCCTAGACCCAGCAGAACGAACACTGGAAGAGGAATACCAGTCGTGGTTCAATACAATGGCAGCATTCACAAAGGTGCCGCTCCATGATGCTGGTGAGAATGGGGATGCTCGAGTTATCCACATAGTCCTGAAAGCCGTCAACGTAAACCCGAAGGACGTTCAAGCTCGCACAGCGCTTCACATATGCTGTTCCAAGGGGAACGTGGACTTCATCCAAGACATCTTGACGACAGGTGCATCTCTCAACGTGAGCCTGCGCAGGCGTATCTTCGCCAGCTGAAGGTTGAAACGGCTGATTGTGCTGCACCGGACGTGGCACGACAAGTTGTCTCCAACTGAGCTTCCATCGAAATTCGACTTGGAGTGGCAGAGAAGATTCATCTTAGAGGATTAGAGCCATCGTTCGCTTCGGTTGCATTCGGCCGAACGATTCGTGGATTACGACTGCAACATAGGGCAGAGGTGCCGAGAAATTGCGACATGGAAACTGAGGCCGTTTGGACAGCTCAACGAACAATCAAACTTGCTGCAGGATCGAATCATGCTGCACGGCTAGAGTAGGTACGCTAAGCAACGTGTTTCTGACATCGTGCTAATTACTTGGGCTCTTCGAGCTGCATGTCAGTAGCCGACAGCGCGGTTCTCAGAATAGTGACACGCAATCTGTCGAGGTGTCAAAAGTGGTGAGGTCATGGTCAAGGGCCGTCTCTGTGCAACGTCCATCCGTTGGCATGCTCGATGAAGACCAATGCAGACCTAGTGCAGCCACCAAATCCAAGTTTTGCAGGCCTTAGCATTGGATGCATTTTTTAAGATGCTGATTATTGAAAGCGCCCGTTGACTTTGTCACAGATGTTGTTTGCGAGGAGCGAGGTTTGGTTCAGTCGGTATCTTCCTCGTCGCGATTCGCTTCCCGTAGCTGGATGTCAGCTGGAGCATGTAGCGGCTGCACCCAAGGGAAAGCGGCGGTAAGGCTACACTAGAGAAAGAGTCAAAGAGGTTCCAGAAGTCGAGATAAAATGCCGCGCAACCAATAACACGGAGGAACGGAGGTTTATCAACGGAGGAAATGGAGTCGAGGTGCAGATAAGTGGTCGGGAGATGGGCACGAAGATCTGCGGTGAGGATTTGAATGGCGACAGCAGCGAGTCGATGATAGCCTATCCCGGCTTGGTGCCCGTCTTGAGAGGAAACGGTGGGATTCGTTGGGTGGCAGGCTTCCGGGTGGTTGGGAATGGGCCTCGGGTGGAACGAGAATGCTGGCTTCCCGCCGTGGTGGGGTGAGGGGAGCGAGGGGTTTTGTCTTGAATGGAACGACGGAGAATGGACAAGCCCGACGTTGCCGGCTTGTTGGATGCAGCTGGTCAATCCCGTCGTTGGTTACCTTAATTGAGCGTTTGGTCGCCACGTTGGCGGTCACGAATGGCCCGAAGACATCGATCGAGTGGCTGGTTTCAGTGCGAGCGAAGACAGGAGCTCCAGTTGTGAGACTCCAGTCGGCCCAAGTGCAATGGAAGAGAGAAGGTAAAGCCACAATAGCGGTGTCGAATTCCGGGCCTGACGAGTTCGATGGCGAATCGCTCATAGGTATGGAAAAGAGGGTGCGATGAGGGTTTTGGGGGAGGGAAATGCACCAATTAACAAAGGAAAATGAACATAAGGTACCTACCTACCTAGATATCAAGGCACCTTACCTTTACCATAAGGCAGATACCTCAGTAGAGAATGGGGGCGATTTTGGCAGGAGAAAGGTAAGAAATGGAACGTAGATAGATGCATCTGTGCGGCCACGACCACAACATGGAAGCGAAAGCTCGAGGTAAGGTACGTACTGCCAATTGGCGCCGCCAAAGGACCTAACAGCAGGCTTAAAAGCGGGTTCTCTGACGGTGGCAATGGAATCGATAAATCCCAGTCGAGTCGCGCTCCGACCGATCCGCTGCTTTTTGTACAGGGTATCGCACCGCATCGCATCGCATCGCGAATTGTTTTGTGTACCTTCCTGGCACTAGGCGCCTGAATAAAGAGCGCTGCATATCTTACGGATAACTTGGGTGCCATCGCATCGCCTGATGATGCCGCCCCGTTTGGGTATCCGTACCTGACTGTGTCCGCGTATCTGCATCCCGTCATCAGGATTCGGTGCATATCAGCAAGTCCAGACTCAATCCATTGGAAGCAAACTGCCAATGGAAACTGCCGATTCGTACCTCATGCAGCAATCTAGGCGGGCAGCCCGGAAGAATTGGTTTCCAGGTTATTTACACGTTAAGTGCAAGATCAGCTTAGCGCCAACTTTTTTCTTTCTCTCCATGCTACGGAGTACTGCCACCATCCGCATCTCCATCACTAAGGTACCTTACCGCTGCCGCTACAGCTGTCTAAGCCTGTCTGTCAAGCACGCTCGTTTGTTCACTTCCATATCCTTATTCGCGCTTATTTCTTGCGTGCTTTACTATATCGTACCTTAGCCCGAGATAAGATGCGCTGCTCGACATCTACTGAATTATTCGTCTTGTCCCTTTCGGGAGGGCTATCCCTGCTTGTATCCCGGTTTCGACCAGTTTCGGGCAAGTGGTGGTGCAAAGGAAAACGGCCAAATTGACCCTTGTCAGTCCACGCTTCCAGTCCAGGGCCCATGACATGGCATTCCAATCCAATCCAATCCAAGTGACTTTGCTGCGAGTTGCCGCCGTACAATCATCTTAAGAATACGAGCTCAGGCCCTGTCAAGCTGTCCCTCTTCGCCCTTCTTCCCCAGACTGACACGAACCCTGACCTGCGGAAGGTCAAGCTGCCTTCCCAATTCACCTTTGCAGCTGTGCACCCGCAGCAACCGCCGCCTTGCCTTGCGGTAAGCTGAGAGCTGAGAGCAGTGAGCAGTGAGCAGTGAGCAGTGAACAGTTCCTGCCGCCCAATCCTTGCCGTCGGTTCTGTCGCCGGTTTGGGGAAATTCTTGGACATCACAGGCCACCCCTGCAACTTCTTCAATATCTTGTATCTGCCTCCCGCTCTCTGCAACACACCCTGTTGACTTTCTTTCATCATCCATTGCCACGTCTCGCTGTTGCGACCGCGTCTTCCATCAAAAACACATCACCCTTCACCGAAAGCTTTTCGAATACTCGTAAACGCCATCCGATCCCATTCACGCTCGTCTCGTCACGGTTGCGCGTCATCGCCGAATAAACGAAATAAATACCGATCATCCCGGTCAACACCATCTAAAACAGCTCCATATCGTCTCGGAGAGAGACCCCTAGAGCTCTCCACAAGCCGTTTTCCGTGGGAACACCGCACCACGATATTCCGCCCTCTCCGAACGACTTCCAGTCTCGACCTGCAACGCAGCTTCTCGCAGTTTGAAACATCCCTATGTCTTTTCTCTTGCCTGTCCTCAATTTGGCCCGATACACCTCAGACTTCGCCTTTGCATTCGCCAGATAACGAAAAACCATCCACCGTCTCGCCGACGCTCTTTTGTCTTTTCGGGCAGCTTTGCCCCGCGAGCCCGCTCTCCGTCCTGCGTTGCGTTGTTCACATCAATTGTTCAACATGGCCCGCTTCGGGGCTTCAGTGTCGATTTTTGCGACCTGCTTCACCCTCTTCTTATTCTTCGCCACAACCTTGGCCGATGCCGAGACCGTCTATATCACTGGGCAGGACAAAAATGGCGTTTCCCGCGAGCTTGCCGTCAACCGGCGGCCAGGCCTGTACACCGGCGATTTTGGCGACTGCCTTGGAGGACAGAGTCTATTCAACATCACCAAATTCGATGCCGCATATTACGCCGACAACATGACTGTGCAGTTTCACCTGGACGGAACTACCAACGTCAGGAACGAGTCGCTCATGAGTAAGTGTTGTGCGAATTGTGTTTATCGTCCGGCTGCTAACAACGGTATAGTGCACATGAATGTCGAAGCTTGTAAGCAGACGAACCCCTCGGCGAAGAGGAGAACGGGATAGGCTGACTTGGTACAGACGGCGAGACAAGATTCCAGATGAACTTTAACCCTTGCCAAGCGAACATCGCAAGGTGCGTCAGCGTCCCTGCGCTGTCAAGACAACTCGCTAACTCTGCCCAGTCTGTGCCCTTTGAACGCCAGCGTTCCCATCACTGCCTTCGCCGAGTTCAGACTTACTCCCGCTCAGATCGATGGCATCCCCTCGATTGCTCTCGACATTCCCGACTTCGAAGGTTCAGCTCGGATACAGATCTTCGCAAATTCGAGCGAGACCCAAATTGGGTGCTTCCAGGCCGTCATGAGAAATGGCAACAGCTTTTCTCATCCGGCAGCAATCTCTTCGATTTTAGGCGTCTTTACCCTTGCCGCGATTCTGGCTTCCTTTGCCACTGCGATTTACGGCGTCAGCATCACTCACATGAGGACCCATTATGCCCATTCCCTGTCGGTACTGGTCGTCTTCGAGACTTTCCAGACGGTATTCTTCTCCGGTGCACTATCAGTCGACTGGCCTAGCGTCCTGCCTGCCTGGTGGAGCAATTTTGGATGGGCTGCGGGAATGATCTACAGCAAGCAGATGATAAACTCGATCGACGGATTCGCCGGAGTGACTGGTAATGCCAGCCAAGTTGGTGGTGCTGGTTCGACCGTCATCAACACCGGAGGTGGTCTAGTGCAACAGATCTACGGTCGCTCAATTGATAGCCTCTCGGATTCCCCTATCGAAGCTGCGTCTGTCCAGTATCTTGCCCAGCGAGCTACGAGGGAGTTCAATACAAGTAACCCATACGAATACTACTGGGCCGGCTCCCCAGTCCGACCGGGAATGCCCACGCCGGGCAAATGGATAGGGTTCGGTGGAGATTTGTCGGCCCTGGGCATACCTGCTGCGGATGCCTTCACCCTCGGTCTTATTTGGTGGTTGGTGGCTGCTGGCCTGGTCGCTTTGGCCATCACCCTGCTCAAATTCACCCTGGATGGGCTGGTGAAGGCGAAGCTCATCAACCAAGACCGGTTCTTATACTTCCGGAGCCATCTTGGAGGATATCTGGCCGCCGGTGTTCTCCGAACCTTGCTTGTTGCGTTCTTCTCCTTGATGACCCTAGCCATGTTCCAGTTCAACATCAAAGCACCGGCCGGCCCTACGGCTATTGCTGCTATCGTCTTCATTCTTTTGCTCATTGGCATTGGAGGCATCGTTGCATACGCGTCATACTTTCGTCTCCGCCTCGGAAAGTACGAGATGGGTCCCGACACGATCATTTTTGAACAAGGAAAATTGTTCACTTCGGTTCCGGCAGTTGCAGCAACTCGTGCGAGCAACATCGGGGAGAAGGAGACAACAGCCAAACGCTACGGGTCGATGCCCTTCTTCAAGATTCGCTACGTCGACGACGACCCTGATCGAACGACGGTCCACAAAGATGAAGCCTACATCAAGCGGTTCGGCTGGCTTGCTGCCCGTTACCGACGGACGAGGTGGTGGTTCTTCACCTGCTGGCTTAGCTACCAGTTCATTCGGGCATGCTTCGTCGGCGGAGGTGCTCGAAGCCCCTTGGCACAGGTCTTTGGACTGTTTATCTTCGAAATCATCGCCTTCCTCGTCTTCATCAAACTCAGTCCGTTCGAAGGCCAGCGAAACAACTCCCTGGCAATCTGGATGCTCGGTATCACAAAGGTTGCCACAGCCGGTTTCTCCATCGCTTTCCTGCCTGCATTCGCCATTGGCCGCATCCTCTCGACTGTGTTCGGCATTATCATCATTGTGGTGCAAGGTTTCCTCGTTGTAGCAGTTCTAGTTTTGATTGTTCTCGGTGTCATCTCGTCATGGATGTCTCTGAACCGAAATCGCGAAGAGTTCCCCGAAAACCTAGACGGAATTCGCATCAAATATTACGAGCACATGGAAGCCAAGGCCGCGGACTTGCCTCCACCTCCGAAACCTGACCCTAATCTGCTGCCTCAGCAACCGCCGCAGCCATACTTCAACGTTTCCAGTGTTCGCCGAGCACGCAAGATTGAGGACGACGAACACGACGAAGATGAAGTTGGAGACATAATTCGTCCTGCCAACGCCTCGGTCGTTCAGTTCGCCCCAGGCACGCGGACCAGGAGCCGGGCGAATAGTGCTAGCTCGCGCCACTCAGTTGGAAGTTTGCCGCGTCGTGCCAGACCACACCGCGCTTCCTGGAGTTCGGCTGATTTTGCCGAATGGGATAATCAGACAAACCAGTTGGAGCGGTCTGGTTCGGTGCTCGCGCAGCGCAGCAGGAGCGGTTCATTCAGACAAATTACCCATTCCGAATCACAACCGGATCTCGGTCGCTCCACCAACAGCACGCCACTGCATGGGAGGTCAGCGTCCACGAATGAGTTGCGGCGTATCATGACGCCGACGGAGGAGGTTCCGGAGGAACATATCATGACGCCTGGCGCGATGGTCAGCGATGAGAAGAAGGCCGAAGATGCCGGTATTTCTCCCATCCACGAGCGAGACGAAGAGAGGTATTTCGAGACGAAGGAAGACGTTTCGCCAATTGAAGAGAAGGATCGGAAGTCTTGAAGTATGATATTTCAAGCAGCACAACACACTGCACGGCACACACCAGCCGTGTACATTACCAGCAAACTACTCGATCGATTGCCACGCCTTGACGGCGTTCCCTTCACACCATTGCATAGCATTGCATAGACGGTCCATTGGCCACGACGAAGTTACATGAGAAACGGATTATGAGGCGTTGGATGGAAAAATTCATTTGAACAACATTTTGTAATGGCACTAATGTGAGGGGTGGCAACCGCCTGCTCTCACGCTGCATCGTGCACATATTTGGCGGTCTTGGACGAGACGCCCGGTACATGGATACACTTGCAGATACACGGGGCCTGTTGGCACCCTTAGATAGAGCCAAGCTGCTTAGAATTAGAAAGTCAGTGTCAAAGTAAATCACAGTCGTAAGTGTCCATGTGAACAATTGAGCATCCGAAACCGCTTACACCATTTTTCTTCTATCAAAAATATGTCCATAATCCCCATGTGGCTTTTGTGACTTTCCGTAAATGCACCCATTTCATGCAACCTGACACCTTGATATATCTCCCAGTTTTCGTCGTAATCTCGCCCCCCTTTTAGGCAAAGCCCTTGAGAACAGCAGCCTCGGCGTTGAGGATGGACGAACCAGCAGCACCGATGACGGTGTTGTGGCTGAGCGCAACGAACTTGATGTCGAAGATGCCGCTCTCGTCCTCCCTCACACGGCCAACGCTGACGGTGTAACCACGGCCAAGCTCGCGGTCCAGGCGCGGCTGGGGACGGTCGGGCTCGTCGAAGACGATGATGGGGTTTTCGGGCGCGGAAGGACATCCCAGGCGCTGCGCATCACTGACGTACTCGCGCAGGGCCTTCTTCACCTCGTCGGATGACGGCGCCGGGCGGCGCGCGAAGCGCAGCGACACGCAGGCCGTGTGGCCGTCGAGCACGGGAACGCGGTTGCAGGCGGCGCTGACCTTGAGGTCCTTCTGGTCCTCGAAGGCGGTGAGGTCGGAGGTGATGTTGCCGAGGATCTTCTGGGCTTCCGTCTCGAGCTTGTCCTCCTCGCCCGAGATGAATGGGACGACGTTGTCGATCATGTCCATGGAGGAGACGCCCGGGTAGCCGGCGCCGGAGACGGCCTGCATGGTAACGACGGAGACGGCGTCGACGGGGCCGAAGACGGACTGCAGGGCGGCGAAAGGGATGACGAGGCCGATGACGGCGCAGTTGGAGTTGCAGACCAAGAAGCCCTTCTCGAGGGCGTGGTGCTTGCGCTGGTGAGGGATGAGGTCGAGGTGGGGGAGGTTGACGGTAGGGACGACGAGGGGGACGAGGGGGTCGCGGCGGTAGTTCTTTGCGTTTGAGAAGACGGCGAGGTTGGCCTTGAGGAATTCCATCTCTGTTTGATCGAATCATCAGTTCAAGTTGCTCCTCGAGAGGCCGAGCGGCATCGACATGGGTACAAAGGGGATCGAACGAACCAATCTCGCCGGCTACGTCAGAATCCAGACCAGAGAAGACAATGTCGCAGTCCTTGAACTCGGAAGCCTTGCATTCACGGACGACCAGGTCGCCGAAAGGGCCCATGGGGGAGGCCTGCTTCCAGCGGACTGCATCGCGGTATTTCTTGCCTGCGGATCGGGAGGAGGCGCCGACGGCGACGAGCTTGAGGTAGGGGTGCTGAGAGAGGAGGAGGATGAAGCGTTGTCCAACGGAGCCGGTGCAGCCGAGGACACCTGTGAAATCTCGTGTTAGCGTATCCTGTGTAGAGCTCGTCGTGATATCGTGTGACTTTTTTCGGTGTTGAGGTTTCCGGTGACGGAGGGACGACGATGGCGGGGGAGGGGCAATTGCGCTTGCGACGAGAGGTCACGTACCGCACTTCTTGACAGGGAATTCGCCCATTGTGATTGTGGTTTTGGTTCGAACAGAAAGGTTGGGGTATCAATTGGTGTGGAAATCGATCATCAACCAACACGGGGGCGCTGGACGGTTGATATACGAAAAGAAATTGGGTTAGCGGCGATGTGAGTCAAGGCGAAGTGGCATGTCGTCCTAAATTTTGGGGAGAGCGACGTCGGGAGCACCCCGCCATGCCCCGCCATCGGAGCTCGAGGTCTTGCAGGGGTAAACTGGGCGGTTTTGATAGGTCGGGCGGGACCTGATTGGCGCTGTGAACCCCTCAGTGCGCTGCCGCGAATGTTGTCTTTCGGGCACTCAACTTCCTTCATACTTCTATCAGCAGAGACCGGTCGGGATCTGGTCATGGTCAATAACACCGCCCGGCGATTGGGAAACAACCTCGATTGGCCTAGCACCACTTGCTCTCGCAGCTTGATCAAGTCACTTCTCCCGAAACTGGATGGATCACGCGCATGACAGGTCCGACATGCCCTGCTTCACTCTCTTGATGCGACGAACGGCATTTCTTAATGGGAATCGTGGATATCAATCGGATGAAAGCTACTTTTTCTGCACGCAACATACCATAGCGAGGGTATTTCAGACCTGCTGCATCACCGTCTTTTCCCGACCCTCCAGACTCTTGTCCTGCAACTTCTTCGCAACATCATGACTGAGGAACTTCTCCATGTTCGGCACCAGGAACGAACTTAGCAGGAGGATCACCGAAAAGGGGATCGTCGTATAGAACACAATCTTGAACGAGCTTGTGTAAGCCGTCTTGAGCGCACCTCCCACGGCCGCGATGATGTCTGGGTTGATGCCTGGGACTGTCGAAAAGTCGCCGGCTGTGATGGCTGCGAAGAGAGCCTCGACTGAGGACGATGGCAATCCAGCCTCTGTTGCAGCTGGCACGACGTATTTGGGCATGTTCTTGTTCAGTTCATTCGTCAGGACAGACGTGTAAAGAGCCTGCGCAACAGCGCCTCCCAGGCCGCGAATCGATCCCAGAACGCCGGTTGCAAGACCAATGTCTTGGGCCTCCCAGACAAGCGTGACGCCAGGAAACGAAATGTTGTCGACAAAGCCGATGACTGAGACATGTCAGCAAGAGGAGACAAAGGGGGCACTCGCGTCACCGCAGAACGGCTGGAACGTACAGGTACAGACCAAAGTGCCCAGCGCAATGGTTGCGGCCCACCGGTCAGGGGAGATGGTGGTCAACGCAGTCATGAACGCGAAAGCCAGGGCCGAGGTTGCAACACATTGCCATTTAACTTTTGGTACGTATGAGATGCTGAAGCCTGCAATGGTCTGGCCGAGGAGGATGCCGCCGCCGATGACAGAACTCTGCCAGCCGATTTTCATCGAGTCGGTGGTGTAGATGGTTTGAATTATGGTTGGCCAAAGGACGGTGAGGGAGTAGTAGACCATGGCCCCGACTGTTGCGATTACTATGATTGCGACGAAGCCGACGTTCTTGAACATTCGTGGAGGCATCAAGGGCTGGACCTTACAAAAGAAGCCCTCTTGGATATGTCAGTGCGGTTACTCTGGAAGGAGGCCATGTCCCTACTTACCGTACACAGCAAATGCTGCAAGTGTGGCGATACCGATGAGCAGAGTGCAGAGAACTTCCGCGCTCGCCCAGGGGTACGCAGATCCTCCCCATGAGAGACCGATGAGGAAGAGGACGCAGCCAGCAACATACAGGAATATGCCGACAAAGTCCAGGTCTTTGGTCATCTGCAACCTGGTTTTTCCGTGGACGTGGAGCTGGTCATAAGACGGTGGGTGGTAGAAAAACCAGTACAGAACCAGAGAGAGCAAGCCGAGTATGTCTCCGAGGTAGTAGCTCCATCGCCACTTGGAGACGGTGTGGTCGAAGAAGGACCGCGCAATGACGGGGCCGAAGACTGCGAATGGGAGGGAAGAAAGAAACACTATGGTGACGATAGGCCCCCTCCACTTGTTCGGCACGAGCTCTCCCATTACGATGCCGAAGGACAACTGTCCGGCCGCTGCGATCCCGTTGCAAACGTTGGCCGCGATCAGGGTCTCCACGGTTTGGGCGCATGATCCGATGACACAGCCAACAAGTCCGAGTATCGAAGTACCGAGGACCATCCACTTGCGTCCGTAGAGGTCGGAGAGTCTGCCAACAAGAAGGAAGCCGATGGAGCTGCCCATTGTCCACATGGTGGCTACCCAATTGATGTTCTTCGAGGGGCCGAGGTCTGCGTTGATGAGAGTGCTTTCAAAATGTCAGCACCAAACCAAATGAGTAAACGATGGGAAATTCTCACAGAGTGTTCGCAGGCAACACCCATCCTAGGTATGCGCATATACTTGCTAGACATTGTGCCTAGGTCATCATCAGCAAAAGACCGATTTCATAACGTATTCTCCTCAACATACCGTCAGAGTGCCGAGGAATTGCGGGCTGCGAAAGTATCTCGGCGGCATTGCACCATAGTCTCCGCCAACGGCTTTCGTGTCGATGTAGTCGATGGTCCCATCGGCGTGAACCACCTTGGTCACATTGCCATCATGGGTTTGCACTTGCTCGATATTGTCATCGTTGCCTTCAAGATGACGCGAGCGCGGATACTTAGACTCGACGCCAGACTGACCGTCTGATGAAGACATGACAGCCAGATATGATGCCGGATATCGAGTAACCTTAATGAAGTTGAAAGGCTGAATTTGAAGATAGGCGCGAGGAACCTGAGCCCTGGGTGTTGATTGTCTTACCGCGGAACCGGGACGTTCATCAACATTAAGTAAGATAACCTCAATGCCCCTCAGCGGACGCCTTCATCCAACCCCAAGCAGATCGTCGGCAGGTGCTACCCCAGGCCAAAGGGAGGAGGTGGTTATTCTTACCCCACGCAACCTGTCAATCCTGGAATCTGGGGAAGACAGACCCGGCAGAACGGGAGACTCAGGGGTCCCTCCGCCAGTACAAGTAAGAAACTGCAGGCCGATACCTGGTTGGAGGCTTCGGACTCTTGGGCACTCGCAGGTGCAACTGGCAACTTCAATGTAGCACAAGAGCTAGTGCTGGAATGCATTCCTCGGGCGCTCTAGGGCGAGACATGGGCCAAACCAGTGGCTGTTGGACCTTCTTTCACCCCAAGCCCGAAAGGGCCTCGATGCGATAGACTTCCATCGGTGAGACTTTAGGTTAGTCGTAAACGTGAAGTGGCTTGAGGTAGACAAGGGCGGCGTCGAGGCCAAGATGACGTTTCGGTCAGCTCACCAAGCCTTCGCGCCGTAGGGCAGAGTTAGCGAGGCGATGCTAGGGTATCATGAGAGGCCATTCGAGTTCTTCCACGACTTGAGAGACGTGAAAGCCTTGCTGCTAACCTGCGGAAGGCATGGTGAAAAGCAACGCTGAATCACCCGCGCGTTACATGACATACAATGCTGCGGTCGCATCGTTGCGCACTCGGGAGAGGATGAGCGAGGTCGAAGACGGGGACAGGAAAACCAATTCCGGGATGTCCTGGAACAAGGGCTGGTACATCCGGGGGACCGGTACTTTCCCTTAGCTCCACGGTGACATCGGAAGTTTATCTTTTGGGGGCTTAAGCGGAGGATTCCAGACACGCGGAACTCCAACGTCAGTATCTTAGATGAAGATGACAATAGCTCGTCTATCCGCCCATCGGGTGATCGGAGAAGTGCCAATGGAAAGGTTATCCCGCCAAGAAATGTGGCTGCTGAGCCAATCGTAATGCCGTTGGCCTCCGTATTGGGAATCATCTTCCGCATGCAAACCTTCTGCGGAAAGCTGAATCGGATGATTTCTGGGGTTACGATACGATAGCTTGCAGGAGGTTGGAGTTGTTTGACCTATGTCTCCGGCAGCTCGACGTAGTGGAGGAAACCTGGATTGAGACCCGTTGGTTGTAGAACCTCTCCCAACCGCCCTGAAAGCCCTTACATTCGTCTGAGTCGGGTAAAACCGAGAGAAAATGGCATGGAAAAGCAGTTCCATTTGCTCTCTGGGAAGTGTCTCAGAACTGGAGGCACATCTTGTGACACCCTACAGGGCACCAAACCAAGACGTCGAAAAATCGACCCTCTTGTCGATTTCGGACACGACTCTTATTAAAGACTCCTTCAAGCTGGTATACTGCCGCTTTTGCATCATTTAAAATTCCAATATGAAGCCCGGTTATCTGCAACTTTCCACCGTCACCTTCAAAACACCACGGTGTGGCTAATAGGTACGATAGTTGTGAAACCGCCACGACCCGTCATCACTTCAAACTAGTGACCTACTTTACACAATAACGCATTTGGTATTGCATCCCAAGAAACCCGTCAAGTTTAGATATCGTAGATATAGTTCTCCTCGTGAGGCAAGCCGCTCCATACGCTCTCAATATTGTGCATTGCATTGGCAGCAGCTCGGGGTGATTGAAGGAGTTTGAGAATCTTCGATGCTACTAATTTTGTCCACTCTCAAAGTTAAGACATCTCCAAACTCGCTTTTATCATCAGAAACTTTCCAGGGCTCCCGGCTTGCCTATGTTTCGTTCAACAGGTTGGAGTTTGGTCTCAATTGCCCGCCTCTACCTGACCGTCGGTTTGCGACATACTAACCAAGCTTCAACTCCACCCTCGATACCACTCTCTAAATAGACCAGAAAATCGTACCATGTAAGTCAGCTTTTCGAATTTTGAACTGTGTTTGTTGATTCAAAACCTTGGAGATGTATGTGTCAGCTGCAACATTAATTACAGTCGTGTTTTTCTTGGTCAAGGGAGAACACATTTTCAACTAAACTAAGAGCAACAAGTGGTAGATTTTATAAAGGTAACATCCTTGAAAGCAACGCCCTTCCAAAGCAAAGCTCCATCAACAAAGAATGGCAATTCAGCCTGAAAGCTCCACTTTCTGTTAACTCATAAGTCCGGTGGTGGTGCCGGATTCTTTGACTACTGCCGCACCGGAGGCCCCCACAAAAGACGGGGTTATGCCGACCACCACTGTCAACTCAAAGAACTTTGTACAAATAAGTCTGGAATATTCTGCCAGAGTTCTTAAAAATATGGCTCCGATATTCTCTAAATACAAGTGACAAGGCTGCCATTCCTTCTGTTTTATATAGAGCCAAACATTCTAGCTAAGATCTCAGTGTCGCAAAATGGGCAAACGGTCGCATGTTTCCTTGGAGGATGAGTGTCAGAAGAATATAAATCAAGGCTAGAAGCAGCCTTACCATTGCTACTATGGATCGAGAGAATCGTTCAGCTAGAAGATAAGGTGCTTCAGGCCTCAAGATGAGTGCAACTCATGTTGATTTATCCTCCAAGGATGGTGAGCGTTGTTTGATGCCCATGGGTCCAGTTGTTCTTTTGCTAACATCATACAAACCAGGACCAACATCAAGTACAACTCTACTACTGCATCAAGGCGGGAGCTGCCATCAATCGGTCTACAATCTCATGAAGGCCATCTCACAACAGACATACTCTGCTTTCTGCTTGTTCTTAGAATTATTATTATTAGTTTCACTATGCCTTGTTTCACCAAGAGCAACAGCTAGTTTCCCCCTGATAATTGAGTTCCACATGCTCTTCTTGTAATGGCTATGAATATAGCTCAAAGCAACCAGGTTTCAAGTGATAAATTTCCTTCACGCTTCTCTTCTTCTCCAGAACTGTCACCTGTTCCCAAATGGATAAGCAATCACAGTTCAGCGAGTTGGTCTCACATCCTCGCCCTTTTTGCAATTAATGCTGTTCTAGAATTGAGAGGTGGCGAGTGTCCTTGAGTACTTGTATTATTGCCAGTATTGTGAGCATTGACAGCTGATGGGTATCACTGAATGCACTGGCCCTTGTGAGGCATTCCCAAAGGCGAGAGCTACCTTAGTGAGTGACCAATGTGTGTACTCGGCTTTTTGTCACCATCATCAGCACTAAGAGCCAATGGGGTGTCATCTGCACTCGCCCTGTTATGATTCTTGTGAGATTTCAAAGGCGAGAGCACCCAGTAGACAAACCTAAGTGCACTCGCCCTGGGCTCTTATGAGATATCTCCAAAGGCGAGAGCACCCAGTGGGCCACCCCAGGTGCACTCGCCTTATTGTAACAATCATGAGCGCCAAAAGCTGGTGGGGCATCCCTTGCACTCGCCTTCTTGTGAGGCATCTTCAAAGGCGAGAGCTACCTGGCGGGCAGCCCCTGAGTGAGGCCTTGTTGTGACTATCGTGAGCGCCGAGAGCACCCAGGTTTCAACCCTCTGCCCTAGCCCACGTTTCTATATCGAAAATTATTATCATCCAGCCCACGATTCTCTTCCAGAAAATAACAATCCACCCTCTTGTTTGTTGTTTACCTGACCTTCCTCCAAACACCCCAACTTCTCCCCCTCCACCACAATCCATCCATCCTCTTCCCTCCAACCCATCCCTTCCTCACCCTTCTTCATCATATCCCATCACTCAAACTCCATCATCTCGTTCGTCGAGACTGCTCTATCCGTATCTGCATACCTCACAAACTCCCCAGCAATCTCTGCTCATCATGGCCTCTCCCACCGAGAAGGAGATGCTCCTCGAGCGTCTTCAGAAGATGTCGCTCCAGCACGAGCGCGAGCAGGCTTCGATTGCCGGCTCCTCGAGCTCCCAGACGGCGGGCTCTGGCCAGGATCATCAGACTGCGCCCTTCGGCACCAGCAAGTCGCCTGACTTCTCGTCCGTCTCCTCCGAGGATCGCGACACTGAGCGCGGTGGTGGTAAGTCTTCATTTTTTCCCGCGCGTCTTTTCCTGGAGCTCGATTCTCTCTTCAGACGCGGAGCCGATCATCTTACTAACTTCCGATCCAGGTGCTCGCTTGGACAGTTCCTCTCTCAGAGGTAGCCCCAAGTAAGTCTTGCGCCTTGGATGGCATCATCATAAGCTAACCTTTCGCAGCAGCTTCGCCCGTCGCTCCGAGGCCTTTGGAAGGTCTCTTCGCCCTACCATGTCGGCCACTGCTACGATGTAAGAAGATTCATCGTTGTACTCCATCTTTATCATTCAGCTAACATGGTTTCCAGTCGCGTCCCCAAGGCCTCCGCTCAGGAGGAGGACGATGTCTTCAACGACGCCTCGGCTGACACTGAGAAGCCTGTGGCCGGTCCTTCGTCTCCTTACAAGCTTAACCAGAGCCACATTCAGCAGGCCAATGTGAAGGGCAAGGATCGCGCTCACCGCAACTATGTCCAGAGATCTCCTACCAAGGGCCGTTCCAACGACAACGTTGTCGACAACACCGACCCCCAGGCCAACTGGCCTTCGACTGCTTGCATCTTCGTCGCTAAGTAGGTTTTGCTTTCTGTCCTGAAAAACCATATGCTGACCTCTTACCAGCCTCCCTGACAACCGAGAGGACTACACGCTCGAGGCTGCTGTCATCAAGGAGTTCGAGCGTTACGGCGTTGTCTTCGTCAAGATTCGTCGTGACAAGGATGGCATGCCATTCGCCTTCGTTCAGTTCACCGTAAGTGTTTCTTCAATTGGCAGTTTTGCTTCGCCTCACTAACATATCTCCAGACTGACGACAGTGCTGATGATGCTCGTGTCAACGGCAGAGGCAGCATGATCCTTGGACGCCCGTGCCGCACCGAGACTGTTCGTGCCAATCGTACGTGCTCCCTCTTCTCGGTGTCATCTGCATTGCTGACTTTGTGAACAGGCACCTACATCATCTTCCGCAAGAACAGGACTGCTATCACCTTCGAGGAGGCCAACGAGCTTCTCTCCCCCTTTGGTAGCATCGAGACTCTCCGGTTCCTTGACAACGACATCGTGGTGCAGCTTTCTCTGCCTATCACTGTTCGCGTGCAGTTCAAGGAGTTTGATCCGACCCAGCAGGTGCTCCGGGCTTTCCGTCAGAACAAGTGCTACCACGTTGAGGCTTTTGACTTCAAGAAGGCCATGCAGAACCGGTCCCGTCACCCTGATCGCCAGTTCCTCGACAACTACGATCGTGATCGCCGTTCCATCTTCATCGGAGACCTGCCCCTCAGCATCTCTGAGGATGATATCCGCGTCCTCATGGAGGATGTCGGCTCTGTCGTCGCCGTTCAGATCAAGCGTCTTGACTATCATCGTGGTATGTCGACAACTCCTAACCTCATCCAGGGCACGAGCTGACACAGACACAGATGGTCCTAGACTCATTGCTTTCGTTGAGTTCACCAACGTGACCATTCCCGAGATGGCGATTGAGCGCTACGTAAGTTTTTTTTCTCAGTGCGTTTGACCAAGACTGGTGACTGACATACGTGATAGCACAACAACAACATCGGCGGTTCCATCGTTCGCGTCGAGCGTCGCACTGACAGACGCCGCGGTGGCAACAACACGCCTGCCCGAATCCAGGGCAACGGCTACAACTCTCGTGGCGCGAACAACATGGGCGGCAGAGCTCCTTCCACTCCCGCTCGTGAGCGTGGTCCTCTTGCCATCGAGGCTGGCCCGTCCAACTACGTCGCCGCTCATTCCCCGGTTCGTCAGACTCCTCTTCGCAACGAGATGAGTGCCACCGCCATCCAGAACCAGCAAGGCATGCAGCACAACGTCGCCCAGACCCCTCAGAACCAGGGCATGCAGATGCAGCCGGCCATGCCCATGCACATGCCCATGCAGATGCAGATGCCTGCTGGTGTCCCTGCTTACGGTCAGGTTCCTCCCCAGATGGGACCTCAGATGGTTCCCCAGGTTCCCTTCCAGGGACCGATGCAGGTTCCCATGCCGGTTCCCAACATGGCGCAGTCCCCCATGGGCCCGCCTCCCCCTCCTCAGATGGGCACTCCTATGATGCCTTCCGGCTACAGCCCCTACATTGGCACTCCCTTCTCCCAGGGCCCCTACTCTCAGGGTACTGGCTCTCACTACGGTGGCTACATGACTCCCCAGGCCTCCCCCGGTGCCGCCCCCTTCTGGGGCTACGGCCACGGAGGCACGCCTCTCTGGACCCCTTTCCCCCGGGACCCTTCTGCCTACGGCGCTGCTTACACCTCTCCTGCTCCGGCTCGTTCCACTGGTGGCCCTGCTCCCGTCATCGCCGAGGGCAACCAGATCACTCAGTCTGAGCCTGTCAGAGGCGACAACGAGGGCGAGCACGAGAACTGAGGTACTTCCGAGTTCTCGTCTTTCGGCTTGATTCACTCAGCTCGACACACCTCGTTCGATTCATTCCGTTGGACTCACTCGGCTCGGTTCACTCCGTTCGCTTCACTCGGCTCGGCTTACTCCATTCGGTTCACTCAGCTCGATTCATCCCCCTCAAGCTTATCATCTTACTTTCTTCTCGTGTATTACGAACAAAATTGGTGTAGAGATTTGGTGTGTTTGTTGATAATGGGTGGTCTTTTTTCTTTTCTTATGACATGAAGTCATGGTTTAGGGATCAAGTTTCGGAGATAGAGGAACAAAAATGGAGTCGTAGATAGGTACTTGGTTTTGTGCCCGCGGGCACTTTTGTCTACTCTCGACGACGCAACACTACTTCACTTAGTGAGCAATACAATCTTGAGTAGACCGGTATGAGCTGGTTCCCTCTGCTTCCGTGATGTTTGTGAGCTTCGATGAACCCCTCCGACGATCGCTTTGGTTGAAGCAGCTATGCATTATCGCGAGAAGCCTGGCTAAAGGCACTTCCGATCACCGCAGCTTGGCCGATGATTGCTCCCAGGACAGCAAAGATTTGCACCGGCCTCAGCAGCGAATTCAAAGTGACAACAGTGTCAGGTTTTCGACAGAACACATGCCTGCGAGCCGTTGCGCTGATATCCCTCACGCACCATGTTGAAGGGTGTCGTGGAACATGGACCGCGGTCAGGAGCCCTTGTCAAGTTGCGATCAGGCGGGGTGGACGTTCCACGGAATCGGTCCATCTTTGTCCCGGAAAGAAGCTCCAAACCTATCATGCAATATGGATGCCCATTTGTACCCTTGTACATTGTCGGTGCTCGGAGCTTGAATGCGGCAGCTTGACGTAGTTCCATCTTGATCAATTGACGGCCCCAGAGAGAAAATTCGTACTCCAGCTCCAGAGGACATCAATTGCGACGAGATCGAAAACACGGTCAAGTTCCACGAGAGCCACACCCTACGCACGACAGGAGCGCATCTCCCACGAATAGCTTTGGCTACGACGTAGCGACGGCTTCGTCGGCCAAAAACGAAAAGATGCGGGCGACACCGTCCCTCATGAGCAAAGGCTTCTGGGCTCGCAGCCTGGATCATTTCAAACGGAGCGCAACTATCGGTGAGTTCTTGTCATCCCAAGGTCTTCCTACCGGCTTTGGCTGACTGGTTTGTCGCAGCTTTCAAAGCCGAAGCGATCAAAGGCGCCCAAGGCCCCTTCATGCTCCAAGACTTCCGCGCCCCCGGCTCGACCGAAGATTGCAAACTCCTCTCCGATCAGCAAATCGGCGGTTTTTCCCAAGTCGCCCTCGACTGGGTCCCGTCCACATCCCACACCTCAACAGCACCCTCAGAAAACATATCAACAAATTCTGGCTATGCGCGCTTCCACGGCTCGATATCGACAGACCTACCCAAAGACAACCTCAAGATCGAGCGCACAGGCTTTGCGGCATGGCGGACACCAGACCAGCAGCCGACGGTGTTCGGCAAGTCATTATGGGACATCGATCCCTACGTATATCTCGCGATGAGAGTTAAGAGCGATGGGCGGAGCTACTTCATCAACCTGCAGACGGAGTCCGTCGTGCCGACAGATTTACATCAACACAGGCTGTTCGCCAAGAGGCCGGGCGAGTGGGAGACGGTGTTTGTCAAGTGGAACGATTTCGTGAGGACAAATCACGGCTTCGTGGTGGAGCCGCAAACGGAGATGCTGAGGTCCAAGGTGAGGACGCTGGGTGTTGGTTTGACGGATCGCAAGCCAGGGCCGTTCGAATTGTGCGTTGAGAGGGTATGGGCTACGAATGATTTGGACGAGGCGGAGGCGACGGAGGCCGATGCTGATGCGGCTGCCACCGAGAAGGCGAGGCAGGCAAGAGAGAGCGAGTTGAAGAACAAGCAGGGGCAAAGCATCAGGTGGTCAGGCAGTTAGAGACACAAGGACTCGGGGCTCGGAACGTACGAAAGCCAGTGGCCGATCGACGAGTCGAAGACGATGATGAAGTGCGACTGGAGACACTGGCTCGATATCTACTCTGGGCTTGACACAATGAAAATACTGTAGAAATAATTATGTAAAAATACGGTACGCACATGGTGCGCGGCATCTCCAGGCCGGCCTCAGCGGGAGGTTATTCAACCAGCAATTTCAATAACTTGCCCCATGTCACATTTAGCCACTGGCAAAGCTGGAGGATGGTTCAGTGCCGGCCTTTCTCCGTCCACTGGATAGACTATGGAATTAACCCAACTACAATTACACGTTTTTCTCTGTTTGAGAGCGTTCCTCAGTGAGGCCAAAAAAAAACATCTTGGGAGACGCCATCATGATTTGAATCGATGGGAATGTCTTCGCTAGGTACCTACCTACCACTACCTATTGCATTATTGGCCAATCAGGGGCTCGTAAACACTATAGTGGAACCTCAACACCACACAGGAAACTCACTGACAACACTGCATTGATCGTGTTTGCTTGGAGAAAAATACTACCGTTTCGACTTGAGCAAAAAGTTCTAGCAAAGAGGACGACTGCCACCGGGCTCTGAGTGGACTGGGCTTGCCATTGCGTACGCGCACTACTACTCTGTTTGACGTGGAGCCCACGCGCCTACTCACCTGCCTCACCTGCTAAACATGGTTGACCGCGTCTGTACCGATTCCTCCCGCAACTTCGGATGAACGGCTTCTGAAAACAACCTACTTCGATAACGTAGCACTCGTTGAGAGCGCGCCGGTTGGCGCATTTTATCTCGATGGCGCGGTACCTCACACCCGCCAAGATCGGCCTCCTTGCCCTCCTCGAGCTCTACACAGACGAACATGTTCCCACCACGGCCATCATCCCGGTGCTCTCGTTTATCACATCGCATCTACTCGACCCAGACCCCCAGACCCTGACAACGACCGCCAGCAGAGACACCCGCTGGAAAAAAGCCGAAAGCACTGTGAGCCTTGTCATAAGCATCAAAGACTTCGAGAAGCTCCTCAGCGCCCACTCCGTCGTTGTCGGTCTCCCCGGCAGGAAGCTGTGGGATACGTTCCTCACGAAGCTATGGAGTATCAACTCGCTCGACCTGCTCCACGAGTTTTTCGATAGGCAGTCGAAGTGCCTAGCCAAGACGAAGGAGGAGCTGCGGCGGCTCGGAATCGAGAATGAGGCCGCGCAGCAACAGCAGACGGCCATCACACTGTCGAGAAACTCGCCACTGGGAACTTTTGTGCGGAGATGCCAATTAGAGTTCACGAGATTGCTGTTCCATGACACGGCGCAGCTGTGGACGGACTTCGTTCAGTACCGCCAGCCTACGGCGGGATATCTACGGAGGAGGAATCCGTCTTTTGGACGCCTCAGCTTTGACGATGTACTGATGGCCGGCAACCAGGGGGACTGGGATCCCGAGGGTGTGGCGGCATTGACTTCTGTCGTCTACGGGGACATGATTTCGACCGGCAGACTCTCCGCTGTGCCTGTCAGCACCGACGACATCGAGCTCTTGCTTGAATTCCAGATAGAGCAGATGCAAAGTAAGTTCCCTTGCGTCAGAGCGTAAGCCAGAGCTAAGAGGCGCAGAATATGGCAACCGGATCCCACTGGAGCTACGCAACCAGTTCCAGGACCTACTCGGTGATAGCTACATCGTGCCGAGCTTGAGGCATTACCTCAGGTATGGCCCACCTGCTGTTGGATTCTTGACGAGCCGTTGCTAAATGTTTGCAGCTTCTTAGACGCTTGGAGATCGGGTGACTACCCCACGTCATTCGACTTTCTCCACCGATATTTCGACTACACAATGCAGAACCGAGACAAAACGTTCTACCATTACGCGCTGATGAATCTGGCTGTCCTGCAAGCAGACTTTGGCTGCTATAGGGAGGCAGTCACAGCCATGCTCGAGACCGTCACAACAGCACGCGAGAATAGGGACATGACGTGCTTGAACTTTGCTCTCAGCTGGCTCTTCCATTTCGGTAAAGCACACCCAGATCTGGTCAGAGACCTGGAAGCGGACAGTCTCCTGGGCACTGCCAAGGAGAGCCTCGCATACCTACGAGTGAAAGCCAAAGAGACGGGGATGTGGACATTATGGGCGTCAGTGCTACTGAGCGAGGCGAAACTTGGTCTTGCCAACGGAGAGAGTGTGGCCACGTCGGTCGAGCTAATGGTTCGGAGCTCACATCTCGTCGCGGAGCGGAACATGAAGAACATGTTTGGAGCTCAGCTTTCGATTAAAATCGCGTTGTGGGATAGGCTAGGCCTCTCGCCACTTTCGGCCATGGACTGCGAAATGTTCCTCCGGTGCCACGCGAGACACTCTATATTCGACGACGAGCTAAGAGTTACCTCTCGCCTAGCACAACATCTCGCGGCAAGAGGCAAGTTTGATGAAGCACTGCAAAAAATGGAAGCTGTGGACGAGAACGCTCTACGGTCTTGGAAGCCCAGTCAGTACTGGTTCAAGTATCGCGGAATCATCAAGCTGAGAAGGGATTTGCACCATAGCAATCTGGATGGTGCGGACCAGCTCCTCAGCCAGCTGCTCCAGACGAAAAAGGACGATCTCGAGCCGGATATGGCCTTCGTCGTCGACTTCCTCCACATCGACTATCTCATCCGACGGGGCGATCTTTCGACGGCTTTCAGCAAGGTTGAGGACATGCTCGCCTCGGTTCGAGACGACAAGAGAGACATCTCGCTGCGCGTGAGACTGATGCTGATCAAGGTCCATCTCTACGACAAGTGCGGTCGGCCACAGCGAGGATTTACCATCGCCATGCGAGCCGCCAGCATGGCTTGGAGAGCAAGGCTCGTATCCTGCCTCTGGCAGGCTATTGGCGCCATTGCCAATATTCTAACGTCCTTGGACGAGTTCGAGGCTTCTATCCAACTCCTCACCGCCGTCCTCCCGCGATGTCTTGAGTGCGACTCCGCGGCACTCGTCGGGCAGCTCTACTCCTTCCTCGCGGACGCCAACATGGGCATGGCCGGCAAGATGACGCCGCAGTCAGCCAAACGGAGAGAGTATCTTACGCGGGCCACCGGCGCCGTCCAGAAGGCGTTTGATCATTATTCCAGTGTCGAGGATATCACACGGCAATGTGAGATGATGGCCAAGAAGGCAACCATCATGAAGGTCGCTGGGGACAAAGTTCTGGCAGCGGACTATGCAGCGGCTTATGTAGCGTTGAGAAAGAGCGCGGCTGCACTGTCGGCATAAGATACCTCGAGGCTGGGGATTGGGCTGTTCACTTGCATAGAATAGATCATGAGAAGTGACGCGAGGGTTCTTTGAAAAGCCGCATCTCTCTCCGATTGTAACATAGGGAAAATGTACAAGATAGTCTACTCCTCAACAGGCGTGTCCCGAGTCTATGGATCGCTCCCTCCCCGATGCGCGATGACGCATTCTGGTTAATCGACTCTGGAAATCTAGGCCTTGTCCTTGTTGTGGTAGTTGACGCTGTCGTTCCAGCTGTTGCGAGTGTCAGCGATCTCGGTATTTCTCTCAAAGCCATTCGATAAGAAGAGGACTCTGCAGCAGTCGTCCCCTCGATCGCGGGCAATACGTACAACAGGGTCTTGTCACCGTTGCCCCACTGGTAGTTCTTGGTGCGGATGTTCTGGTAAGAGTACTCGGTGCGCTCCTCCAGAGGGGGCATGTGGCTCCAGTGCTCCCAGTGCTCGTTCCAGAGGACGTAGGCGTTGGCAGAGGCCAGAGCGACGGCGGGTATGCAGGCGCTGTTACCATTGTCAGCCTGGCAGTCCTTCAAATCCAATGTTTTCCCCCTCAATTCCCGATTCCGCAAATCCCGCGTTCTTTTCCCATCGCTGACTCCAACAGTGCAACCCAGTGTCTGGCACTTGCCCAGACTTACGCACACACGCATGAGGTCTTCTCAGTCCGTAGGATCGTAGTCGCGAATCGGTAGGTACTCGGGGTTGGTATGACTTATTGCATGTCGGGTAAGAACGTACTAGATGGAGATCTTGCGCCACAGCTCTGCTCAATCAGTCAGCCCTTCGTATTCACTCAATTGACCCCGGAATTCAATCAATTTCCAGCGAAGGCCCTCGGTCGGTCCGCCGAAAGCAACAAGAATAGGGCTACGAACCAGTGGTGCCGGCGGCGTGGTGCTTGGCAGCCTCGCGCTCCCTGATGAAGGCGTTGTCGGTGGTGCTGGCGAAGCGGCGCTGGAAGGTGGAGCGGCCGGCGCTGCGCGCGGCGGCGGAGAAGAGTCTGGCGCTCATGATTGTCGTCGTTTCCGTGGTGGTGGTGGAGGGGAGAGTTATTCGTTTCGTTGACGTTCGGCGGGCCGGCGGATTTCGGTGGTTGCAAGATTGAATTCGGTGATCAGGTCATTCGGGTATGGAGCTGGGGTGCTGGAAGAAGCTCGGTTAGCGGGACCGTCACAAATTGGCGGCCTGAATTGTTAGGCCGCAAGTCAAGGGCCTAGTTCTTGCAGGAGCGCTTTCGGGCGATGACTAAATGATGTCAGGTCATTTGCGGAGGAAGCAGGAACGGAGTTTCTGGGTCGTTGGCAAGCGCCTTACACTCAGGACTCAATAAGACGAAAATCAATAGAAATGTAGTACGTCCCAGGAGAAAATGATGATAAATAATGGAACAGATCAATCTCAATTTTGCCATACAACTTGGCTCACAATCGACCGAGAAAGCCAGCGTCGTATTGGGTCACGTGACACCGCGCCCAAGCTCGTGTCTTCCGGCGATGACGGCCACTGAACATCGCGCGAGCACCTCAGGCGTGTAAGCGTGCGAAGGCGATTCTCCGCTGTCGATTGAACCGGTCTTCCTTTCCCGGTGCAATTCGAGACTAAATCTTGGTTGAAGAGCCCTATCCGTCGTCGCAGCCAGCGCCGAGCACTCACTTCAGTGCTCTTCTGTCGTCTTTGTCGGTGTCGTTTTCTTATCGGCGTCATTCAGTTTCTCTGAGCGTTTAGTCGGTAACGGCGGTTTTCATATTCGCAAGATACCCATTTGTTTTGGACTTTAGAGCCTCAGCGCAAGGATACCATATTGATCCATCACGATGGGGCTGCGCATAGTCACATGGAACGGTCAGTAGGAAGGCCCCCTTCAAACGAATGCCCATGCTTACATATGTTTCCAGTCAATGGCATCAGGTTGGCTTCCAATCGAACAATTTCCTAGGAGAAAAGTCTAACGTCTCAGGAATCCATTCGGATATCAGCCATGGCGAGAGAAGCGTACATTCGAGGTCCTGTCCCATGGCTCTTCGCTCAGAAATCCCAACCCCTCTAACACCAATCCAGGCCATGTTCGAAATCCTCGAAGCAGACATTGTGATCATGCAAGAGACAAAAATCCAACGAAAAGATCTCCAAGACGACATGGTCCTCGTACCCGGCTGGGACGTACACTTCAGTCTCCCCAAACACAAAAAGGGTACTACCTTCCTCACCATCACCTCTGGTCCCTTACGCACTTTGATTCACGTACCTAACTCGACGATCCAGGATACTCCGGCGTGGCAATCTACACTCGCACCGCAACGTGCTGCCCCATCCGCGCAGAAGAGGGCATAACCGGCATACTCACCCCACCGAACTCGTCCACAAGCTTCCGTGACCTGCCCCCTGACCAACGCATCGGCGGGTACCCCCGCGCGAACCAGCTGCCCGGCGAAGTCGATGAAGCGACCCTCGACTCCGAAGGCCGCTGCATGGTCCTCGAGTTTCCGGCCTTCGTGCTGATCGGCACCTACAGCCCGGCCACCCGGGACTCGTCCCGCGACGACTTCCGCTTGGGCTACCTGAACGCCCTGGACGCGCGGGTGAGGAATCTCGTGGCGGAGGGAAAGGAGGTCATCCTGACGGGGGATCTGAACGTCATCCGCGAAGAGCAGGATACGTGCAACTTGCGAGAGGTCCTTCGCAAGGAGGGCATGTCGGTGGAAGACTGGATGGAGATGCCGTCCCGCCGCTTGTTTAACCATCTCGTTTTTGATGGTGACATCACCGGCGAGAGGGACGAAGGAAGGGAGAAGCCTGTGCTCCACGACCTGACACGGATATTCCACCCCAAACGTCAGGGTATGTTCACGTGCTGGGACACCAAGAGGAACACGCGGCCGGCGAACAACGGTAGCCGGATAGACTACATTCTCTGCTCCACGGGGATCAAGGACTGGTTCACGGGTTCTAATATCCAGGAAGGACTGATGGGGTCCGATCACTGTCCGGTATACGCGACCATCGGTGACACGGTCTCAGCAGAGGGCAAAGAAACGCCGGTACTGGATTTGATGAACCCCAGCGATATGTTCCGGGAAGGCAAACGTCTACGGGAATGGTCTCCGAAGGACCTCCTCCCCCTCTCTGCGAAACTTATTCCCGAATTTGACCGAAGGCGAAACATCCGGGACATGTTCATGAAGAAACCCGCCCCAAAACCCACGCCTGCCGATCCACCCTCGTCAGCCGCCGCCGAGGACGCCCCAACACAAGAATCCGAACAACTTGTCAGCACGCCATCCCAAGCGAGCGATGTGCCTTCCTCGCAATCTCAATCCCTCCCCTCACCAAGCGCAACCAAGATCGCCGCAAGCAGACCGAGCAACACGTTACCTCCCCAGACGAATCTATCCACGAAGAGGCAGGCAGAAGCGAGAGGACCTGTCACAAAACGATCCACGAAAAGAACAAAGACGAATGACACCGATTCCTCGGGGACCAAGACAAACAACAAGCAGAGCACACTGACAGGCTTCTTCAAACCCAAGCAGCCGGTCACGGAGCCGGCTGGCGCAGCGGGGATCGACGGCGATGAAGGCAACAAGAACAATGGTCCTGGGGACCGGTCACCGGAAGCGCAGATGACCACAGGGTTGGACCGATCTCTACCGGTGGCATCGCAGGACCGTGCTGCTGTTGGCGTCTCTACAGAGATCGGGTCCATGTCCCCGGCATCTCCTAGCAGCCAGACAAAGAAGTTGCCAGCATTACCCCTGAAAACGTCGGCTATCGAAACCGCTGAGAGGGTGTTTGATCCTATCGAGACCAAAGAGGCGTGGTCCAAGTTCAGCCTGGGCAAGAGGGTCGTGCCTAAGTGTGAGCATGGGGAGCCTTGTATTTCCTTCCAGACCAAGAAGCCGGGTATTAATTGTGGTAAGATTTCACCCCAATATTTACTTCTCTTGCCGCGGAACTAGCGACTTTCCGGGGTTCTGTGATTGATGATACTGACAATCTGTACAGGTAGATCGTTCTACATCTGTGCGCGCCCGTTGGGACAGTCGGGGGTGAAGGAGTCGGGCACGGAGTGGAGATGCGGAACATTCATCTGGAGCAGTGACTGGAAGAAGGACCAGGCCCAGATGTGACTTGGCTGCTGTCATGAAGCTCTGGCGATGGAGAAAATGTGGCAACAGGCAAGAGCGTTAGATCAGAAGTTGAGCTTTCAGAGGCGACTTCTCCAAGGCCGGTAGTCGGGATGACGTACCGTTGGCCACCCCAAGTAGTCATTTTGGAGGTGGCCCCTCAAGTAGCTGGTGCATGTTGACGGCAAAAATGGATCGAGGATTGTAAGGCTTCATGAAACTTATGTTGAACATGGTATCCGTTCGCTCACAAATTATAATTACAGGAGAAACGGCATAGTCTCGAACAAGACCGCTCAGAAAACATAAGACACGAAAGAAAGTATTGTCAAGCTGGCCGTGTTCAACACGTTACATCTGAGCAGATTCTCCGTCAACTCTTCCCTGGCAGATGAGAAGAGTCGAAAACGTAGGCCGGGGCCACTGGACGTCTAAGCCTGAGTTGCCTCTGCGACGGTCCTCTAGTAAGGACTAGCCAGCTGTTCCAGCGAGCCTAGTATGGGCCTCCTCCCCGATCCCCACGGAAGGGTTCAAGCGTGCTGCGTGTCACAAGTTCGTGGCGACAGCCAACTGACTGGCGAATACATCGTGTTCGATGACCCTATCAGTACGATGTCTTCCACATCAATACCAGCAGTTTGGTGTTAATGCGGAAGGCCCCAGCGTAAACTTCGTTGTGCCTCGTAGGCGAAGGTGACGCCGCATACCACGACTCGGCGACTCGGCGCTGGTGATGTAGCTGTCATCCTCGGAGGGATGATGGTTGGATCTCACAAGCGAAAGTTTAGCCTTCACACTTGGGGCACGGGCGACACTGCTGGCTCGGCTCTGCAAAGCTTCTTGGCCTTTTCCGTGGGCCTTCGACGACGCTTCTCCGAAGGCTTACGTGGGGTGTAGCGGTAGTCGGGGTATAGCATCAGGAGGCGTTCCTTATGCATCTTCGCAAGCTCGGTGTATCTCTGGCGGACAGCAGGCGACTCGTGATTCCAGGCTTTGCCGAGAATTTTAGCTGTGTAGTGTCAGGAAATGTGGCCTCGAACTTGGATATTCGAGACTTACATATCTCATTGTTGCTCAGTTGGGTGTTCGTCTGTTTGACTCTGGCGTGATGGTCTTTGCGGTAGAGGATATAGGCGTTGGGAGGTCGAGGAACTTTGATCTTGCACACAGGCTCTGGGCTCTCAGAATAACGAGCACCGGATCCAGAAGCAGCGGTGTTACCAAGGGACTGATGGGATGGTCGTGGAACGACGACGGCAGTGCCATTGATGGAGGCGATCATGTGGGGGCCAGAGACGAAGTTGCTGATGGGGCCAAGGAACCACCTGTCGGAGTTGGTACCCATGCCATCCTTTGCCCATATGACTGGCTTCATGAGAATGCGCCTGCGATGGCTGTCAGTAAAGGAGGACGCGGGACGGTGGGAGTTGCGTCTCTCGGGGATGACGATGGGGCGACGAACGAGATGGAAAAGGCCATGAAAGCGCGGCCATCATGGCCAAAGGTGAAGAAGTCCTTTCCGGAGACGGGGATGATGGACTGAAGGGTGTTCAGGTTGAGATTGAGTATCTCGGTGGCCATCAAGAGAATCTCTGGGCGCAAGTGATTAGGGTCCACGTAGCCGGTGAAGACTTGGCCGGGATTGAACTCGTTTGACACCATGGCGAGCAGGAGAGGCGGTGTAGGATGGAACGTGGGGTTGATGTTGGCTGAGGTCACTGAAGGTATGTATTGACGGGGAGGTAGTTAATGACAGGCAAAGTGAACGAAGGATTGGATGTGAGATGGAGAATGGGTTGGGGTGCTTGCAGAAGATATACGGTGAGGCCCTGGGGGGTCAATCGGGAACGGAGGAGGGTCCGGAAGACGTCGAGACAGAGAAATTTAAGAGGAGAGAGATGGGAGAGACAACGTTAAGGTCGCGTCTGGAAAGGTTTTAGACTCGTGGGAGGGGTCCTACATAACTGGTGGGGAAGTGGCATCCTCTCATGGCACTTATAACACTAAAGTATGCGACGCTCACAGCTGCCTCAGGAGACAGGACAGGACATTTGACGGGAGAACACAACATGAGTGCCCAGCCTTACTGTGGAGCCGTGTCTGAAGTCGGCAAGGACTGCAGGGGGGGTTGCATCTTGCCATGTCTGGCCAGGCAGGTCTGGTTACATGATGCTGAGCCGGGGCAAGGTAGGAAGGAAAACGCCTCCCCCGGTTCTTGGTCTTGGTGCACACTCCACTCCACTGTTTGGATAGTCTCAATGTTTGCACTGTCAGCCTACCTGTACCTAGGACGTGTTTGTCTCCCCGACGCCTCTGAGCAAGTCGCTATCAGAGGAAGACAGCACAGACGGATACCTTTCTGAATTACGGCCCGAAGATGCAGGTACTTCGATTGGTTTGGACGGGAGAAGCAACGGAAACTCATACCGAAGGTTGAGTTAGGTAAGGTAAGGTAGAGGTAGTAAGTCAACTTGGCCAAGCCTCCAGCTGTCACCGATAATCTTAACGGCTGCTTACCCGACCCTTCTACGCGGGTATGCAGCTTTATCCGCAGCCTTCTTTCGCTAAGATTTCTACTGCCATCGCCTCATCTTCCTGGAGCAGGATTCAGAAGTATGTGCCTTCGCTACTTTTTTCTTTCAAAGTACAACTCATACATTCTGCTGTTTCCCCCGAGTAGCATTGGAAAAGCGACTTTGGAGGCGCTTTTGGATACCTGGAATATCTCCTGTAATTTCCTGGTCAAACGGTTTTCCTGGACCATGACATATTGTGTCAAGGAGGACCGATATAGAAGGGCTAGCAGTTCATGATACGTTACGTTGAGCAGCGAGGTGTGCAGCTTGTATGCGCATGTTTGGATGTGCGAGGAGAAGTGAAAAAAGCGGGAGAAAATAGAACAGCTAACGACCGTTTTGGCATCTGTTAACGAGCCCTCCTCCCTGGGGCACACTGAGGGCTGTGCTCAGCGTACCTACCTAGGTGTGAAAGAAACCTAAGGTAGGTAAGGTACCAACAGGGCTACCACGCTGCTGGCCTGCCCTGGCCCTGCATCGTCCGCATCTCTGAGAAAGCTACACTTTGGCACTGAAAGCTACCTTAGATGCCTAGGTAGAGGAACGATATTAATTACACTCGTCGAGGATTACGAAGATGCTGCACTCTGGCCCGTGCAGACAGCGCATGCCAGATTCTGATGCAAGTGGGTTGCAGCGGTCGCTTTCTCAACTCCAAAATCCGGGATTCAATAACATCGCCCGAGCTTCGCGATGGCTGTTCCTGCATTTCGTTGTTTTCGTAAATTAACGTATCACAGCTTCACATTGTTACGAGCTTCACCTTGTTTTCAACCATCTTTAAGCGAATCGTTTTGTTCGAGCCCACGACATCTTCTCCCCAGTTTCTTCCACTCTACGTACACGCAAACATGTAGACTGTGGCCAAGAACAGCTGCACCACATGGGGCTTCTCTTCCTCTCTGCCCCTCTCCAAACTTTTTCCCTCCAAATTTCTCCAAAAGTACTTTTCTCGCAGATGTCATTGCAGCGCTGCATTCGGCCAAGGGTCTTTTCTTCCATTCCATAACCCTGCGCTCTCTTGCCTCCCCCTCCTTCCTTCCGGATCTCAGACGATCTCGACATTATCTGGTCCTCATATCTTTTGAACATCTTCCTGTCATCTTCCTTATTTCTGGCGTGTCCAAAGTCTCTTTTCATCTTTCGACCTGGATCTCACACCCATCCATTCCAACATACAATTTCAGCATTTCGATGTCAAATCCTCACAATGTCCCGCAAGGAGAAAACACCACCCACAGAAACCTCTGGAGCCTTGAGGGCCCAGGGCATGCACGAAATTCTTCCTCGCCATGACCTCGATCTCTTGACCGAGTCCCGAAACTTTCCAGAGGGAGACTGGCTTCTCTCGGAAGTTGGACGCCGTCACCAGTTCCAGGCCTCCTTCTGCGTACCGAACCAACACGGGCAGTTGGTTCCAGCGCCGATGGCTCCGGTCAATATCTCTGCCGTCACAAACGAAGAAGAAGTCTTTCAGCACTGCACCGTTTATCAATTTGCCCCATGTAAGTTACACCGCCATGATTCGGGAGTCGGAGCTGACGTCTACCAGCATTCCAAAGCCGAAGTAACACAGAACTCTCTGTCTCTGCCAATCAGACTGGTCAACGACACTTGCACCACAGTCGCGCATTGCCACCAACCCATGTTAATCCCCAACAAGCCCCGCGTTCTGTCCAGGTTACCGAACAGTATCGCTTCGATCCCGACGGCAAGCATCAATTCACTTCCCAAGGGGAGTCGGCTTTCTTCGCAAGTCCTCCATCATACGAATCGGCAACGGCAGCACATTCGCAGGCGTCTCGCCCAGAGAAAGAAGCCGTGTTATATTCTGCTCCGATACAAGGCCAAAATAACTTCGTCAGCTTTTCGGATGCTTCCATCAACGAATGGCCATCTCATCAACAAGCCACAAGCAACAGCGACTCTTTTGCCACCAATTCTTTCAACGAATCGTTTCGATACAGCCCAGCATCAGACGATATTCATGGTCTTGAATCGTTCATATCTTCAGATTTCAACACAGACATTCATGGATCTGTAATGATTCCGAGCGATTCCTTCGACGGGCACTTCACCCCGGCCATGTTGGCTCAGCTCGATGAGCATAACCTGGACGAAATTTTCGGTCAGGCCAATGATGCTGGCAGGGATTCGAATCAAACACCACAAACTCAGAACGACGACCATGTTAGTGCATCTCCTCTCGAGACACCCTAACGATCTCACCATCTTCGATTCCAAATTCTGGTGTTCCATTTTATTATGACGACAAGGGCATCTACGATCCGGTAAATATTTCATTGCAGGCACTGGGGGTTTTTTTTTTGGGGGGGGGGGGGGGGGGCAAAATTTTTTAGAAACCAAAAAAAAAAGGAAAAAGCAAAAAAAAAA